ATGGCCACGCACGTGAGGTCGCGACGTGCCAAAGCTCCAAGACGATCTCACTGGCGCCCTTGGTAAACACGCGGCACGTCGTCGCCGAGACGCGGACGACCACCGACATGCGCTTCTTGGCCGAGCTGAACGTGATCATGTGGCCAATCTCGCCGCCCTTGCGCACGTCGGCGTAGGCGACGCCCATGTCGGCGGCAAACTGGAGCAGCGCGCACTCGGTCTTGTTGCCCGTGTGCTCGGGCTTGCCGCCCTCCTTGAGCGGCGGGAGGATCTCGGCCGTCGAGTTGAGGCAGATGCCGTCGCTCAAGATGGACGCAGTCTCGGTAGCCATGGCCGACTGGAGCTTCTTGGCGGACGAAAACTCCGAGCCGCCGACGTAGCTTTCGACGACGGTCATGCGGTTGGTCGTGAGCGTCCCCGTCTTGTCCGAGCAAATGGTGGTTGCCGAGCCCATGGTCTCGCACGCGTCGAGATGACGCACAAGGTTGTTGTCCAAGAGCATCTTCTTGACGGAGAAGGCAAGCGCGATGGTCACAGCGAGCGGGAGACCTTCGGGGATCGCGACGACGAGGACCGTGATGCCAATGATGAAGAAGCCAAGGTAGTCCGAGAGGTAGTCGTTGCTCCACGGCTTCCCGTCGGGCCCCGCAAACGTTTCGATCGAGAAGCGGACGACGAGCGCCAAGAAGACGATGAGGGCGGTCGCAAGACCGAGCTTCCCGATGAGCATCGTAAGCTGGTCCAGCTTGCCTTGCAGCGGCGAGACTACCACATCTTCGTCATGCTGCGCTGGCTCGCTGGGGGTCGATTTCTCACCAATGAGCGGCGTCTTCTCCGTAGGGGGGCCCGAAGGACTCGGGGGCTTGGCGCCCGACGAGGTGGACTTGCCCATGATGAGCTTGGAGATGATACCAGCTTGGGAGGATTCGCCAACGCAGAGCACGAGCATCTTGCCGACGCCCTCCATGACCTTGGTGCCCGAGAGCAGAAACGGAGCTTCCGTCGGGCTCTTGCGGAGGAGGAGCGACTCGCCCGTCATCGCGCTCTCGTCGAGTTTGAGGTCGTTCTCGTCAAAGACGAGGCCGTCCGCGGGCAGGATGTCACCGAGGTCAACGCGGACAATGTCGCCGACGAGGAGGTTGAACTTGCTCACTTCGGCAGGCACGCCGTTGCGAATGACCTTGATCTTCTCGTCTTCCTTGACCGCGTTGAGAGCGCGGAACTGCTTCTCCTTTTGGTAGTCGTTGATGGCCGTCACGAGCGTCACGATGAGGACGGCGAAGAGGATCGAGACGCCTTCGATCCACGCCGTGTTTGGCTCGTCGTCGTCACCGCTCGAGACCGTCCCGTTCTTGGGCACGGACGAGTGGTGCGGCGCGACAAGGCCGAGGACGAGCGAGAAGACGCCGGCCACGCTCAGGATGATGATCGTCAAGTCCTGGAACGCCTGCCACATGAGCTCGAGGATCGTGCTCGGCTTCTCGGGCTCAATGTAGTTCTTGCCGTACGTGGCTTCGCGCTGGCCAAGGTCGGCCGCGTTGGTGCTGTCGAGACCCGACTCGAGGGCGACGCCAAGCGACGACGCGACGCCTTCGACGCCGCCGAGCGCCGCCAGCGCGTCAGCCGCGCGCTCCTTGGGCGTCTCGACGAGGCGGATGAGGTCGCCAGTGAGCAGCTTCATGCGAATGGCAAGTTGCAGAATGAGAAGCTTCTTCCTCGACGAGACAGAAGGGCAAAACGCGGCCAGTCGCTTGACAGCCCGCCAAGATGAACAAAGGGTCCTTGACTCAGATTCGCAGGTTGTTGAAGGGGCCCGAGTTACAAATTATTTTGGCTGCCACGTGGTTTCGACGCTGCTGATGTGTACACGCCGGCGAATTAACCCTCTGCCTCTGTTGCTTGCTTCGACTACGATCGGAGATTGGAGCCCACAGAGGAGGCCTTGACCCTCATCGGGCAGACGAGAGCCCATCGAGACGGAACTGATCACGTGGCAGCCAAAAGTACCCGCCAAGTACCGAGTACGCGCGTCTGGGAATCTCGGCGGAAGAGACACGACCGTTGTCGGCACGGCCTATACGCTGCTTCCTTGTATGCCCACCCGAGTGGATCGCCAGTTGTCTCTCAACCACTCGTTTACTCTTCAACGTCCTGCTATTACTCCGGCAGAAGCAGTGCTTGTCGAGGTTCGACGCGTGCGGTCGTGGGCGTCCCAAGCTCGAGTGCATCTGGAGGGAATCTCCTATCATGGGTGGGTGTTGCTATCCCGGAGAGAGACCTGCACGTATGTACCCACCTCCATCTGCAGTGCGACGCTTCTCCCGGAAGGTCCGAGGAAGACGAACAGTGCCACGTTGCACTTGGGCGACGAGGATGGGTGCCAAAATAATTGGGTCGCTGGCTCTGCCCCATGGCTCTGCTCTTGGTTCACAGCGCCAAGCACCAAGCAGAAATTTGTTGGTTTTCTATTCCCACGTGTCATTACTACCACACGAGGTCATCGAGGTCGTCGTCTTCCAACGCGCAGGCGAGGACGGCGTCGAGGCTCGCCACGCTGGCAATGTCGCCCCGCAGCACATAGCCGAAGAGCGTGTGGCGTGAAAAGTGGTGTGGTGTCCAGGACAGAATCCGCGCCGCCGCTTGGCCCCAAAACACCCGCGTCGATGGTGTCACAGAGGCGGCGACGCGCGCCGGGAGCAGCTCGAGAAGGTCGGCGGCGGGTGCATCCACGGTCCCCGGCTCGATCGCATGCGCGCTCGTCGCTGCGACGGAGCCACTCTCAAAAATATTCGTAATGGCCGCTGTTCCGATGATGGCGGCGTCGATCCAAGTGTGGCCGGTCGCAGGCACACCGTGGCGCGCACATGCGCGCACCCACTCGGTCACATTGGCACCGGCGAGCACAACCGAGCGCGCGTACATCGGCGCCTCGAGCCATGTCGCGAGCGACCGCTGGAGGCCGAGCATGGCGCCTCGGACGTCGCCATTGCAGACCTCGTAGCGCGTCATGTGCTGCGCGACGGCGCGGCCAGAGTACGTGTCGAGCAGCTGCAGACGTACTAGTACGTCGCGGGACGTCGAGACCTCGGGCTCCTATTATGTCCAGCACATCGCATAGTACATGTGCGTGCGGCTTGGATTCGTACCGAGGGCAGACCATCTACGACGGCGACGAGGTCGACTGGTGGGAAGTTGCGGGACGGGTGCTGGGTCCACGGGCAAACAAGGGATCGCTTGCTGGTCGCATCATCGAGGATGCGGCGCGCGAGTGTCCCGTGAGCTACTTTACGGAGATCTGTCTTTTCTACCCAAATGAACATGGGAGCTTGGAGTACCAGGCGCAGCGATCGACGACACGTCGACAGCTTGCAGGAGCAAGAGAAGGGCGTAGGGATCGTCGCAGTGTCCCAAAGCAACCGGCGACGAGACCACCGTCACAAAGGCCTCGAGCGGTAGCACGCGCCGCACCCACGAGAAAAGCGTCTTCCAGTCCGTACCCGGCGCCTCGTACCGCCGCAGCACCATGCGCTTCCCTCTGTCGAGGAGCGCTGCGTCGACCACCGAGATGCGACCCATATCGTCGTCCGTCGTCGTCAGCGCAAGGCAATAGCGCCAGGCAGTATCACTTTCGTCGTCGTCGTCGCCGTCGTCCGTCGTTGTCCTCGTTGTCGTCGTCGTCGTCTCGCTGAGGGTTTGCAGCACCGCGTGAACGTTGGCAAGCGTCATACCTACGTCAGTACCGCAAGATACCTCAGCGCTCGCATTTGGCTTGGGTGCTGCACCCTATCCTACATATCGGACGAGAGAAGTACCTTTCTTGGGGTCGGTGCGGACAAAGTGGCTTGCCTCGAGCGCCAGCGGGAGGTCGTCGATCGCGACCCAGCGCGCCGGTGGCGATGGCATGGCCGCAAGATACGCTGTGATTTCGTCGACGCGATCCGCGCCCATCGGCGTGACGCCCAGCACGCGGTGCAGCGGCACCTGCAGGGCCGCCAGTGCGTGCCAGAGCATCGCCAACTGCTTCGGATGCGCGCGCCACGTGCTCGAGATGACGAGCCGCGCGTCCGAATTCGACAAGAGACGCGCGACGCGGCGAACGAGCGTCGCTTCGAGGAGGCACGGGCCATCGAGGCGGTTCAAGACGCCGTCGACGTCGAGGAAGATGACCGAGACCATGCCAATCTGATTGGTTCAGACACACGAGCGGCGATCATCACTCTGGTGCAATCCACGCCGCTGTGTCCTCATCATCAGTCCGCAGCGCCACGGAGAGTGCCCGAGGAGTGTCCATGAAGACCTGCATTCCAGAGCCTCGTCCTCGTCGCATGGCCATCGACACGGTACTACCTATTGGTCTCCTCTCTCGTGCATACATACTGCTACATATTTGATTGTCTTCCTCCACTTTGACCAGCATATTGCCAACGCTGTGGCGGCAATGGCCTGTGGGGTGCTGCAGCATGTGCCATGACGCCACCCACCTCGTCCTCGTGGGCGGCTCGTTGAAGACGAAGACGCGCAACTCTCGTTTGGCATACTATGGCTCCGTGGTTTGCATTTAATTTTGCGTCGGCGTTTGAGTCATGTATTTTTTACATTTTAAATACACTGCATTAATACAAGGGCCATTATATTTATTTAATATGACACTGACACAGATTGAGAAAGGGTCGATTGAAGGGCGATGCCCAGATAAATACAAATATCAAGTTCTTTTTATTTTTCACCATTGGCCGAGGTATTATAATAATGCGCAGTCGAACCATCGAACTATTTTTCAAATAATAAGATGTTTGTATGTAATAGAATACCTTGTGGCTTGGAACGCTGCGGCGCCGAGGAATATTAAAATGGAAGGATTTGATATCGCCGCACGTCGACCGGCCAGAAGCGAAATCGCCCATTTCCAAGCAGCCAACAGCATGTGGATGCAGCAGTCGATGGAAGGTGGCCGGAACCACCAGCAAGGTGGCGGTGGCTACGGCGGCAGCAGCTCGAGCAGCTTCGGCCGCCCCAAGCAGGACGACGCCGACTGGAAGAGCCGCATCGTCGGCAGCGGCCAATGGCTCGGCGAAAAGGTCATGTCGCTCGCGACGGGCAGCTCGACGAACGACAACAACTCGGGCATGCGCTCGCACAACGACGGCCGCGCCAACTGGATGGCCGAGATCCGCAGTAACACAGGCTCCAACCAAGGCTACAATGGCGGCGGCTACAGTGGCGGCGGCGGCTACAACGCTGGCGGCTATCAGAACGACTTTGCCACGGAGCGACCGGGATCGTACGCCGACAGCCGGCCATACAGCAGCAACCACAACAGTAGCAGCAACACGGCGCCGTACTCAGACTCGAACTATCGGTCTCAAATGCAGTCGTACTCGTACGACAACAAGTCGTCCAAGAAGAAGTCGAGCAGCAGCAACAACAAGAAGCACCGCAAAAAGGCCAAGGAGTCGAGCTCAAGCGATGACAGCTCGGACGACAGCTCTGCGTCGTCGGATGCGTCGTCCGCCTCGTCCAGCGACGCCAAGGTCAAGTCCAAGAAGAAGCCAGCGTTGAAGAAGAAGGCATCGAAGCGCGTTGAAGTTGTCGCGTCCGAAGGCGAGTCGACCGAATCGGCGCCAGAGACCAAGGCGTCGAAGAAAACCAAGGCGAAGCGCGTGGGCGTCAAGTCGAAGGCGTCAAACGGCAACAACTACGCCTACTCGCTCGACACGTCCAAGGTCGCCGCCGCCGCGTCGGAGGAGCCTGCGAAGGGCAAGAAGGCGGGCAAAAGAGCAAGAAGGCCGACGCCGCGCCGGTGGTCGACCTTCTCGGCGTCGAGTCGCTGTCGATCTCGAGCGCACCCGTGTCGTCGACCGCTTTCGCACCGGCCGTCCATGTCTCGACGATTGACCGTATGCCACACATTGCCAGAATGCAGGAACTCGACATCTCATATCTTATTGTAGAACTTGCTGGCCTTCGTTTGACATGCCCGCGCAGCCCATCGAGCCGTCTTTCATGGGCCAGCAGCAGCCCTTGATGGGCCAGCAGCAGCCTCTGATGGGCCAACACCAGCCTTCGTTCCCGGGACAGCCTCTCATGCAGCAGCAGCAGCAGCCTCTCTCGGGCCACTACACGCAGCCCCAACAACAACAGCCGCTTGCCAAGAAGTCTGGCTTTGTCGTCCCGGGCTCGGACCTCGTCGACTTGCGCACTGAGTCGGAGGTCTCGAAGGCCAAGGTGGCGTCGGACCCGCGGTCGCTCAACGAACTGCAAAAGATGAACCACAACCCGCCGCCGCAGCCCGTGATGCCACCGCCGCAGACATCGCAAATGCATCCAGGCATGCTCCAGCCGCACATGATGCAAATGCAGCCGCCGAGCGGGATGTACATGCAGCCGCCGATGTACGCTGGGTACCCTCCGCAGCAGCACGACCAGCAGCGCCACATGATGCTCCTCATGCAGCAGCAGCAGCAACATCAACCGACGCACATGGCGCCCGGGTTCTTTTAAAATTGACTAATACTATGTGGACACCTAAAAGTGTGCAAACGTCATAATAGGTTAGAGTACTAGCCAATCGGCTCGAGCGTCGTGGCTGTTATACTGTCTACGATCGTCTTGCCATGGGGATCCGACGAGCTGTGTTCCATGCCTCGTCGCTTGGCTTTGGCGGCCGTGCCCGCGCGGTCGTCCATCGGATGGATGGGCGGTGGTCGCTCGTCGCGGCGCGGCCGTCCCAGCTTGTCGGTCGCCGCCGTTGGTTTCGGAGATTTCGGACACACGGAGAGCGGCGAATGCGTCGGCGGCATGCGCTTCGCCGAGTGCGTTGGCGTCAAGCAGTTGATGGCCTTCTCGGCGGGCGTCACTTTCGGCATCACCAGCGCGTTCGTGTTGAGCGCCGGGATCGTCACGGGGGTCGTGGACGCCGGCCGCGGCGACCGCGTGTGGTGCGGCGGCTTGGCGTCGCCCGTGCGCAACGTGCGGCCGCCCCGGTGGTGCCCCGCCGCGTGCGGCGTCATGACGAGCGTCGACGACGGCGGTGTGCTCAACCCGCTTAAAGTCGGCACGAGCGGGTTGGACGTCGTGCGCACTGCGGCTTTCGGCAGCTTGTTGCTCTCGTCGACGCTGCTGCTCTCGTCGGCGGTCGTCGTGCATGGAGTAGTCTGTGGTATTGCGGCGTCGGTTGTCGGCTTGGCGATCTGCAGCGTGAATGCCTCGGCGTCGTCGTCGTCGTCGCCGTCTTTGGAAGGCGACGCCGCCATGAGACTCTCCATGCTCGAGTAGCTCGCCTTCCCGCGCAGCCACGGGTGCGAGAAGATCTCGGGGATCGTTGCCCGCTCGACCGGGTCCGGTTGCAGCATGCGCGTGATCAAATCTACGCGCGTTGCGTCGCTGGCATCGAACCTCCAGGACATCATGACGCGCACCCGTCACTTCGGGACTGAGCGTCTCGTCGAGCTTGTACTGCGCGCGCATGATGCGGTTGCGAATGACATTTTCGCGCGGTCGGTTGGTGCCCCTGAGGTCCGAGCCCTCGAACGGCAGGCGGCCGCACACGATCGCAAACAAGATCACGCCCAGACTCCACACGTCCAGCGGCGGTCCTTCGACAGCATGTCTAGAGGATGGAAGAGGTATCGGGACGCGCACCTGCGTTGGACGTGCCGCGAAACACCTCGGGCGGGAGGTACGAGATGGACCCGCACGTCGTTTTGGCCATCGCACCTAGAGAGCCGTGACGAGAAGAAAATGGGCCACGGAATCTATCTACCCGGTCGGTAAAAGTCGCTCAAGCCAAAGTCGGCAATCTTGACGCTGTTGAGGTCGCTCTTGCTACACAAACGACGTCATGAGCGCGGACTTCACAGCAGGTCTTAGCAACTTTTGTAGTAGAATGTTCTCAAGCTTGAGATCGCGGTGGCAAATGTGTTGGTTGTGCGCATACCCGACGCCCGATAGGATCTGGGAGAAGACGAGCGCGCCCTCTTCCTCGACGAGGCCAGCGCCGCTCGGGAGGTGCACGAGGTGATGGTACAGGTCGCCACTACGCCACCCAAAGCAGCGATTTTATGACGGCCTCCATTCGCGTACGTCGACGCACCCGTCGAGGAGCTCGAACACGAGCACGACGTGGTTGGGCTCGTTAAATACGCGGATGAGCTTGATGATGCTCGGGTGGTTGAGCGCCTGCATGCGCATGAGCTATGATAGGAATGAGACGACGGTACCGTGAGGCACTGGATCTCGGTCGTCGTGCGCTCCACGTCGCCTAGCGACCCCATCTCGCTCTTCTACATGGATCGGGTGTTGAGAGGAAGGAGCAAAGGCAAGCTGGCAAGTACGAGGATGAATTTGAGCGCGACTTTCTCGTTCGTGAGCTGGTGGACGCCGAGGCGGACCTCGCCAAAGCCGCCGCGACCGAGCAGCGTCGTGACGCGGTACCCGCCAACGACGCCGCCGCTGCCAATGTTGTCGACGCTGCTGGCCTCGGCTTCGGTTTGGCCCGGAATCTGGAACGGCGCGCCCGTCGAGAAGAAGAGCATGTCGCCTTCCTCAATGCACATGAGGTCGTCGACCTCGACGCCTACGACAGTCGACGTGACTGCGGTTGCAATGCTTTTTTTCCGCACCGTCCGAGTTGAAGACGCGCGACGCCATCGGGACCATCTCGAGGCGCTGCGAGCACGAGCAGAGAAAGTCGTCCCATGTCCAGTGGGGCTGCACAAAGAGCGCTACGCTCCATGTGCGATCAACGAGACGACGAAGATGAAGCGCGTACTCTTGTGGTTCTCAAAGCACCCGTTCTTGTAGGCCTTGATGGGCCGGCCCTGGACGTCGTGCTCGTTGAAGCCGTCGTCAAAGTCGCCCATCGCCGGCGATAAATTTACACTGCGACCGGTTCAGAGCTATTTCCAATGCATGGAAACGAACGAACGAACGAAACAACAACAACAACGGCAACACCCTCCTGCTGTATGTCTTCTCCGCCGACCGCAAGATGCAGCAAGATGTCTCTGCATTATGCCTAGTAGGCGAGCAACCTAGTTGGCCTTGTTGACACCGTCGACGCGCTTGCCCTTGGCCTCGCCGTCGTCGCTGTCGTCGCCGCTCGCATCCTCGTCGTCGTCGTCGTCGTTGCCGCCGCCTTGTTGGCGTTCCTTGAGGAGCGCTTCGGCCTCGCGCAGCCGGTCTTGGTGCGAGACCGGGTACTCTTCGTCGCCCATGCAGTAGTCGAGGAGTGCGACGAGGATCGCGACAATGATGGCGAGCGCGATGATGCCCGCGAGGACGGCCCAGAGCGTGTGCTCGGCCGCCCACTCGAGGAGACCGTCGACGAGCTGCCCCGCGAGCGACTCGTCGGGAATGGCCCCGATCGTCTCGGCCTTGCTGTAGCCCGACGCGATAAACGCCGTAAAACTATGACACGACGTCGTCACGACAGACAGCGCATGCGGCATTTACCCCTCGAGCGTGCGCGCGCCTTCGTACTTATACACTTGGCCGTTCTTGATGAAGAAGAGCGTCGGGTACCCGTTGACGCTAAAACGCGAGCAGACGCGGCGGTACTTGGTGCAGTCGATCTACGCGCGGCATAAGAAAGATGGACGGTGGACAATAAGATAGTCGTATACCTTGCCCACTTGGGCCGTGCTGCCACTCTCCTTGAGCGTCGCGCTGAGCTTGTCCCACATGGGCGCCTAGAGCCCACTTCATTAGGCACGACCGAGGTTGATGCGGACGTACGAGGCGCTTGCAGTGGCCGCACCACGGCGCGTAAAACTTGAGGAGCCACGGCTCCGACTTGTCGTGCACGAGTTCGTCAAACGACGTGGTCGAGAGCGACACGACGAGGCTGTTCTTCTCGGCGTCGGCCATTTCCTTTTCCATTTGGATATGGCGCGCTTCTACTTGCATTGTCAACAACATACACATTGTGGTCCGCGGATCGTGCAACGCACCGAATTGGCTCTGGGACAAGATCTCTTCGCCGCCGACGCTCTAAGAAAACGCGTGAGCGCAATCGAGATAGACCATGCCGCACCTTGTAGCCGCCCGTGACAAAGTCCACAAAGTGCTGGCTGTCGCGTTGACCCATGTAGTCGAACGAGTGCTTGTTTGCGATCGCCTTGATCGTCGGGTACGACTTGACCTCGAAGCGCATGCACACGGTCTTGTGCACGGTGCAGTCAATCTTGCCAATGTGAATGTCCTTGCCCTACAGCGCGCTCAAGTCAGATGGCGGAATCGGTATGCCAGCGACAAACCTGGATCGCCGCATCCGACGGGAGCTTGTCAAAGGTCGGCGCCAGCGACTTGCAATGGCCGCACCACGGCGCGTAGAACTTGATGAGCCACACACCGTCAGCCGTGCGCGCATCAAAGTTGTCGGCGGTTAGCACCTCGGCGCCGCCATTGCATGCGTCGCATGCGTCGGCCATGCCCACCAAGGCCATCAGAAGTACCGAGATCAGGATTGCCGCACGTCCGAGCATCTTGGTTTGCCTGCCTCAAATCCTGAATGAGGCTCCACAGAAGGTTCGATGCCTTATTTCAGGGCAACACTAAAGTCCATGTCCTTCCGGAATTTAAAAAAGATATTATAAGTATTACATACCAATATTAAGATATGATCGTCAAATCTTTCTTGACATCGACACCAGAGCTTTCCGGAAGGCTGTGGCCAGCCCTGCTTCTATTTGCACGCAACTTGGGCGTGGTGCAGGTGCAAGGGCGAAGGCGCATTGTCCAGGCTTAGACCATTGTGTCGCTCTGTCTGCAGTCAGCAGTGTGTATCAGCTCCATGAATACCTTTGTGGACAGCAATCGTCCAACTCGGCTGCATACACCTTGTTTGACCGTAGTTAGCTGGGTGTTTTTAACGTGGTGTGTTGGCTTCCATTGCCAGTTTCAAACCCGATCCAGAAAGATGGACGAGGAGCGGACAGCACTGCTCTACGCAGTAAGCGCCATCTGCGACGCCAGCGCGACGCAGGACTACATGGACGTCGAGCGTGGGCTCAAGGCCAAGGCGCGGCCCAGTGCATCCAAGGAGACGCTGCAGATCCTCACGGACGTCGTGCTCAAGCAGATCGACCTCGTCGCCGTGGACCTCCAGCAGTTTGCGCAGCACGCTGGCCGCAAAAAGATCTCGGCCGAAGACGTGCTCTTGTGCGCTCGGCGGCAGCCCGACCTCGCCAAGACGCTGCAAGACTACCATCGCGCCCACTTTCTCGGCGGCGGCAGCTCGACGCGGAAGCGGAAGGACCGAGCATGATACGAGACGAAAACAATATGTGTTAAATAAGAACCGCCCTCGCGCTAGCTAATCGTGCACCCGTAGCAGAAGGACGCTTGGCAGAGCTTGTCGGGGCTCCGTGCCTGGAGCGCTTCAGGAAACAGCGTCGATGGCGCCTTCGTCTTCTCCGAGACGACGCTGTTGCCTTCCTGGTCGTCCTCGGGCGTGATCGTCGGCTGCGACGACATGGTCATCGTCGCCGAGAAGAGCTCAAACTCGGTCGTCGGCGACAAGAGCGAGATGCGCCCACCATCCTTCCGCCGGTATGGGTTGTCGCTCGCGGCCGAGAGCGCCTTCTCCCGCGCGATCGGCGGCGACCGAATCGGCACGACGCCGTCCGAGCTGTTGCTGCGCCGGCGCATCGCCAGCGTCGGCTTGAGGTCGTCGACCCAGAAGCTCCGCGACGGCCGGCGGCTCCGGTTGGTTGTCGTCGTCGGCTGCTCGTCGTCTTCGTCGCCAAAGCAGCGCAAGATGAGCGGCTCGGTCATCGCGCCCTGGTACCACTCGCGAAACGAGAGCTTCCGGTCCAAATCGACGTCCATGCGGAGGAGCTTCTGCATGAAGGCCGTCGGGAGCACGCGCCCAAAGCGATCAAAGAGCGCGGCCGCGTCGTCTTCGTCTTCGATGATCTGCGCCGTGTCGGCGGACGCCGACCGAAATTTATTCTTCTTCTTCTTCGGGTGCGAGGCCATTGCGGGCGCCGCAATCGACACCTTGTTGTGGTAGATCTCGCAGAGGGACCCGGCCATGAGGATCATCTGCTCGACATCAAGGTGGCCGACCTTCTCGCCATCGTACAGATCAAAGCACAGCTGCAGCTTTCTTCGAGCGTGCCCTTGCAGAGCACCGAGAGCGCCTATTCGGATGCGCTTCAAGAGAGAGGATATAAGATAGGTGCGTACGAGCATGAGGCGTTGAAAGTCCACGTGGCCACGCGCGTCGGGCTGGAGAACCTCGAAGAGCTGGTCGAGGCTCTTTGAGCCCCACTCGGGAATGACCCGGGATAAAATCGGCCGCAGCACTTCCTTGTTGATGCCACCGGCCAGCGTCGGCAGCTTGGCGTGGTTGGTCGTGCGCAGAATGTACTGAAACTCGAGCTGGAGCTGCTCCAACTGCGATCGGTCAAAGTGTGTAATGCCGTGCAGCGCGCACACTTCTTGCTCCATGTAATGCGGGTGCAGCCGCACGTCGACGCGGAGCGCTTCGATGGCCTCTTCCGTGAGCGCATACGTTGCTGCCTTCGCTTCCAGATGCGCAAAGACGTCCATGTCCATGCTCGCAGCGTGCTCGAGCGCAATCTTGTACGCAAAGCTGGCGTCGCCGTCGTCCATTGTCTAGTGGAGAAGGGCATGATGAGGCGATCGACGTTCGAGCCGTCTTACGATCGAGTCGATGATGTCGTCGGTGGCCGAGTCGAGCAGCATGAGCGCCATCACAAAGTGCGCAATGGAGCCCGTGCTCGGCGTCGCCGTCAGTGTGTAGTTCCAGTAGCTCGCGAGTGCTTGCGTGGGCACTTGGCCCACAAAGACCGTGATGAACCACTTGAACGCGAGGAGCGACGAGAGACATTGCAAGTCGCTCTAGATCGAATCTATATGAGCACCACGCAGCACTGAAGCATGCAGTACCTCGGGCATGGCGTTGGCCAGCCGTGGCAGCTTCAAGGTGATGAGGTGCCCGAGGACGTCCATGTCAACGTGGAAACCTTGGAGCTTGGGAAGGCGCGCGAAAAAGTCGGACGGGAAGATGCGCTCCATGACGACGCAGTAGACCCAGAAGACATGCTCTTCGTCGTAGCCCGCCGAGCTTTCATGGACATGGCCGAGGAGGAAGCTCACGACGTCGGCGTGGCCTTGCACATACCCGACGCGCACGTTGCGCACGGCGTAGGCCATCAAAATGCGCTTGAGCGACTCGAGGTACGGGGCTAGCGGCGCCATGTCAAGGCTATCGTCTTCGGTCGCGTCGTGCTGCAAGACGTAGCGGTAGAGGGACACGCCGGCGCGCGGGACATCGAGCGCGATCTGGCGCGCGTCGGCTTCCAGCACGGCGCCAGGCAAGAGCGCGCGTCTGCAGAGGTCGCGGTACGACCGGTTGCTTCGCGCAGCCAGCGCATGGGCCCCGGACGCTACGTGCCAGTCCATGCTCCGTGTGCTCCTCGTGTAAAAGCTTGGCAAATCGAACGTCGTGATACGTTTCAGCGCGGCCACATCGACTTGCGATTTGTATACCCGCCGGCTTCCCCGACGCTGCATGTTTCCCGAGCGACTATTTTATTATGATTTAAATAGCAAGTGATTTCGGCCCCGGTCGCTCATTGGCTCGTTCCGCTCGGTCTCGCGCGGTGATCGCCATGTCCCTGATTCATACCGGTACATAGTGCACTTTCATGGAGGGCTGCCTTGCTAAACAAGCGCGCGTCCCCGGTCCGTGCTGGGTCAGTGCTACTACATCGAAGGGGCGAACGACTGGCTGCCTCTCTTCTGCCGTGCCAGCTTGGACGATCGAACCGCACCATCTCATCGCGCGTGATGGATCGTCGTGCGGATGGGCCTTCGCGATTGGTTGATGCATCGAACGGGGTGTTGTTGATTCAACAAAAGCCGCGCGGCTGGCACATCGACCGCAGGTGTCTCGCTGCACGTCGGCACGCCCGCGGCTACTCCCGAGGCAATCCATCTCAGACTATCGATCGAGCAGTCTCGTGGAGGTCATATACTCTGCAGAGATGGCGTCGGTCCTTGTCCATGGCCCGGTCCCCGACCCGAGTACAGTGTACACTGCAGCGACAAGCAGCTTCCGTTGGCTGCGGCAGTCGTCACCGCATACTGGTGGCAGCTATTACAGGCGTCTTGACGCATAACGTTACCGTCGTCGCGGCGCCAACGAAGAGGGCTCGGGCATCTACACGGTACAAGGCGGTGGACTTGGCCACCACGGCAGACTCCGTGTAGAGCGCTTGCTCGTAGCGTCCAGCGTCGATACTCGCAGCAAGCTGATTGCACGCTGATTGCACGCTGATTGCAAGCTGATTGCAAGCCGATTGCATTTCCTCGTGCAGCATCTGTGTACAATGTTGTCTTCCAGGTGGCGGCAGACCTCTCGCATTTGATCTCTCACATGATACTCTTTCTGAGAGGTTCAAGGAAGGTATGGCGGTTTGTATGATGCGGGCCGATATTCGAAGAGGGCGTCGTCATGGAACGGCTCGCGGCGCAGGTACGCGCGGCCATCAAGGCCACGGAAGCTCATGCTGCTGAGGTAGAGCGAACGATGTCTCCGCCTCCTGCGCGAGGACGCCGAGTGGCAGGACAAGACGCAGCAGCTGCTGGACCTGCAGGAAGTCCTCCTGGACGTGCAAGCGACGGGCGCGCTGACGCCGATCGACCCGGTCCTCGCGCTTCTCAAGCCGCTCGCGGTACGATGACCCTGTGTGCATATACATGCAGTGGCTCATGCGAAGTAGCCTCACCTGACAGCCATGCTGGGCGACATTCGGTCGTCGGTCGTCAAGACGACGTGCTCGGTGCTCGCGGCGATCGCGACCGCGTGCGGGCCCGACCTCGCGCCGTTCATCGATGAGATCCTGCTTGGCGTCTTGAACACGGCGTACGTCAAGGTCCGCGTCATGTCGAGCGCGGGCGAGACGTGTCTCGAGACCATCTCGAAGCGGTCCCGCTACAGCCTGCTGCTGCTCCAAGCGCACTTTGCCCAAACGAAACACGGTAGTACCCTACCAATCTTGTGCAAAAGTCGACATATATATGGCCGTAGCGGACGTGCGCCATCTCTGCATTGCGCAATTCCCATTCATCATGAGCTCGTGGCTCAAACCCGAGCTCGACGCGCAGTACGCAACCATGAAGAACATGCTGGCCAAGGCGCTCCAGGACAACGACGACAAGGTGCGGCGAAAAGCGCGGGAAGCCTTTTGCATGTTTTCCGAAATCTGGTACGATCTACTACTACATATTGGTATCGCACTATATTATGCTAGGGACGATCACATGGACGAATTTGTGCTGATGCCGCAGCGCACGACGCGCGAGTCCATCATCAAGGAGTACCCGCTCTCGAGATTGGCCCAGGAGCTGCGACGCAAGCACGGCGAACCCGTGCCAAAGCGCACGCCGCTCAAGCAGCGCATGGCGACGACGCCCGAAGCCTCGATCGCGTCGGAAGAGTCGTCGGATAGCGTGCCACCGTCGCCCAACACAAGAGCGACGCGGCCACGACCCGAGTCCAAACCCATCACTCGATCGGTATCCGTACCAACGACGCGACCGAGTGTGCGTCCCAACATTGCTTTCTCGAGCTCCATGTCATCCCAGTCCTCGGACGACGTCGCGATTGTCGACTTGGACGAAGAGCTCGCGCGCCGCGACGAGGCCGAGTCCCTCCATGTCGCGTCGGAGCGGACGCCGCAGGATGTGGCCGACGACAAGGCACGTGAGGGTGCCAAGACGACCCCACGGACGATCTCGGTCCCCAAGCAGCTCATGGACACCGTCGTGTGGGTGTGCACCGCCTTGAGCCTCCTCTTTGCGATCTATGGGCTCACGGGGGCGCTCTGGAGCGTGGCGCTTCTCGGTTCGCCGTCGAGTGCCATTTCGCTCGAGCTCCAAGACGTTGAAGATGCGGTGCTCACGACGCTCTTTGAATTTCGGGCGCACGAAGCGCACATGGACGCGTGGGTCCATGATGTCGCACAGACGATGGACGCCTACCGGCGCGACGCCTCGGACCAAGTCGCGCGTCTCCACGACGCCAACGCCGTCTGGAACCGGTCGATGCGCGACGACATGGCTGCCTTTACCGCCGAGTTTGTGGCCAAAATCAAGTTTGACCCGACGCCATCCGAGAGCAGTAGCCTCCGTGCCCCGTAGTAGCCCTCGTCACCGTACGTCTGGCTGTAGTTTTTTCTCTTCTCATAATATATCCACCTGATCCCTCTCAATCCCTTGTTTGGCTCCACCAGTGGATCTTGACGATGCACGGACGCGCGTGGATCGTGGACCTCTCTTGTGGTTGTTCCAATGGAATGCGAAGGCTACGATAGATACCTTGGTCCCACGGAGCAACGATCCGGCGTGATGTTGACGACCGAGCCAATGGTATCGAATAGTAGAACGCTAGTGTATTGATGATGATGATGGGATCTATTACATGTAGTGGTCGCGTGCGAGCTGTAGCATGGCCAGGTCGGCGAGTACGAGCGACGACATGGACTCGACGAGCGGCGGGACGCGCGGCAGTACGCACGGGTCGTGGCGGCCCTTGGCCTCGAGCACCGTAGAGTTACCGTCAAAGTCGACAGTATCTTGGGCCTGGCCGATCGTCGAGACCGCTTTGACGGCGATCTTGAAGTAGATGTCGGCACCGCTCGAGATACCGCCGAGGACACCGCCGGCGTCGTTCTTGACGACGTTCAATCGGCCGTTCTCGCCGGCGCAGAACGCATCGTTGTGCGTCGAGCCGCGCTGGCGCGTGCCCTCAAAGCCAGAGCCGTACTGGAAACCCTTGACCGCGGGAATCGACAACATCGCGTGGGCCAGCATCGCTTGGAGCTTATCAAAGCACGGCTCGCCCCAGCCCACGGCGGCGTTGCGAATCACGCAGGTGACCGTGCCACCGATCGAGTCGGCGTCGGCCTTGCACTCGCGGATGACGGTGGCCATGGCGGCGGCCGACGGCGGATGCGGGCAGCGCACGGGCACCAAATCCTCCGTAAGGTACTCGACGAGGTTGGACGGCGTCGGGAGCACGTCGCCGTGGCGGTTGTACACGACGTTGTTGACGTCGAGGTACGCCGGCGCGCTGAGATCCGTCGACGCCACAAAGGCTGCCTCGGTCTGCCCAGGGACCTGAAGGATGCGCAGCGTGCCTAGGCGGTCGACGTCGTCGCGCGTCAGCGTCGTCCCTGTCGTGTTGAGCGACGGCATTGGCATCTCGACGTGCCCAATCGAGCTCACCCACGAGACGATCTCGGTCTTGAACTTTTGCGCGAGCCACTTTTCCGCGATCGCGCCGGCAGCGACGCGGCCAATCGTCTCGCGGGCGCTGGCGCGGCCACCACCGCTCGAGGCGCGCGTGCCATACTTGACCTGGTACGTGTAGTCGGCGTGGCCGGGTCGGGGCACGTTGCTCATCTCGCTATAGTCCTGCGGCCGGACGTTCTCGTTGGGCACAAACACCGAGATGGGCGTGCCGAGCGTCACGCCACGCTCCGTGCCACTCTGGATCACGACGAGGTCCTTCTCGTCGCGGGGCGTCGTGAGCTTGCTCTGGCCCGGACGGCGCCGCGTGAGCTGGGGCTGAATGTCGGCCTCGGTGAGCTCGAGGCCCGGCGGGACACCGTCAATGATGGCGCCGACGCCCTTGCAGTGCGACTCGCCAAACCTATGGTGTGGCATGAGACCTCTACATGACGTGGCAGGAAGGTACTACGTGGTGACGCGGAAGAGACGGCCAAAGGAGCTCATGGCGTGGAAATGGAAACTGGCGGTTCGAAGATTTGGCGATGGAATTCCGTGATTGGCCAAACACCAGACGCGATCCTGATTGGCCGGGCATCGGCCACAAGAATCGCTGAAAATGCTTGCGCCACGTCGGCTGGGTGACACGGACGAGGTCGCCATCAAGCACCCGCTGAGGTATGCATACTAGTACGTAGGAGGTTCATAGAGACGAGCAGCCGCTAGCTTCGCTGCATTAGCTGGCGCTCGCTAGGTAGTCGCAGTGCTGTGCAGCGGCAGGCGACGATCAGAGCGACGTAGCTATGGGTTGCCGCCAACCCATGGCTTCGTGCGCGTCATGTTGGCTGGCGCAATCAGCATGCTCTCGTCCATAAGCCTGCATTGGATGCAGTCGTGCTCGTTGGTTCGGCTGCGCCGAGCTGTCAACGGATGGCCAAGTGACTGCGCTACTCTTAACGGGCCGCACCTGTTCGTGAGGTCACCTACTCGGACCAACGAAGCATTTTGCCGTCTCCTCGCCGGCGTACAATTGTAGCGTTGCTGCCATGGCCTTTTGGTGTTGTCGTCTCTTAAACAGTGGATTGAAACAGTGGACGGACGCAACAGGATTTCAAAGATCCAAGGGATAACGGTCCAGCGGTCGTTGCCGTAGGTTTCGCCACTTTGCCTTTCGCAGCCATCATGGCAGGTCCGTCGTCCATGGCCATGACTCTGTGCATCGATCGAACGATGGCGCTGTAGACGAATCCATCGAGCGCGTCCTCACTGTCATCAACCAGTGCTTTGCCTTTGCGATCCCGCCCCAGTCGTCGGCCGCGGGCCACCGGTGCGACCATCGCCGAGTCGAAGCACTCACGCGTCATCATCAATCATGCTGTAGCGCCGACTCGTGGCCCAAAGACCCCGTCTGGACCGGCCGCCTCGTCATCTCGGTCGTCAATGACGTGACGCAAGTCCAGCTCCGCGATCCCAAGACAGGTACTCCATCCATCCCCTTTGCCCGAGCCCACATCTGAGATCTGAGATCCGAGATGATTCACAGGCGGCCTTTTTGCGGCCTGCCCCATCTTGAAGGACGGGACGCCCTCGGTCCAGAAAGGTAGTTGCAACGGTGGCATAAGTCATGCTCACGGAGGCGCCAGTCGTCGATAGCAGCCGGATTTTGTGCTGCGCATCGTCGACGCCAAGTCGGGTAGGAACTCGACGCGAAACGATGCGCGTCTCATGCCACGACGCTAGGGCGCCACGCGTTCATTGGCATTGCATTCGAAGATCGCAACGACGCATTCGACTTCAACGTAGCGATCGACGACCATCAAAAGTTCGTGGTCATCCGCATCCTCTGCATCCAGTCATCTGCGATGTGTAGTGAGATCAAGCGCGAAGAAAACGCCATCGCCGAGGCCAGCGCCAAGCCTGCGATCGCCGTCGACTACGCGCTTAAGCAAGGCCAAACCATCAAAATCAAGCTCAATAAGAAGACCAAGGACGTCGACCCGAGCCCGGCGCCGGTCCAGCCGCTCGCGCAAGCTTCGAGCAGCACCAAGAACTCGGACCTCTTGGGCTTTGGTGCCTTTGATGCCCCTGCGTCCAGCACACAGTACGCGCTTCATCGTTGTGGCCTGCTTTCTCACCATCAACGTGCGTTTAGGCAAGCGGCGCCGAGCACATGGGAGACCTTCTAGTCCGGATCACGTCTGGACGCTATACCCTTCGCGAGAATTCAAACAGCATGCTTTACAGACGTCCTGTGGTCGATGTTTACGCGCGCTTGTCGCCGTTCCACTTGTAGAAGCCCTCGCCCGTCTTGCGACCGAGCTTGCCCTCCTTGACCTTTTGGCGGAGGAGCGACGGCACCTCAAACACGGGCTCGTTCGGGTACTTGGTGGTCCAGCCCTCGAGGATGAAGAGGATTGTGTCCAGGCCAACGTAGTCGGCGAGCGTGATGGGGCCCATGGGGTGGCCGGCGCCGAGTTGCATCGAGACATCAATGTCCTCCATGGACGCATCGCCACGTTCGAGGAGGAAGAGCGCCTGCGCGAGGTTGGGCACGAGCAAGCTACAATGGTGTCATGAGATGAGATCGGCGGTAGCGTTGTCTATACCGGTTGACGATGAAGCCGGGCGTGTCCTTGCAGCTCACGGGCGTCTTGCCAAGCGAGGCCGCCCAGCGCTTCGAGACGTCAAAGACGGTCGGGTCTGTCTCCTTGGTCTGGACGACTTCGACGAGCTTCATGACCTGGACAGGGTTGAAGAAGTGGAGGCCGACCTGGCGAGTTGCCGCATGAGCGTTATGGACAGTACTAGGGAGAAATACGTACGACTTGCGACGGGCGGCCCGACGAGCCGGCAAAGTCGCCGATCGAGAGCGACGACGTGTTGGAGGCCAAGATGCCCGAGGGCTTGACGATGCCGCCGAGCTCCTTGTAAAAAGTCTTCTTGATCTCGACGTCTTCAATGATCGCCTGCGCAATAGGATAAGATCCATGGCACACACGCATGTATTACCTCGATGACGAGGTCGCACTCGGCGAGGTCCTTCTTGACGACCGAGCCGTGGATGCGGCCCATGACGGCGGCAAACTCGTCCTTGGCCTGGTCCGCGGTCCACTCGCCCTTCTTGACGTGGCGGGCGCCAATCTTCTCGAGCGAGCCCTCGATGCGCGCGAGGCCGGCGTCGAGCGACTTTTGCGTCACGTCGAGCGCGACCACGTCGTAGCCGGCCATGGCGGCGGTCTGCGCGATGCCATGGCCCATGAGGCCGAGGCCCACCATGCCAACGCGCGTGATCTCCGGGATCGTCTTGGTCGCCATCGAGCGCATGCTACCCGCCGTCTTCATCATCATCATCGTGTTGCTTGTTTACTTGACAGCCCCAATCCAAAAGTGGGGTTGATGCAACACGGCCCAGAGCGTGTTTAAAACATATTTTGCACCCCACCAACTGTTTCAAACATACACCAGATGGACCAAGTTGAACTTGGATTCTGGCGCGAATCTTCCAGGTGAGGGGGCTCGGACATGGCGTCGAGAGCTGCGTCGAAGGCCAAAGATAATGGATAGCATTTCGCCATGTACATAGGTAGTCGCAGTAAGCATACCACCCAAGATGAAGCACAATGCGGCTGCGACGACCATCAAGTTGGCGTCTTCTCTTATGACTGGGTTGCATAAATATTACCGAGGAGCTGGCGCCGATGACTTCTTGGCGACGTTGCGTCATGTGTCCTATTGCAAAGCAAGTATACGTTGTTGTGTGAATCATTGTGTCGAGAGGATTGCACAGCTACTGCCAGTCGCTTGGTGTTGTGCCTTGCATGGGGAAGCCCATGGTATGAGCCAGTCGCCTCGTGGGGTGGCCGAGAGATGGGACTCCCAAATAGCAACAATCGACTACCCGTTGATTGGGACCAGGCGCGATATTTCGCCCCAAGACGTTGAGAGACTAAGACGTTGTCGGCGTCGGAACAGAAGTGCGTTCTTTAGAAGGCAGACGTCCATTTTCCAGCGGACGTCCCGCCCAGCGATAGGGCGGCCGATTTCGACCGGATAAAGATATCGTTTGTCCGGATGCCGGCCAAATCGACACAATGTATCAACACCGATGCTGCCAGACAGTCCGTCGCTTCCCAACGGTGCAATAACTCGCCGTTGGACCTTGCGCCAACGATTCGAGTTGCTTTTCGAATGGTTTTGGCCAACGCTGATTCGAACCACAGAGTTCAATTGACTTGCCATCGAATATGCAAACACCCAACGGAGCCCTTCCCTTTCTCTTGCAGTCGGCGATGAGCGTGACCCAGTGCGTTTCTATCGGCGCCGGTCCCTTTGACCCGCCCCGCCTCGTCGACATGAGCTCAGTCGAAGGCAACGACGTCCGAGGAGAGTGGCTCTTTGATGGCAAGCGGCTGCGGTGCGCCAAGGATCTCGCACGGTGCTGGACCGTCGACGGCAGTCCGAAAAGCCTCGCCACGCACGCCATCTACTTGAACGCTGTTCGCATCGGATCGCAGCCAGCGCAAGAATGGTGCTGGACGGGCAAGCTCTTTATCTCGGTCTTGTGCCCGACCATGTGCATCCAGCTGGACGTTGTCAAGTCGCCGCTGCCCGCATCGACGCGCTGCGTCCTTGGCGACGTGCGCGCTGGCGACTACCCGCCGCAGGAGTGGAACATGGTGTTTCTCATCCAAGACCCTGCGACGACGCCGACGACAGGGGTTGTGCCATTGACCTCTCTCTCGGCGATGCAAGTGTACCAGCTGCTCTCGGCGCTCGAGTTTGACCAGTACAAGCAGCGACTTTATAAGGCCGGTATCAACGGCCACGCGCTCGCGTGCTGTGCGGCCGTCGACGAGCTCGTCGAGCTCGGTGTCGACCTCAAGCTCAAGGCCCGCTCGCTCTGGCAGTCGCTGCAGTCGTTTCAGGCCCACGGCGTGCCCCTGGCTCGCTTTGAGCACGCCCCGCTGCCCAAGTGCGCGTACCGCTTCCAGTCGGTCAAGCACCCAGCACTGTGCTTGCAGCTGCAGAGCGGCGCCGGCGTGAGCCGCAACGGCGACCGGTGCATTTTAGGGACGACCAAGACGACGCTCTTTCCGGCCCAAGCGTGGATCGTCGAGGGCAAGTTTATCTACTCGGCCAAGGACAAGGCCAAGTGCATCCACCTCAACGAGCACGGGAAATCGCCGAACGGTGACATTTGTCATCTCTGGGAGGTTGAGCGCAAGAGGCCGTGGGCCAATCAAGAGTGGATCTTTGACGGCAAACTCATTCGGTCGGTCAAGGACCCGGCCAAGTGCCTCCGCCTCCAGAGCGGCGACAACCCGCACGTGGGCGCTGGCGACTTTTGCCACCTCTGGGACATTGTGTACGACGGTCCATTTCCCGCCCAGGAGTGGACGCTAGTGCGCGACGAGCACGTTCGTGTCGACTGAGTCAGCTCTTGTTGCTGCGTATTAACACGCAAGTCTGCATGTCTGACTTTAGTATGTACTTGTAGTAGGAGCAAGAGCATCTATAGTACACCCTTGCAAGCAGTCCTGCGCGTCCATTTGTTGTCCGGACTTTCGGCAGTGGCATCGTTCCTATCGACGTGCAGCCTGCCTCGACGTGGAGTCGACATGACTTCTTCATAACCAGGCAGGAAATCGGAGAGCGCGGTGACCCCTGGCTCTGCTTTTCGCGCGTTTCCTCCTCTACACAATTCGAGGTGAACTCGTTTGAGCTATTTGTACCAAGCACCGAGAGCGATACCGTCTAAAATTGGCCCACAAAGCGTAGCATCATGGGCTGGGACACGAAGCTCCAAGCGCTCTTCACAAACGAAGAGGTCTGGGACGTCGATGACAGCGACGACAGCATCATTCGCGAGCTCTCCAAGGCGGTCGACCAAGGCGTCGACGTCATTGGCGTCACGGACGAGGTCTCTCATCGCTTAACCCATCATTATCGTATCTTCCGCTGTGAATATATTAGGCGCTCAATACCTTTACACACCTCGCTGCGCTCTGGGATCGCCCGCGGGTGCTGGAATTTCTCATTCGCCAAGGCGCCGAGCTCAACGCGACCAACAAGGTCGGGCACACGCCCGCGGATTTGGCCATGCATTGGGGCAACGCCGACTTGGCGATCCAGCTCAAGCACTACGGCGGCAAGCACAGCTGCGAGCAAGAGCGGGACCTCGCGATCACGCAGCGCGACATTGCCGCGAGCCAAGTCGCCGACGCCAAAAGCAAAATGGAAAAGGCGCTCACCGAAGCGCTCGCCTTGTCGAAGGAGCGCGAGTGCCTTCGCATCGAGCGCGATCGGCTGGTCGTTGAGATGGACGAGCTCTCGCACGACGCGACCCAAGTGCGCGCCGACTGCGTCACGTACCGCGCGCTGTTTGAAACGCAGGAGGCGCAAATGAGCGCGCTCACGCTCGAGCTCGAGAAGGTCCGGTCGCAAATGAGCGCCGAGGCCAAAGCCAAAACGAACGCGCTCGAAGGCTGGACCAAGGCCGAGGCGCATGCGAAGGAGATGCAGCGCATGCGCGAGATCGCCATGCAGTGCGAAGAAGAGGCCGTCAAGATGCGCGACGAAGCGATGGCCGAGCGCGACGCGGCCCGCGAACTCGTACCGCCACGTCATATTATCCGGATCGATTGCCATGGGCATGGTGGGGTTTAGATGAAGCAAGCGCAGACGGACCATGTCGTCGCCGTGACCGTGCAAAAGCAGGCCGCGCTCGAGCGCGCGTTGGCCATCAAGGAGAAGAACGAGGCGCTCGCGACGATCCAGTTGCAGCTTGCCGAGTGGTCCGCCAAAGTCAAAGCCGCCGAAGACGACCGCGCCATGATCCAAGTCGAAATCAACCGGCAAAAGGTGCAAGGGCGAATGATAATTTTGTATTTCTATCTATCTATCGATGTAATATATGGTGTAGGCGAGCTTGGAGGCGCGCTGCAAGGCGCTCGAGAAGGAGATCGCGCGTGTCAACCTCCTCAACACGATTCTCGAAGGCCAGCTGCGGGATGCAACCACGAAGCTCTCGACCGCCGAGACCACGGCCGAGTCGTCGATCGTGGCGATGGAAAAGTCCACGCGCAAGGCCAAGCGCCTCGAGAACGAGATCAAGGAGCTCATGGAGGCGCGCGTTGAAGAGAAGCGGCTGTGGCGCTTCAAGGAGGCGCAGGCGCTCCACGAAGAGTCCCAAGCCAACATGCAGTTGCTGCTGAAAGCTGCCTTGCGGCTCTGGAAGAAGCTCAGCGACTTGGAGTGGATCTTTGATTTCGTGACGCACCCGAACGAGAGTCTCCTCGTCGAGCCCGAGACGACGCCCAAGCCGCTGCTGCGTCGCCCGAGCACAACCAAAGAAACACTGCATCGCATGTCGGCGCCGACGCTGTCACCGCTACCGGCGCTCGCACCGATTGAAACCAAAGTTTCGGCCAAGTTTACAGGTACAAATCGTCCTGGAGACATGGGTTAACGAAAAGATGGCGACTAGAAAAACTCCACTCGATTCAAGCCAAGGTGGTCGAGTGGACCAAATGGTGCGTGAGCAGCTTGGACGACAGCGTGCGCTGGGACAAGGCGCTCTTGGCGCAGTCGACGCAAAACATCGACTGCCTCCTCACGGTCGCCGACGGCCTCTTTGACTTTCTAGCGGTTGCGATGAAGGACAAGTGCGGCGAATTTCGGTATGTCAAATTTTGCATTTTGTCGTTTTTTGCATTTTCCATCCTATTCTTACAATTTCTCAAATGGTCGTAGAAAGCACTTGGAGATCCAAGCCAAGGCCGTCGAGCGGAAGGACATGCTTCTCAAGCGCTTTACCCAGCACCGCGAGGAGCACGTCAAGAAGACGCGCGCACTGCATTTTCGCGAGTGCTCGCACGGTCCCTGCTAAACTTTTAGACGAATCTCACAATGGTACTACTCGTATGGAAATGTTATGGATTGCAGTGCACACAGCTTGTCATCGAGACTATTGTATCGATTACGCGTCCGAGATGGCGCGAATGGCGCGAATGAGGTCGTGGAGGTCGACTTCGGTCGTGACGGCAATCACGCGGCGGCCTACACATCCGACGACGTGAGTGCCCACGAGCAAGACTGGAAAGTTACGGCCGTCGGGGGCATCCAGGAGGTGACGGCGATGAACGTTGAAGATCGCGACGGGGTACGTGTCCTTGGGCGCCGACGCCAACTCGGTTTTCGTGCATTTTTCAATGGTCGACGAGAGCAAAATGTGGCCTTTGGGCGGCACCCCGTGCTTGGCGTCGTCCATCGTCTAGACATGAACCTGTCTGATTTACCGACAACCATTGTAGAAGCGTACGCTCCAGTACTCGAGCTTGCCGTTGCGGATCGCGGCATACCGGTGCTACATCACAACACGTTGACATCACGACGACCGCCAAGTTTCGGTCGTACGGCCCAGCCCACAAAGAGGTTTTCGCCCCGCTTCCAGATGTACCCTGCCCAGTCGGCTTGGAGCTTGGCCTGCGCCGACGAATGCTCCTTCTCGCGCAAATACGCTTGATTTTCAAACCGAAACATCTACGAATCAGGACAATCATCGTGCGAGAAGACAATATTGTCATACGCCACACCTTTTGTTCATCCATGTCGCTCGGAAACGTCGCAATGAAGTTCCAGATGCGAATCACGTCGCCGTCAATGAGCCGGCGGTCGCAGAGCCGATGAAACCGGTTGGTAAACTATCGACATATTGTCCAATCATGCACAATTTGTCATAAAAAACACGCTACCTTGCGCGTGATCTGGTACACGACAAAGTACTTGGCCGGGACGATGTACGTGACGATAATGCCAAGCACGACCACGAGCAGCACGAGCGCCGTCTTGCGCGGGTGCGTCCACAGGAACACGTTCTTGATCTTCTCGAGGAGGTCGCACACTTTCCCGATCTCGTGCTGGATGGTCCGCGCCACGTTGCGCGCCATGTGGTACTTCTCCACAAACGAGAGCGACTTGGCGTTCTCGATCTCCATGACCGAGTACAACGCTTCGCTCGCGAGCCGCTCCTTCCAGCTCACGGGCTTCGTTGGGTCCCGGAGCGTGAGCTGGACGCGCACCGTTAACGTCGGAACGTCGTCGCCTTCGACGTCTGTCAAGGGCGTATTGAGCAGCGGCAACGCCCGCTCGACCTCGACTTGGGGTCCACCAATGCGACTGCTCGTCACGAGGTCCTTGATCGGGTACCGCACTTGGCCGAGGAGCTTGCGGCTCGTCATCGCATTCTCCTGCACAACATCGAGACGGAGGATGCCAGGGCAGGCCTCCCATGGCACGAGTTCCTCGAGCTCCGTGATCGGGTTGGTGCGCACGGGCTGCAGGATCGGGTACTTGAAGGCGTGCTGGTCCACGGATCCGTCGTCGCGCTTCCACGCTTCCTCGACGTCGTGGAGGACGGCTACGCATCTCTGGCCCTTTTGTCGATACTAAGAGGAGATGGCTACCGTCTTTGGCGTGCGGACTCAAATGCGTGAACAGCTCCTTGAACCAATTGTTGTTGAGAAGACAAATGTCCCCGGCGTCGTCGCGGCCATACTCGGGGCTGCGACTGCCCAGCACCGAGTTGGTGCGCGCAATGAGCCGCGGAGGCAGCTCCTTAAAGTGCGGCTCGTAGTAGAGCTCGACATGCGTATCCAGCGGCCGCAGCGCGTCCTTTTGCTTCATCTCGCTCCACTTGGCTTCGATCAAGTTGGCCGCGCACCGGGGCACGACATGGAGCGTCGCGATCGATCGGAAGAGCTTCATTTGAATCTCATCGGGGTCGTACTCGGTCCACGTCTTTTGGATGCCGCCGCGCGCGTAGCGTACATAGTTGACCACCAAGAGCGCTGCCACAGCAAGTAGAAGCACAAGCGGGCAGTGCGATGTCGGAAAGTAGAGCACGCCGAGTGTCGAGCCGACCCAGAGACTCAGCGTGAGCAGCGGATTCCGCCACTCGAGGATCTCGCGGATCTGCAGCTTGGCGCTCTACAGAATGGCAGCATATCATCATCTGGAGGATAGATTTTGGGGCCAGAGACCTGGGCGACGCTGAAGAGGAGGTCGAGGCGCTCGATGTTGCGCTTGATTATGTCGCCTTTGAACTCGACTTCATCCGGGCGCACGAACGTCGCGTCCTCGTGCAATTCGGGCGACACGATCGCGCGGAGGTTCTCGATGTACTCGACTTGTAGCTGGACGAGACCGACGTCGTCGTCGCCTTGGCGCAGCACGACCCACTCAAAGTGCGGCGCTGGCGGCTGCCGGCCGGGCCCAAGCATCGGCGGCGGCGGAGACCACACATGGCGCCGCGCGCCGGCGCGCTGGAGGATCTCGAACGTCCCGAGCGAGAGACTGCCATACCGCACCTATGTACATATATCTGCATAGGATAGCACCCTGGATGCGAGTGTGGGTACCGCTTGTTTGCCGCTCTGGAGCTTGGTGAGGTTGGGCGTGGCGGCGAGCGCCATGGGCCGGAGGACGTCGAGGCGCAGCTCCGAGTGGATGCTGTTGACGCTGAAGCGCTTCTTGTACACGACCGCCATGCCGTCTGGCGCGTGCACGTAGATCTCCTTGACGTTCTCTTCGAACGCAACGCTCAAGACCGGGTCAAAGTCCGGGACGTAGGCGAGCGAGTGGCCGTCGAGCTTGGAGCACTGCGGCCCGCAGATGTGCAGGCCCTTGATGTGCACCGAGAGATGGCCGCGCGGCGCCGGCTTGGCCATTGCGTCGGGTGCCGGCACCGGTTTGGCTTTCTTGGTCGGTCCCCGCGCTTGCAAGAGCGAGGCCGACGGACGCACCTTGGCGGCATTCAATGGCAGGTCGCTCACCGTCGGGTGAAAGCAGTACGAGAGCAGTAGCTTGGGCGCCGATCCGTCGTCGTCGGCGTTGCCGCTTAGAGACTCGAGCGGTACCCACTCCTCGGTCGTCACACCGGCAGCGACGATCGCGCCGGAGACGGGGATGCGCACGTGCCCCAGCGCCGGCGTCGGAGCGTCCAGAATATGCACGCTCACGTCCAGCACGAGCGTTCGGAGCGCGCCGTCCGTGTGCTTGAGCTTCATGATCGTGTCCCAGCGCCCCGAGGTACTGCCATGGGTGGTGCTGATGCGCGCATACGGCTGCAATTGGACCGAGACCGCGAGATGGCGCTGCAGCGTCGCCTCGTCGTAGCCGACGGCGCGGAGGACGACGACCGAGAAGAGCCCGCAGCGCGACAGCTTTTCCTTCATACTGCCATGCATGAGCGACGCCATGCTACCGACATGATTGCTCGTAAGATCCGTCGTTCGAGAGGTCGTACGTACGACATGGCGCGCTCGCTCACGGACGGCGGGGCAGCTGTGTACGGCCGTGCTTCGAGCACGTCTCCGTTGGCAATGTCATCGCCGGCAGGGTTAAAGTAGTAGAGATCTAATGCGTCTATGAAAAAGCGATACCGTGTGGCCGTGTGCCTACCGCGGTTGGAGCGCCGGTGGCGAAGGCCAATGATCTGGGTGGGGTCGCCGCCATGCTCGGACGCGAACCGCTTCTGCGCCGCGTGCACGAGCGTCTGGACGTAGTCGCTCGGCTCAAACTGGAGCACAATCTCCTTGGACTTGACGATGACCGTGCACGTAAGCACTACCTATCCGTGTCAGGCTTGTCGAGGAGGCGACCGACGACGTACGCTGCGCCGGCGGAAGCAGCGCCGCCAGCTGCGGGCGGCGCACCGACGGGCTCTTGGGCTCCATGGATAATGCAAGACGACGGCAGCAGTCGTTTTTTGGTGCCATCGGTTTCATCGTCCGGTTTCGCGAGAACGCGCACGGCGCCTTTTTTCTCACGACGACGACGACGACGACGACGACAACGACGGGTTACGACGACATTCGGATTGCAATATCTTGGTCTCTGCACACGCCGCCGAGCAGCAACCGCAGCGTGTCCCGCGGATGGGATGCCAGTGACACACATATGACCGGCGTTGGCGGCCGTTGGCTTCCAAAATCGAAGCTCCGCGTCAAATCGCCGACGTCGCGCACTCGCCGATCCAGCGTTTGACACGTCATGGCTCTTTTCGATGCAGCGCTCGCGACACGGGTGCTGGACCGGTACAGCGACTGCGTTCGCAGCCAGTGCGACGCTCTCCCGCGCGACAACTCATCGTACATCGCCATCACCGCACAGTACACCTCCTGCGTCACGTCATGCGCAGCCGCCGAGACGGTCACGACGACCGCCGACATCCGCGACGAGCTCGACGCCATCGTCGCCCTCGGATACGACGAACTCGCGAGCGTCCGCCGGTACCTCGCCGATGCCGACGACGCGTGGCCTGCGTCGCACCCCGCCGTGTACGCCGAGAGCGCGCGGTGCCTCCCGCGTGATTTCTTCGTGCCGTGGGACGCTCTCCTCGTACCGATTCCAGTACGCGGCACGCAGCGCTGGACCACCGCGTCGGCGTATCTCGATGCATGCGCGGGCCACAGCGAGGCCGATGCGATGTGCGACGCAGCGACCGTGCAGGCGGTGAGGTGGGCGTCGCGCGGTGTGCCAATCGTCGCTCCGCACATGGCTCATGAGGCGCCGCCCGGCCAACCAAACACACGGCTCAACCCTCTCGCGCACGTCGGTCCACGTCATGTCTGCGTCGCAGTTCGCAATTCGCTTCGACCGCATCGACCATTTCAAGTGTACAAGCCTTTAAACGCAGAGAGCAAGTGCGCACCGGACGTCAATAACGGCGTTCGCATCGAGTACAGTCGCGAGCAGTTCCCGCCCAGTGTCTGGACGCTGGGCCGTATGGATTCCAACAGCACACACTGGCCGGCGCCGGCGCGCTACACTTACTGCAGCCCCGAGCAGTATGCGTCGTACCTCGAGCGAGAGCTCTTTAGCGACTGCGCGGCAGCGACATCGTCGCTTCGGTGCTTTGCCTCGCTCTGGAGCCGGCGCGCCGACTGCATGACGGCCGTCCTCAACGTCCACCTGCTGCCGCGGGCGTCCAACGCCTTTGTGGCGACGATCGGGCAGTCGGCCAGCGTCCTCACCGGCTTGTATCGCTGCGAACGAGACATCTCGCGCGCGTCGATCGCCCGCGGCGTTCCCAACGCGCTCACAACGTCGTCGCTCTTGCTGCAGCGTCAGGTCGGTGGTCTCTCCATCACGCTTGGCATCTGTGCGAGCGTCGTTCTACTGGCGCTGCTCGTCACGGTGCAGCGGTATCGTCGTCGCCGCCGCGTGGACGAGACCGAATTCTACATCGCGCTGCTCTAAAGTAGATGTCGCGTTGTAATACATGTACTAGCTCCGTCAACAACAACACACAGAAGCGAAGGGCGTAGGATTCGAGTCGCGTGAGGGTACTCTAGCCCTGGTTGCGGCGGCGGGCGAGGATCGCGGCAAGCTCGCTGTTGACGTTGCTGCCTGCGGCCGGCGCGGCGGCTTCGCCAAACTGGCGCACGTTGAGCGCCTTGTTGGAGGACCCGCGGCGAGTACTGGTCTTCGCCTCTTTTTCCTGCTGCTTGCGCGCCTTCTTCTCGGCGACGCGGCGCAGTCGGTCGTCTTCACGCTCCTTCTCGCGCGTGGCCTGGCGCGCGGACCGCTGCGCCATCTCGATCTCTCGCTCGGCGTTGCGCTTCTTTTGACGCTCGCGTTCGCGCTTGCGGCGGGCTTTGACGTACTTGTCGGGCACGAGGTCGGACGCCGCGCCGAGTGCCTCGAGACCCGAGGGAGTCGCCGTGATGCGGACGTCGGGGCCGGTCCCAAACGTGATGGGCATGGCCGGACTCGAGCTCAGAACCGGGCTCGTCCGGAGACGCACCTGCGTCTCAAAGTCGATCTTGATGGCTGGGTTGGCGTGCACGAGGAGCACGGCCAGCTCGGTTTTCTTCTCGCAGAGCCACAGCTGATCTTCAATCACTTCGGTCGAGAAAAAGCCGACGACCGAGTCGACGACGCGGACAGGCACGTAGTAGCCGCGGTCAGGGACCACGCAGAGCTGGCTGCACACGTCGGCGCAGTAAATGTTGCCCGTGAAGCGGCAGTGATGCCGGCGCGTGAAGAGCCCAAACTTCTTGTGCGTCATCATGCACGTGGGCGCCGACTTGTTTTCCTTCCAATGGGACGCGTCCGGCGCCGAGAGCACCGGCGGTGGCGTCATGCGGACGACCAGGAACGGGTCCGCATTCGGACTCAGCACGAGCGACTCGATCGCTGCGAACGGAATGCGCCGGCGCAACGACAAGAACGGCGGCGGCTTCGTCTCGGCTTTGACCGCAGTAAATGGACTGGCTTGCTCAAAGAGGTAGACGTACGCAGCCGTGACGACCAGATGCCGCGGCAGACGCTCGCCCCGCGCCCCGACCTTGTCGATGGTGTCCCAGAAGAGGATTTTTTCCGGATCGCCATAGTAGCGCAAAATGCTCCAGACGCTCGTGCGGACATCCTCTTGACGGCAGTAGTCGTTGTCGAACGGACGGTACAGACTCACCTAGTCACCATATTTGGATCGATTGAGACAAGAGTGAGGTAATACCCGCTGCCGCCCCTTGCCCTTGGTGCTGTAGAGCTTGGCAATGTCGGCTGCAAGCGACAGGAGGTGGCGCCGACCCGCGTACTTGACCCACGCGCGCTGGATCTTGACGACGTACTTGCCAAAGGTAGCGTCGCGGAGCTGCTCGAGGGCAAAGTACGTCTCGGGTGTCCGAATGAACACCATGCTCTTGCCCCATTGCACCTCGTCTTTCAGCGCCGGAATCGACTTGATGGCGGCCTTGACGATCGCTTTCGCGCCGTGGGCGTCCGAGCCGGTAAAATCCGGCGACGTCTCTCTCGAGAGCCACTTGAAGCGATCGAGGAACCGGCCATAGTCGCCGCGGTACGCATACCCGGCGCGCCGCACCTTGACGTTCTCGAGGAGGCCGAGGTACTGGATCTGATGCAAGACGCGCTTGTCGTCGATCGAATTGGGCTGTTTGTAGTCGTTCGACTTGATGCAGCGCACGTAGTGGGGCTGGCATTCCATGAGCGCGGTCACGAGCGCCGCGCACTGCGTGCGGATCTTGGTACCGGCCGTCACCGCCTTGGCCTCGAGGTCGACGGACCCAAAGAGGTACTGAAGGAGCTTGTTGCTGCTTTTGCCGAGGAGCCCCAAAATGTCCTTGGTCAAGCTCTCCTTGTTGGCTTCGCCAAAGCCGAGAATGTTGTACTGGACGTTGCCCGCGTAGTGCTTGATCTCAAAGACGCGGCCGCGCTTCGAAAAGTGCGGGTGCCCTTTGTGGATGCTGGTGAGCTTGTCGAGAAAGGTCGCGTCGACGCTGTCGCCTTGGCGGCTGTGCATCGTCTTGATCGTGTCGTCCAAAACAAAGAAAATGCCTGGCGGCGTCCGTGCTTCAATGAGGTCGCAGACCACCTTGTTGTTGAAGAATGGAATCGGCGTCCACGCAATCCTATGGATGATGATATCCATGTGTTGACGACGACGGCTTTGAAAGAGAGAACGACGAACCCTTCGCGCGCGTACTCGGCTTGTTCCGACTGCAGCGTGAGCTCGATGAAGATTTGTTGGAGCTTTTCGTTGACGTAGTTGATGCAAAACTGCTCAAACCCGTTCAGATCAAAGATCTCAAAGCCGTAGATATCGAGGATGCCGATGCTGCTTGCGTCCGAGCGCTCCATTTGCTTTTCAATGTCCAGCGCATGGTTGACGCGCTCGACGAGAAAGTCAAAGAGGCTCTCGTAGATGTGCTTGGCGATCGCGTCGCGCTGGCTGCGCGCTTGGTCCGGGTTCTGCGGCACCTCGTAGCTCTCGACCTTGCCGCCCTACGAAGCAGCGCAAATAGCACCATATATCCTCCTACAGCCTCTCTCAGAAGCGTACGGGCGCCATGGTATGTAGCCACTTGTAGCTAAACGCGCGCTCCAACGCGGTCGCGTCCAGCCCCAGAAGCGCGCAGGCAGAGTCGAGGCTGCTGCGCGCGTCGCCACGGAGCCGGGAGCCCTCGGCGTCTTTGACCTGAAGCGGCTCGAACTCGACGTTGCCAAGGTGCAAGAGCGCCGCAATCGTCTGCACGACCAGCTCGATCTGCTTCTTCTTGATGCCGACGTGCTGCATGGCCGTCATCGTGGCTTCAAACTCGGCCACGTCGTCGAGGTCGTCGATCGCGTAGCAGTTGGAAACCTTGAGGTACTGGTACGCACTCGGCGACGCGACGAGACCAAACTTGGACCGGGCGCTGTCCGGCAGCCCCGCGAGCACTTGGTAAAAAATGTGAAAATTGCGCTCGGCCTTGCCGGGCTTGACAACGCGGGACTTTTCGAGGAGGTAGTTGGTCACATGGCCGCCTTGGGGCCGCCCCGCCGCATCAAAGAGGAGTTCAAAGTACTTGCCAAAGCGCGACGAGTTGTTGTTGCGCACCTACGACGATGCGAGCATGACGCTCATGCGATGAGGTCGAGATGCGAATTTACGGTCTTGGCGTTCCCGAAGGCTTCGAGAAGCGGGTTGGATTCGAGGAACGTGCGCTTGATCTTGTCGACGCCGGCGCCGCTGCCCGAGATGCCCGCAATGTAGTTTTGGATCTGCTTGGAGGCCTCGGTTTTGCCGGCGCCCGACTCGCCCGAGATGATGACGCATTGGTTCTCTTCCTCGCGGACCATGGTCCGGTACGTCTCCTCGGCGGTCGCAAACACGTGCGGTGGGACGTCGATGCGCTGCTTGTGGGCGTAGTACTTCATCGTGCGCTCGCCGTAGATGTCCAGCCACTTGTAGGGGTTGACGCACACCAAGACGTGTCCGATGAACGTGTAGATCTGGTCGCTGCCGTGGCGCGCCTTGAGGTTCTCGAGGATGCCATTGTCCGAGACCGACGGCAGTAGCACCATGTCGTCGACGCCGACGACCCGGCGCTCGACCTCGAGGGCCACGCCGCGGCTGCGCGCCTTCGTTGTCTTGCTGCTCATGATGACGACTGAGGCCACGTTGCACACAGCCCGCTGAACGCACGCAACCTTCGGGATCATCGGCTAGGTGCACGCAACCTCGGTCGCCGACCCACGTCGTCACCCGCGAGCAAAGCGCCGCCTCAGACCTGCGCTAAGGAGTCGCCTCGCTGCCCTTTGCGCATCAAGCGGGCATGGTACGAACCTGCTGTAGCGCTGCGTACGACGATACACGAGCCCGAGCCCACCTATGTACCCTACCCCGCGTTGGGCAGGTGGCTTGATGTCGTTTTACACGATCGGCAGGAGCCTGCGATCGCGCGGCTCCAAGCAACGAGAGGTACCTAGCGCAATGAATTGGTGCGTGGACGGCGCAGAGGCGATCTGTGCGCTCCATTGCTGGTTCCGTTGCCGCAGCTGTCGGACCTCCGCCACGCGCGAGTTGGGTGCGTTTAGTCGGATCATTGGGTCGTTTTTTCGGATTGTGCGATTTTCGGGCAAGAGAAAACAGCAGCAGCAGCAGCTTGATGGCGGTCCCGTTGAAGGAAGGGCTGCAGCTCAAGCAGTGGGTCCTTGGTGAGAAGCTCGGCAGCGGCGCCTGCAGCGACGTGTACGAAGGTAGACTCGTGCATGGCGAGGATGATGACGATGTGGGCGTAGTCGCACCTCTCAAGGGCGGGCAAAGATACGCCATGAAGGTCTCGCCGATCCCTGCGCCGGCCGCGGGCAAAAAGAAGCGCAAGAAGACACACGCGGACCGCAGCGCCGACGCGCTCTACGCCGAGCACTTGCTGTACGTCAACAGCCTCGCGGGCCACGCGGGGATCCCGACGCTCCCGGCCTCTGGCGCATATGGCGAGGACAAGGGGTACCGCTTCCTCGTGCTCGAGCGACTCGGCCGGACGCTCGAAGACGTCAAGGTGGCGCATGGCCGACTGCCAGAGACGACGGTCGCGCGTCTCGGCCTCGAGATCGTACGACGCGCCTCCATTGTGTGGTCGCCTCACGGGTTGTAGATGGCGATTCTCCAGCATATCCATTCAAAGCGGCTCCTCTTTGTCGACGTCAAGCCCGAAAACTTCATGCTCAACACGGCCCCCGAGACAAAGGTAGCTTGGTTCACGTCGGCGGGGTACTCACGATTGCCTCAGGTCTACTGCGTCGACTTCGGCATCGCCGAGCGATACCTCCTCGTGACGGGCGTTCACAAGCCGTACAAGGTGGCTGGTGTCGTCGGAACGCCTACGTTTCTGAGCTTGAACTGCCACGAAGGCAGCAGTACGTTGTTATCAACGACGTAAGTCCCATCGTCCTTCTCGTTGCGTAGCTCCGAGCCGCCGAGACGATATTGAAGCACTTCTGTACGTGTGCCTCTACCTCGTGCGCGGGGACCTGCCGTGGCAAGGCGCCGCGTCCGACCAAGACGGCGCGCGGCTCAAGCGAGCGACGGCGCTCACGGACCTCTGCACGGGTCTCTCCTGTACGCACAACTATTCTCCCACAACGTCACGAGCATGATCCCTCTCAATAGCCGAGTGGGCCAAACTGGTGGCAACGATCCGGGCGTGTGGCTATGAAGACGCACCCGACTACGCCGCGATCGAAGCCGGCCTCGCACGCATTTGCGGGTCCGCGTCGCGCACGGGCACCTATGTGTGGGGCGCCACGACGACGACAACGACAGTATCCTCCAGCGCTGCCAAGGGCCGCCCGTCGCCGGCCAAGAAGCAGAAAGGACAGACACGTGCCACGGCCGTCAACATCGACGACGGCGACGACGACGAACCGTTGGAAGACAAACCGGCGCCAGCCACAGCCAAGGCCAAGGCCAAGCCAGACAAGGCCGAGCCAGCCAAAGCAGCCACAGCCAAGGCCAAGCCAGCCAAAGCCAAGGCCAAGGCCAAGGTGGCGCCAGCCGCGTCGACACGTCGTCTGGAGGCCGCGACGCGGGCCGTGGGTGCGGCAGCGGCGGCCAGCGCAGCCTCTGGAATCGCCACGCGCACACGGTCGTCTGGTCCCAGTGCGTAAAGCTTTTGTCGGCGGATACTTTGGACTGGAATGGAGGTCAAGATTCTTGGATGAGTGAGGATGGTTACGCGAGGTAGTTGTACAGTTGCGTGTTGGAAGCGTCGCGCTCGAGGTACTCGCGGTCGATGAGGCTCTCGATGCGGCGCTTGATGTCGACGGGTTTCGCCGGAAACTTGAGCTGCGTGAGGAGCTCGCTCATGAGCAGCGCGTGCGAGAGCTGCTTGCGCGACTTCATGATGCGCACAATGGCTGCATCCACTTGGTACTGCCGGTCGCGGAAGACACGCTCGTGCGTCTCCGTGTTCTCGGCCGTCGTCTCCTTCATCTGGATCGAGTTGATCTTGATGCGCATGAGCGGGTTGGTAAACGCCGCGTTGTAGACAAACTCGTCCGTGTCGGCCACGTCGCGACCCTAACCCCAAGGTGACAACGGCTCGAACGATTATCCAAGGCGCTACCTTGGGCTGCTTGGTGAGCACGCGGACCTTGCCGCACGCGAGGGACTGCAGCGTTCGCCGCAGCTCGCCGTCCTCGATGCCCGTCTGCTCCTTGATCTCCTTGAACCCGAGCGTGTCGCGGCCGTTATTGAAGCAAAGCAGTACGAGTGTCTGGAAGACCGAGACCGCGAGTTCCTTGCGCCCTTTCGGGAACGACGCTTTTACGAGGCAGTGGCCGAGCGAGTGCTGCCATTGGAGCTGCCGGCCCTGGTACTTGGACGTATAGAAGGCTTCAAAGATGGCCTTAAGCGGCAGGAGCGACTGCGGCAAGAGGATCTCGGTTGGCACGTACGCTGGCCAAAAGCCCGTCGTGAGGACGTGCACGTGCATGTCCATCTTGTGCTTGAGGTTGCTAATCGCGAGCCTACGCGAGTATCACATTATCAGCCACGATGACGTCCGATCGAAAAACGCACTGGCTCGCGTTGTGCTGCTGGAACTGCGTCATGACACTGCGCGAGAGGTCAATGTCCTTGAACATGCCTTCGAGCTACATCCCATGTCATCATTCGCCGATGTTATGCTCTTGTCTTGTACCTTGTTGGTGAACGAGCTGCCGCACTCGGTCTTGAGCTTGGAGATCATGGCTTTCTCCAAGTCGAACGATGCCGACTTGCCGAGGAGCAGTCGCTTCGCAAGGTCTTTCTTGTAAAAGGCTTCAAAGACATCCTTGCCTTGGATGTAGCGGAAGAGCACCATGACGCGGTCGAGGAGCGCTTCAATGTCGCGCTCGGACCCGTCTTTGTTGCCCGTCTTGAGCTTGGCGTCCACAAACTTGGCGATGAGCTCGGCCGGTCGGCTCGCTTTCGCGTTGATCGCCGACTCCATCGCCGACTTGAGTGCGTGAACAAAGGTCGTCTCGCTGTGAAAAGCGTCGCGCAGCATGACGTCGAGGTCGGCCTTGAACTGGAGGAGGCTCGCGACCATGCCCTTCTCGAGCTCGAGGCTCGTCGGGCTCGTGTCGTTGACAATCTTGGAACCGGTTGCGATGATGTAGCGACTCCAGCTGCCCTTCAGGAGCGGAAGCTGCTCGATGCGTTCAAAGAGGCCAAAGAGGCGCTTGAGGTCGTCGATGCGGTGGCCCGTTGCGAGCTCTTCAAAGCCGCGCTCGAGGAGGAGCACGGCGTGGGGCGCGAGCAGGTGGGTCTCGACGACGTGCAAGATCGCCTTCTTGGTCGTCAAGTTGTTGTCCATATAGCCCGTCGCGCGCTCGTTCTCTTCCAAGAGACGCTTCTCGACATGCAAGAGGAACGACGCGACGCTCGCGTCTTCCATGTGCTGTTGGCCTTCCGACGCATAAAACACTTCGGCCGCGGCCAAGAACGGGCGCTCGAGATGCCGGCCATAGATGTGGAGCGCAGACGTCATGCGTACGAGCGACTTGAGGTGCTGGCGCTGCACGGTCTCGCCATGGCGCTCGCGCTCGACCTCGCGCAGGAACGCGGTTGTGATTTTGGACTCGAGCGCCGGAAGCACATGGAGCGCCTCCTGGAAGCACGTCAGACCCATGTCGTAGATGGACGCGACGCCGGGTGTTTGCATGACGTACGTCCGATCCAGATAGAGGCAGAGGTTGCGGATCATGAGCAAGTCGGAGCAGAATTCTTCCCAGAGGCCGACGAGCCGCTCGACAAAGAGCGCGCTGTCCACATGGAGGAGGCCGAGGTCGTCTGCGCACGCCGACTGCAGCGTCTTGTCGACCGTCGTCGCGAGGTGTGTCTTGAGAAGGCCGTAGAGCCACGCGGCCTTCTTCTGGTGGCAGAGGTCCGTGACGAGGCCGTAGAGCTCTTCCCAGCCCAGCGTCGTGGTCGCGGCCGCCGACTTGTTCTGGAGGCACATCAAGGAGGCCTGGAGGTCCTTCCATGCGCGCTCCTCGAAGCCTTCCGGGACGCTCGGCGCCTGCTTGAAGGGCTTGATCGAGACCTTCCTCGCCTTCTTCATCGCTGGCCGCAACTTGGATGGCAAGCCGGAAGATGCAATTTTAATCGCAATATTTTATGTTGCATAGTGTTTCACAGTGTACCATCAAAGAAATTATGCAGGACCTGGTATTCCGCCACCTCAACGCTCCCGAGGACCCCCATGCAGGTGGCCGCCACATCGATCCTCGCTGACCGCAGCGACGTGATTCTTGCCTGCCACCCTCTCGCACCTACGGCTGCCCTACGCTGGGCGCTGCATCAACATGAACGCAAGTGGCATCGAAGGCTCGACCGCCGCATTAAAAGTTCAGCCACGTGAGCGCGCACACGGCGACGGTCGCGGGCGACGGCAGAAAGTCTTGGATCGAGTCCCATGAGTTGGCGTCGTGGTACAGAAAGTCCATGCTCTTCTTGAGCGACGGGTGCAGCACGTGGCCATGGCACTCGAAGAGCCACATGACAATGGCCCACGTAGCGCACGCGAGCACGGGGTAGACCTCGGGGAACGCATAGTCGCGGAGGATCGGCGCGCCCTTGGCGCTAAGGAGCTTGACGAGGCCGATGAGGACGCGCGAGAAGAGATACATGACGATCTGGTAGTTGATGTTCGAGTACTTGGACCAGATCGCATACCTACGAGGCCATGGAACGCTAAGATCTCAGTGCCATAAGATGACAGATGGAGATACCCGCCGATCGCGCCGGCGGCCGCCGCGTGCCATGGCACGACCGGGTTCAAGCCCGCGCTCGTGGCCGTCGCGCCGCCATGCATCGCCTTGAGCGCAAGCAGCGACGTCTTGTAGACACCGACAAAGCACGCCAAGTTCTTCGTGTGCTCGTACGTGAGCTTGATGATCGCACGGAGCTGGTCGCGCAGCGGTTTCTTCTGGAAGAGCAGCACCATGACCAGCGCTACATCATCATAATCATAGCATCATGTAGTTGACATCGCCATGGCCATCGAGGCCTACCGTGGGGCGCGCGGATCTTGGTGCCATAGAAGGCGCCGTTGCGGACGGCGCGGACGAGGCAGAGAACGTCGTGCGGGACCAGCGTGCTCATCATCTTCGCCGACAGGAACGACCGACTCTGGCACTTGGATCACTTATCCATTCGGATGGTATCCGTACGATCCAGCACCGTATCCGGACCTCCCGGTTCCAGATGGTCAGCGCGCTTGCAGTCGATCCGGCACCAGATCCGGCAAGGACGAACGCAATATACCCGCCAACTCAACAGAGAGGGTCGGCCGACAACCACGCTCTCGCATCATACAATGGAGTGTAGAGCCTGCTCTGGGGAGCCCAAAATACCAAGTGACATCGCTGTTTAATACTGACAACCAGATAAATTCTCGCGCAACCAGTCCCGGTTCCATCCAGGGGTACATACCTAATCATATACCCCTGGTTCCATCACGCAGAAGGTGTGGGAAAGAACGACAGTGACTGATCGCGACGCATCTTTCCGCGCAACGTAGAGATCGTATTGATTGCTGCTGCAGGCACGATCCAAGATATATTTGTGGCAAACGCCAGAAATAAGATGGTAGTGCCATTTCTAAAAGCACGGCCCTCGACGCGGGTGGCACTTGGTCGGTAACATCGCGTTTGAAATGGAATCGCCCATAGTTGGCACAGTGATAGAAGACACTTTGGAGAGCAGAGCAGACTATGCTGCGTCGTCGTTGCAGTCCTATAACGCGCGCAATGCTCGACAACCGATACAAAGCGCTTTTAAAGCGTTAAAAAGCAATGATCCACGCCATGATGGATCTTTTCACTTGGGGTAGTAGCGACTGGAGCAAGAGCGCAGCATTCTCAGAATTACTACGCTCCGAGATACCGGTATTGTATTACGTGGAGCGATCGGGACGGCTTTCGAGCTTTCAATGTTCGGATTGTCTGCACTTCTCTTCCGCACTCCAGTGTGCAGGATCTCCGCGAGCACCACCGATCGAGTATTCGCACGCTAGCAACTAGCCTACTCGCTGTCTACTCAGGCACATCTTTCAGAGACGTAGTTGCTGCCTCTACCATACTAGTATCCCACGAGTACGATACCGGGTCGCGATTTGGGCAAGTCCCGCAGAGTTTTCCAATAACGTTTGGATTGAAACTGCTGGATTGACTACTGTAGAGAAAATACCACATCTGATCAATCTAGTAACTTACTGACAGCTCCAGCGGCAGACACGACCATTGGCCCCCGTCGTGCACACGTTGTGGCACACCTCGAACGCGCCGTTTGGGTCTGGAAGGCCACGCGACGCGGCTTCTTCCTTGGTGGCATCGGCAGTGGTGGCAGACGCCGCAAGCACACTGAGCAGCGTCATCAGAATCGTCGTCTTGATCATTGTAGCCGAGGTGGGCAATTGAACTGTGAGCGCCCAAGTCGCCTCCATGAAGAGAGCAACGAGGGACGCTAGCTTTTAGAGATTCGACGGTTGCCACGAAATGCGAGCTCTTTGATGTGCAACGACGCGAGGTCCATCAAGCGACGTTGTGATGAGCCGACGAGCACTAGCGTGAGCAGATTTCAATTGTCTACAACCTACTCACGATGAAGACGACGATCTTGGTGACGCTGCTCAGTGTGCTTGCGGCGGCTGCCGACGTGGCCCCTTCAGATGATGCCACCACGAAAGAAGCCGCGCCGCGGGGCCTTCCAGACCCAAACGGCGAGTTTGAGGTGTGCCGCAGCGTGTGTACGACGGGGACTCATGGTCGTGTCTGCCGCTGGCGCTGCATTTAGACCCGACGTCTGGCTTAAGGATGCAATCCACCTCGTATGAGACGTGCCAGAACAGCTAAGGTCGTCCAAAATACAACCCATTCGCTGTCTCCATCCACTGTTTCCAAACAGTGTATTCCGACTTTGCCGTTTCGCGTGCGCCTGTTCGCATTGCGCCAAGCGCCGACAAGAAGAGTGAGGCAAGATGAACGGCGTGAAGCGCCACATTGGGACGCGAATGAAGGCGATGACGAACGCGACGACCAAGCCGGTCGTGCCCGGTCGGCGCGTGCCGAGCAAGAAACCGCTTTTGGCCCTGCAGCAGTACGAGACCGGGTACAATGTGCAGCAAATTGACGGCGGCGGCCCCAAGCCGCTGCGCATGCGGTCACTGCGCACGCTCTTGTCACCTCGCCGGGGTGGCGTCCGTGAGTCCTTCTCGCACCTCAACACCAAGCTGCGCGACTCGCGCACGTACGTGCTCGACCCGAAGAGCGCGCGTAGCATCCAGTGGGACGTCTTTATGGCATGCTTGATTGCCTACAGCGGCATCACAGTGCCATTGTATGTGAGTTTTCCAAGGTATACGTGGTCGCCGATCTCAGATCTCAGATCACAGCGATTCTGATATGCTGTTTCTCGTTCCTAGCTTTCAAGTCACGAGTCACTGGGCCGCCGTTGACAATGGCATTGACGTGTGTTTTGGCATTGACATTGTGCGCAACTTCCTCATGGGATTCTACGACGAGCAAGATCTTCTCGTCGTCGACGTCAAGCAGATCGCCAAGAGCTACCTTCGCACGTGGTTTCTCCTCGATTTTGTCTCGACGTTTCCGCTCGAAGCCGCCGTGAAGCTCTTCAACCCGTCCGTGGTCGCCAACTCGCACTCGCTCGCGTCCGTTCAGCTCCTCCGCGTGTTGCGCGTGACGCGCATCCTCAAGCTTGCGCGCCTCGCCAAGCTCCGCGTCTTCTTCAAGCGCGTTGAAGAAACGTTTGGGTTCAACCCCGGGGGCGTTCGCCTCGCGCGGCTCATCTTTGTCGTGCTCTTCCTCGCCCATGTCCTCGCCTGCATGTTTCACTGGATCGGCCAGCCGTACGACCCGACCGTTGCCACCTCCAACCAGCGATCGCTTCGCGTCGCAACGTCGGCCGTGGCCTCGACATACCGTCCCAACTCGACGTGGCTGATCGAAAACGATATTCGGACCCAGCCGGACAGCATTCGGTACCTCTACTCGCTCTACTGGGTCATTACGACCTTGACGGGCGTCGGCTACGGCGACGTGCACGCCGTCTCGGTCACCGAGCGCGCGTTTGCGATCTTCGCCATGATGGTTGGCGCGTCTGTCTTTGGCTTTGTCATTGGCAACATTTCGTCCCTCCTCGAGTCGATGGACACACGCGCGGCCGTGTACCAGCTCAAGATGGCGCTCGTGAAGGACTACATTCGCACCCACAAGCTGCCAAAGGACCTGCGCACCAAGCTCTCGCGGTACCCCTTCGTCTCGCATCGATCGTATTTTTTGAAAAAAAATGCGCGTGCTAGGTACTTTGAGCACTACCTCGCGCGCGCGTCGCTCTTTGACGAGTCGTCCATTTTGAGCGAAATCCCGCTGAGTCTCCGGAACGAGATTGTGCACTTTACGTGCCGCGAAATTTTTCTGTCCGCACGAAATGTGGTCTGTCATGCTGACAACTATCGTATTGCGTAGGATTCCAGCGTTTGCATCCATCAACACGCAGTTTGTCATGGACATGGCCATTTGCATCAAACCGCTCTTCCTCCTCGCCAAGGCCGTCATTGCCAAGCAGCATACGGTCGGCCGCGAGATGTATTTCTTAAACTCGGGCATCGTCGCGGCCTCCAACGCAACGGTGCACGGCAAGATGGTGCTCACTGAAGTGCTGAGCGAGAACGCGTACTTTGGCGAGCCGCCGCTGCTTTTTACACGCTGCGTGAAAACACGTTTACGTGCTTGACCAACTGCGAGATGTACACCTTGGCCAAAGACGACTTTGACGTGCTTTTGGAAGAGTACCCGGACACGGAGACGATCCTCGTCCAGCACTACCATGCGCGAAAAGTCAAGTACAACGAGACGCTAAGCACGATGCTGCAGCGCTTCAAGGTACGACTCTTTCCTGCATCGCACTCGCGTGAACGCACGTATGGTCCAGATGTACGAAATCTTCAAAGACGATGTGACCAAAGTCCACCGGCTCGAGGATTTTTGGCCCAATTTGCGCATTTCGCTCAACGGCAAACTCACAACGATCGAGCAATTTCCGATCCACGTGCTCAAACTCATTACCAACTACATCAACCCGCGCGGCGTCTCGCTCTTCAACTCGACGTTTGCCAAGCGCGTCGTGCTCGACGGTCTACCACACTCTATCGTACGACTCTTTAAACGTTCCATAGGTCTCAAGCCAAAGTACGCAACTGCATATACGTCACCGAGCAAGTTGCGTGCGATCATCCAGCCCACGGACCCGCGCAAACTCCGCTGGGACATTTTTCTCGGCGTCCTCATCATGTACAACGTCATGAACATTCCATTCCAGTTTACGTTCCAAGGCGGGTTTGTCGGCGACGACACACGCTACGCCAGCGTCATTGTACGGTCGCCACTGCGATACTTCAACACCATCACTGATGCGTAGTTGTTTGATTACACGGTCGACGTCCTCTTTGGCATCGATATGCTGCTCACGTTCCGCACCGCGTACGTCGACGAGGACGGTCAGATTGAGGCGACGCCGCGACGCATTGCGACGCGGTACTCTCTCACACAACGTCCCATGCGTTACCGCAACTACCTAGGTATCTGCGCTGGTGGTTCTGGATCGACTTTGTCTCGACGTTTCCGTTTGCATTGATCGCAGACACCGCGACGTCGACTGGCGCCAGTAGCGGCAACGGCACGCTCTCGGCCGTGGGAGGCTCCACTCAGTCGTACTACAACCTCAAGCTTATTCGTCTTGTGCGGCTCACGCGGCTCCTCAAGCTCATGCGACTCCTGAAGCTCAATCGGTCGGTCACAAGCATTGAAAACATGCTCGACCTGAACCCGGCCGTGCTCAGCCTCGTGAAGCTCCTCATTCAGGTGGATAGACGAGGCATCGCACTAGCATGATGGACACAAACTTGACTCTAGGTGTGTTTCATCGCGCACTGGTCGAGCTGCGCTTTTTTTTTCGTGGGTCAAGTCTCCGAGACCTACTACGGGCGCTCGTGGATCGGGCCGCTTCTGTGGTATGCGTCGACGGCCGACAAGTACATTACGTCGCTGTACTTTTGCTTTACGACCATGGCGACGGTCGGATATGGCGACGTGCTTCTCGCGACACCGATCGAGGTCGCGTACGTTATCTTCTACATGCTTCTCGGCGCGTCCGTCTTTGGGTACATCATCGGCTCCATGTCGTCGCTCGTCGATCAGCTCCAGACGCGCGGCGTCGCGGCAAAAGAGAAAACGGACCGCGTCAAGGTTGTCTTTTGTGCAAATCGTTCAAAAAGGTTTTAAAAGATGATAGGACTATATGAAGGAGCGCAAGCTGCCCAAGGCGCTCTGCACGCGCATTCGCCGGTACTTTGATTTCTACTTGGCCCAACAAGACGACGGGACGGGGCTGTTGAATGACCTCTCGGACGACCTCCGGACGCAGCTCGTCTTGTACTTGAACCGCGACGTGGTCTCCAAGATCCCGTTTTTCGCGCGCCAAGACGACGCGTGCATCTCGTACCTCATGGGCATTCTGTACCAAGAGTATTTTACGCCGGGCGAATATGTCTTTCATGAGGTAGACACCTCTCTGCATTCGATTCCGTTGATGCTGATGAGGATGACGTGCTGCGGTTAGGGCGAGTATGGTCGACACATGTATTTCCTCGTCAAGGGCACGGTCGAAGTGCTTATTCATGCTGGGACGCCGTCCGAGATCCTCTGCAAGGTAGTAGTAGCAAGGTCCTCGGCCCATGCTACCTCGATGGTTAGGTCTTGACCGAGGGCGCGTTCTTTGGCGAGCTCGCGATGGTCTTGAGCTCCAAGCGCTGTGCGAGCATTCGCGCCAAGACGTTTGGCATTCTCTACGTGCTAAGTCGAAGCGGCATGGACCACATCCACGCCCACTACCCAGGTACGCCGACGCATCCTGTCTCGTCGGCTCGAAATGGGCGTAGAGATCTCCAACATGATCATGGCCGAGATCAAGCTCAAGCTGCACAAGATCCAGGAAGAGACAGTCGAGCGCATGGAGCGCAAGAACGTCGCCAACCACCTCCCGAGCCGGAAAACATCGCTGACGACCGACACGGAGCTGCTCGAGGCCTTTGCGATGATCGACGGCGTCGCGACCGACCTCACGCGCTTCTTTGGCGGCGGCGAGACGGCCAAGCACCGTGCGGTCGCGGCCATCATTAGCCGCCTCAAGAAATTTGACTTTGAGGCGCCTGCCGAGACGCCCAAGGAGGTACTCCTCGTCCTTTGCCTCGTCCGAGGAGTGATGCATGTGTCGATGGCATAGCCGCCGCCGTCGCCCGAGCCGACGGCCAAAGACGCGTTCGTGCGCATTGGCAAGCGGGTGATTCAGCTGAACGCGTTCGTGACGCAAGCGCGCAAGTCACGGCGCGGGGCCACGACCCGCGTCTTTGGCTCGATCCCGACCCACGTCGACGAGATGCACAAGCTGCCGGACGCCAAGCGGTTGCTCGAGGGGTCCGTCGACCCGACCGGACCGTGCTTGCACGATGTCGAGGCCGTCAATCGCTCGGAGCGCCCCGAGACCTAATCCCTCTCCGCCCCGTCGCTCCATCGCGCGACCACAAGAACCTTCCTCCTTCTCCTTCCCGGCTCTTCTTCTTCTTTGTCGTCGTCGTCGTCCTTGCCCATGCCTTGGTCTCCTGCCTGGTCATCGCCATCCTCTACGTCTCCCTCGCCTCGTCCGCTTCCTCCACTTGCTCGTCGTCTGCTGCCTCCGCTTCCTCTTCGTCGTCGTCGTCCTCTTCCTCGTCGTCGCTTGCCATACAACCGCGCAGTAGAATCCCAATAAAGTCCGGTTTGCAAAGCGTACTTGCATTTCTTTGCGTGCCATACAAATGCCGAGCTAATAAAATAAAAAGGCGGGCGGTGGCAGCGACCACTCAACTGCAGAGCGTTCATTTAGCAAGAAGCAATATGGCGGCCATCAAGGACGACGCGGAGCTCGGGAACGAGCTCATCCAGCTGCAATGTCGCTTCTACGAGAACAAGTACCCGGAGATCGACGAGCTCGTCGTCGTGAACGTGCGCTCGATCGCCGAGATGGGCGCCTACGTCTCGCTCCTCGAGTACAACAACATTGAGGGCATGATCCTTCTCTCGGAGCTGAGTCGCCGCCGCATCCGGTCGATCAACAAGCTCGTGCGCGTGGGCAAGACGAAGTCGTCATGGTGCTCCGCGTCGATAAGGAGAAGGGCTACATTGATCTCTCGAAGCGCCGCGTCTCGCCCGAGGACATCCTCAAGTGCGAAGAGCGCTACAACAAGGCCAAGACGGTCCATGGTGTCTTGCGCCAAGTCGCGCAGGACACGAGCATCGAGCTCGAAGACCTCTACCAGAAAATCTCGTGGCCGCTCTACAAGAAGTTCAAGATGGAGCAGCCGCTCGGCGCCGACGACGAAAAGAAGGTCGAGTACGTGCACTGCTACGACGTCTTCAAGATGGGCATCACGGACCCGTCGGTGTTTGATGGCCTCGACCTGACGCCCGAGACGCTCGAGTCGCTGCGCACGCACATTCGCCGCCGCCTCACGCCGCAGCCGATCAAGATCCGCGCCGACATTCAAGTCACGTGCTTTACGTACGAAGGCATTGAGGCCATCCGCGAAGCGCTCCAGGAAGCCCAGCACACGGGCACGGAAGACGTTCCGGTCAAGGTCAAGCTCATTGCGCCGCCCATGTACGTCATGACGACCAACACGCTCGACAAGGTCAAGGGCATTGCGACGCTCCAGGAAGCGATCGAGAAGGTGCGCACCATCATCACGGCCAAGGGCGGCTCGATCGTCGTCAAGATGGAGCCCAAGGTCGTCTCGATCAACGAAGAACGCGAGTTCCTCCAGATGATGGAGCGACTGGAAAACGAAAACCGACCGGTCGACGGCGACGACGACGACGAGGACTAGAGTGTAGCTATTTGACGGTCCATCTTCCTATCGCACGAATAAGAATATGGCTTCTATTGACGACGACGACAGGCGCCCTGCATCGCATGGTACCTCTCGCCGCTCGCCAGCGTAGTATCCCTCGTAGAAGACACCAGCATCGTCATCCTTCGTCCCCAGCACCACACATCGCTGGCCTGTTGCGCTGCCATGCGAGGACCACGGCACCTGCTGCCGTAGACTCGGTCAACATGCATCGTCGTCGACCACGGAGAGAAAGGATTGCGCAATAAATAACCCATGTACAAGGAAGAGGACACTGTCTATGCGTCTACACGTCGTCGTCGTCGTCGTCGTCGTCGTCGATCGCATTCATGTCGTCGTTGGTGTCGAGACTCGTGCTGGAAAAGTCCGAGATGAGGCTCGAGAAGCTCAGCTGCGACTTGAGGTCACCGGGGCAGAGCCGGAACGAGTTAAACTTGGCCGGCGTACAGCGCGTCGTGCCAGGAATCGCTTGGCCTTCGTTGTGCGCAATGTTGGGGCGGCTGCGCTTGCGCGGCGAGTGCGGCGAGAGCTGCTTGAGCCGGCGAATCTCTTGTTCGTAGTGCGCAATGTTCTTCTGCAAGTTGACCAGGCGGTGGTCGAGCTTGGGCAAGAAGCGCACGAGGCAGCTCCAAAGCGGCTGCACGAGCCGCGCGGCGAAGAAATGCTGGCTCTCGACCATGTGCAGCGGGTCGTCGACGTGCAAATGCGTCACGGGCAATCCCTCGGCGGTCTCCATGAGCGCTTGGTACGCAAACTCCTTTGCAATCATGTTGCTCCACTTGAGCGCGATCGGCGTCGGAAACACTTGGGCTCCGAGGTCGCTCGCATGCACAATCGTTTGCACGAGGAAGATGCGGTCGTCGCCCGACTTGGCAAAGCCCGCGAGCGCCGCCCGCTTGTCGTCCAAGAGCGGGTCGGTCGTGCGCGCATACGGCGCCCAGCGCTTCTCGAGCGCCTCAATGTGCTCAAAATGCCGCGCCATGTCGGTGCCAATGATCGCGCGCACAATGACCTTGCGCGTGTACCGGTACTCGTCCGGGGTGAGACTGGCGAGGAGGTTGACGTGCTCGTTCTGGAGCAGCCGGAACGTTGTCGCCGCGTGGTGGCGCTCGAGCACTGCGTCGTCGTTGTGCAAGAGCGCGAGACCGCTCTTCGAATTGACTTCGAAGACGTTCGAGTGCCCCGGGTGGTCGATGTCGTGGCAGAGCGCAGCAAGGAGACAGCCAAACCGGTCCGGCGGCGTGAGCACAGTGACCGCTTGCGTCTCCTTGAGGATGCAGTACGACGTGTGGAGCACCGAGAACCCGTGCAGAAAGTTGTGGAACGGGTTCGGGTGGTAGTGGTCTTGGACCGACTGGATGAAATTCTGGACAATGTCCGGGTCGAGGTTGGGCAGGGCCATGACCGGGTCCAATAGCATGTGTTGCGTGTACGAGAGGAGCGTCTCGAGCTCGGTCGTAAAGACGTTGAGGCTCCAGCGCGGTACCATGGGGACGTCGACCGACTTGGTCTTGAAGAGCGCAGTGGGCGGACGCGGCGGTGTCTCGAGCGGCAGCGGACTCAGCGAGTCGGCGCTAAAGAACGAGTCGCTCAAGCGGTCGGCGAGGTGCGATTGGAGCGTGCACGGCTTGGACGTGAACGCCTCGAGCAAGTTAACTTGGGATTGCGCGCGCTCGGCCCAAAGCGACTCGGACTTTGTGTCGGCCAGTAGCTTGAGGTAGTCGGTCTCTTGGGACCGGCGGCGCAGAATGACGGCGACTTCGGACGCAAACGCCTCGAACGCGCACTCGTCTTCGTAGGTAAATTCGGCAAACTCGGTCTTGTGCCCGCCGACCTTGTTGATGCACTCGAGGACTGCGATGGGCTGGACGTCGTTCATCTGGTGGACGCCGATCGGCACGTAGAGCGCCGTCTTGGTGCCGCCAAAGCGGTCGTCGACGCTCATGTCAAAGCGCGGGTCGCTTGGCGCGTGCTTGACGTTGAGGATGTTGCTCGAGAGCGCGGCGGCGCCGAGGAGGCAGCCGTCGATCGAGAAGCGGAGGTTCGACCGCCGGAACGACGACGAGAGCGACCAGAGCTCGTTGCGCGGCCAGTCAAGGAGGAAGAGCGTGACGCTTTCGCAATGCACGATGTGGTTGGCGCCTTTGATGACGCGTTGGACGAGCTTGAGGATTGTTTCTTCGTTTGAAGACGAGCTCACAATGTGGAGGAGCGCGGCTTGGGTCCGCTGCGAGAGCACAATGTCGTGAAGCTCGATCGCTTTCCGCATCGCGTTGCTCAAGATTGGCCCGAGGCGCTGGAGCAGCCCGAGGTCGTACGCGCAGAGGCTATCGGGCGACGCCGACGACGCTTCAATGACCGCAAACGTCTCGCCGCTGCTGTCGAGCAACGCAAAGCAGAGGAGTGTGTTGGACGGGGCAACGCGCTCGAGGTCAACCGCGGGATTGTACGACGTCGGCAGCGATCGCCCCATGAACGTCGTACCCGACGCTGCGACCTCGGCTGCGAGGCTACAGGTGGTCGGGACGGCCTCGACCGCGCTAAGCTTGGGCACAATCTTCGCCATCGAGTCCGACCCCGCGTCAAGGAGGAAGACGGCGCATTGGTGGTGCGGGTCGTGCGAAAAGAGACCTTCGACAAAGGCAAAGAAGACGTCCATCATCATGTACAGGTCGTCATGCTCGAGCACGTCTTGGATGAGGCTGAACGCGCGTCGCTCCTTGGCTTCTTGCATCTGATAGCGCGCGACTTGGGCCTCGAGCTCCGCGATGCGATCGCAGCGCTGGTTGGTCGTCTTGGCCGCTGTCGTCGTCGTCGCCCTGGCCACAGTAGTGGTCGTCGTTGAGGTCTTGGGCGGCCCCGAAGCATGGGCGTCTACCTCGACCGGGCGTCCATTCGCATGGGGGATCGCTATGAAGGTTTCCATCGGCGGGTTATCGCTCACTGAAAGCGTCCAAAATTTAACCTGAAACCACATTGCACCCTCGCATTGAATTGCATAGAAACTCCAAGTGCAAGCACATGATTAAATAGACGTCGCATATGCGCAATTCGATTTTTTCGCACATTTGAACGTCGTCGCCCGTGCGACAGCAACGTCGACTACGGAGCGACTACGTACTCGTACTAACAGTCGACTAACTGCGGCTGGGGCCACTGACAAGTAGCTGCTACGACCATTGGCGGCAGCAGTCGCCAGCGCGGAGGCGTGTGCAATCGGAGGCACGTAATGCTGGCGCGTACTTGTACTACTGCGTCATTTTCGCGGGACAAATCCGATGTGTCGTCGTCGTCTGCCTGAGATACATGGACTTGCGCCCTCTCGGGTCAGCGGGTGTCTGGTCGGCGCGACAGGCGGAGGTGATTCTTGTCAGTAGCCAAGGAGGCGGCAGGAAGCTGGGAGCGCATGGCGGAGCATCACGGACCGCCGAGAAGTCCCATGGATCAAGTTGGTGCAATCAACATGGCCTCTCTGATATGAACTCGGGGCCATGATGGCGAGCGACTCTGGATCTGGACAGCAACCACCGGCAAGAGGCCGGCTGATAGCTTGCCATCATCAGCAGCGTGCGGGAAGATCCTCGTGGAAATCTAGAACTCGATTCGTGCAACGGGTTCCGATTCCGACAGAAGACCCCATCGAGACGGCGCGATTCTGACGCGGTGAACGAGCTGCGATTCGATGGTCAAGCTCGTTGCATGGCTCTCTACTCCGCTACTATTAGTTAGTCCAAGGCGACATGTGAAACGACAGCAAGTGGTGTTGCCACGCACCCATCTGCGTTGCCGTCGTATCAAGTAGGGGGCCTCAATAATATGCCATGCTTGGCTCCGTCGAGATCTTGGTGTTTGTATAGGTCGATCGACTCAGAGAGCGCGTTCTCCGGCGATTTCCATCCGTTTTCGGTGCCCCTCCTACGCCTCGCATATTATAATACCGTTCGAATGGATTGGCATACATTGTTCCAGTGGTATTGTAAAACAATACGATCTTTTTTGAGTTTAATTCTCGACATGGCAAATAAAAAAGGGTCCGGCGGGGTGTTCGAAACTCCGCCATTTCTGCATCGCCGCGGAGTCGCCGCCGGTCCGTCTCTCTCGCGCTCGCCGCTGGACGCAGCCCATCATCGGACGTCGCCATCCGCTACGCGCCCCAGCATCGCCGCATACGATTGCCATCATGGAGAAGGGCAAGAAGGTCCTGCCGCTGAGCGAGAGCTGGCTGTCGCCGTCCATGGTGACCTCGTACGATGGCCAGTCCATCTACGCTGGCCATCAAGAGAAGCTGCGCCTCGGCAACTACCTCGGCAGTGGCGTCGCTGGCGTCGTCTATGAAGCCTTTGAGCCGCAGAAGCAGCGCCACGTCGCGGTCAAGATTCTCAACCCGGTCGGCTTCAAGCTCTTTTCGCCGCTCGCGCTCGCCCGCTGCGATATAGTCCATGCTGGGCTCGTGTACAAGCCGCCGACACCGACGCCATCGATGCCAATGTCTCGCATGCACATCCAGAAGGAGCATATTTGGTGGCTCCTGCACCCGAACCAGCACGAGCTCATTCCGTGCATCAAGGACCAGCAAGGCATTAAGGAGCTCAACCTCGAAATGTGCGCACAGCTGTGGCCGCTCGACTCGCATCTCGACGACGACCCGCTCGAGATGGAAACCAAGCCCGATACGGTGCTCCACCAAGGCAAGACGTGGGTGCTCCCGACTCTGCCAAAGAAATTTGCGGCCTTTCTCCAGAGCCGAAAGACCATTTACCGCGAAATCGCCTTCATGCACCGCCTCACTGGCAATACGATCCACGGCAGCGTTAGCAACATGGGCCACCCGAACGTCCTGCAGCTCTACGACGTCCTCGAGTACGTCCAAGCGACGAAAAGCACGATCTTCCTTGTCCTCGAGCTCGCGGGCGGTGGCGAGCTCTTTGATCGCATCAAGGCCGAGTGCATTGGCGTGCCCGAGCTCGACGCCAAGATGTACTTTGCGCAGCTCATTGCCGGCGTCCACTACTGCCACCAGCTCGGCATCGTGCACCGCGACCTGAAACCCGAGAACCTGCTTTTGAGCGACAACGACGTGCTCAAGATCGCCGACTTTGGCCTCTCGGCGCAGTTTGCAACGCGCCCACTTCTCCTCGACGAGGCGTCTGCGGGGCCACCGAAGCCGTCGCCGTGCCGCCGGCTCAAGTCGGTGGTCGGATCGCCCCACTACGTGGCGCCCGAGGTGCTGCAGAAATGCCACTGTGGCTACGACGGGCGCAAGGCCGACATGTGGTCGGTCGGCGTCATCTTGTATGGTCTTCTCATCGGCGCGCTTCCGTTCGGGACCGACTTGGCCAACTGCGCGCGCTTTGCGACCTTTGCCGAGTACCTCGCGGCGCCGGCTGAGACGCGCACCTTTCCTCGGTGGCTCTTCCCCGCCAAGCTCTCGCCCGCCGCCATCGAGCTCCTCGTAGGGCTCTTGGACCCGGACCCGCTCTGCCGCTTCTCGTGCGACGACGTGCTCAAAAGCCGCTGGCTCGCCTCCTACTCTCCTGTATCCTAACCGTACCATAGCATTCATTCTTATCCCAACGCCACCTTTGTAATCGTTCTTAATCAATCATCCACTCGACCCTCGACCTTTGACGCTTCTGGGTAGGACTCTTCGCGATGGTGGGGGCTCGTTGCCTCGGGTGGGTCCCACTGCGAGACACCGGTCGCGCGGTTGTAGTAGTAGACGTTGCCGTCGTCGTCCTGAAGCGTCTCCCACGCGGCTGCGTCATCGTCCTGCCCCGGCTTCGTCCACGACGTCTCGCCCGAGAGTTGATTGTAAAAGTACACGAGCCCGTCGTCGGTCTGGACGAGCTCCCACGCGTCCGCACCCAGAGGCGTCGCCTCGGCGATGGTCCACACGGACGCGCCCGTCTCTCGGTTGTAGAAGTACACGCGCCCGGCGTCGTCGACGGCCGGCTCCCACGGTGGTGGCGCGCTCAGCGGGTTCTCCCACGACGACGCACCGGTGCGGGCGTTGATGTAGTACGGCGTCCCGTCGTCTGTCCGGCACTCCTCCCATGCGCCTTGCAGCGGCTGGTCGGTCATGTCGCCGAGACGCCGCTGGAAGCGCGGCGCATCCCAGACGCTCTCGCCCGTCGCATGGCTGTAGTAGTAGAGGTACCCTTCGTCGCTCGTGCACGCTTCCCAGACCTCGCGGGACGCGCCGTCGTCCCACCACTTGAGGAACCGCGTGAGTGTGATCGAGTCGGGGTAGTCAAACTCGTGAAAGTACGACGCAAACGTCCTGTCCTCGTCGGCCGCGCGGCTCGAGAGGCCGAGGCGCTCGTACACAGCGCCGAGCTGCGAGAGGCGGATCGTGGCTTTGGACGTATTGCGCGCGGCGACACCGAGGAACGCCGCTTGGAGCGTCTCGTGCAGGGGCGACAGCGGCTTGGCGAGCTTGCGTAGTCGCCGCGCCAGCAGCATCTGCTGGACGTCGGCCTGAGTCTTCCGCGTCCGGAACCGCGTCTGGATCGTAATGGCCGCGGCGTGTCGTCGCGCTGCCTCGGCCGCGTCGTCGTACGCTTTGCGCACGCGGGCGTCGTTGCGCGCAACAGCGTGGGCTTGGTGCTGCATGAACCGCTCGCTCGCATTGCCCGCCTATCCATATCAATACTATATATTGATACCTTGATACTAGCAGAAACCTCGAGGAGGCCGTGGCGGTCGAGCATGTCGTCAAAGCGGTCGACGGTCCGCGCGTTGTGCGGGTCGAGCTCGAGCGCGCGCAGATAGTGCGTCGTCGCGTCCTTGACGTTCTTGTAGACCCACTAGCATTGGACTATGAGCATCATGGATAGACAACGTGTCCATCATCATCCATATATGTACATCGAGGCACGCGGCGTAGTTGACGTGGCTCTGCGCGCTCTCAGGGAAGAGCACGAGTGCATACCGGAAGAAGCCACCGAAGGCCAATTCAAACGTGCGCTTCCGTGGGTCGATGGCGGCGGCGCGCTCAAAGAGCAGCGCAATCGCATCGCGCTCGTCCTGGCCCGTGACAAAGAGAAAGAGAGCGTAGACGCGCAAGACGAACGCGATGTCGGGGCCGCGCGCTGCCATGAGATGAACGAGGTGGCCGTACATGACACCCGCCTTGGCGTAATCGTGCACCAGTGCGTGCAAGTAGAGAGCGTAGTTGCCGAGGCACGTAAGACTCGTGGGCTCGGCCATGTAGGCGCGTTCGCAGTGGCGGGCAACGCGCACCCCTTCGAGGAGCCGCCGAAAGTGCACGCGCGCGGTCCGAGCGCGGAATTGGCTCTGGATACGCAGCGCCGCCGCCAGCATGCGCGCCGTGTAGCCGTAGTAATAGAGCTGCTGGCGGTCGAGAAACTAGTTGGAGCGGTCGTCTTATATCGCTTCAAGGAATGACGTACCGCTTGATAGTCGCGCTCGATCCAGAGAGGCGGCTTGTCCCAGACGCACTGCCCCGTGATCTGGTGGGCGTAAAAGACACCGACGAGCGGCGCGGTCTCGGCGAGCAGGAGCTCGTCCCACACCGAGAACGTGCTCACGCGCGTCGCGTGCTTGCGCGCGTCTTCCCACTCAAAGAACGTTCGCGGCCCATGCTTGATGACCCGCGCCCGCTTGGCGTGGCGGCGACCGGTCATGCCCCGGTAGACGCGCTGGATCGTATTGGCCGCGATGCGATGCGTCCGCGCCTACATCGACGCGCCCTCGTCATTTGATACGACGAGGGTGTAGATACCTGGACGCGCCACGCGTGCCACGACTGCCGTTCGTGGAGGCGGGTGAGAAAGCCGCGGCCGAGCGCTTGGAGCGTGATCGCGCACCGGATGCGGTGGCGCTCGTGGGCGGCGACGCGGCGCGCGATGCGACCGCGGTACACACGCTGCAAGTGAAGCGCCGTCTTGTGCTCGAGCTTGAGCGCGCGCAGACGTCGCCGGCACACGTGGCCTTTGTACGCGCGCTGGATGGCGAGGGCAGCAAGGTGCTTGGCTCGCTCAGCTTTGGTTTCGGCGTCGAAGCGCGCCCAGAAGGACTTGTACTGGGCCGTCGCAGCCGCCGTCTCGGACGACACGCGGTGAATGCGACTGCGCAGCATCTTGAACTCGTCGACGCCTTGCACGAGCGCCTACATGCGATATATCGTAGTATCAAGATATCAAGTGCATCGGACCTGCAGCCGGAGAGGGTCGATAGGGGGCACAGTCGTCGAGATCTCGTTGGTGACGTCGTGGCAGTAGACGTAGCTGCCGTCGTCGCGTGAGATCGCGTGCCAATGCGCGCCCAGCGCGGCTTGGTACTCGACCGGCGCTCGCCACGTGCACTCGTCCGTCTCGGCGTCGTAGTAGAAGAGCGCGCCTGCGTTTTTCCACATGCGATACTATAGCATCCATCGTGGTAGCGTTAGGATGACATACCCGTGACGGCGTCGACGCACTGCGACCAAGCATTGAGCGTCGAGACGGTGACTGCGCTCGCGTAGGCGTCCCGCCACTCGTTCGTCGAGCGCTGCGGCAACGCGACGCCGTCTTCATCGAGCACGGGCGGCATCTCCTCGAGCGTCTGCATCTCTTGGGCAAAGTGATATTGGATGACGTCAATGACTGCGAGCTGGTGGTGCATGCGCGCCTCGCCGAGCGGGTTCTTGTTGTCGTAGTTGCGCATGTTCATGTTGGTGCTGTACTCGATGAGCAGACGCATGGTCTCGGCCGCTCCGTGCTTGGCAGCAATGTGCGCCGGCTAGTCAATGCATCAATATAGTATCCATGTATCCATATATCGAATGCAATCCTACGAGGTTGCCGCGGCGGTTCTTGGCGTCGACAACGGCGCCAAACGAAAGCAAAATGCGCGAGCTCTCGAGAAGGCTGTCGCTGCGGCACGACAAGTGCAACGGAGTCTCTCCTTGGAGCGTCCATGCGTTCACGTCAGCGTTGAAGGCGGCGAGGAGGCTTGCAAGCGCCGGCTTGTCGATCGCCATGTGGATCGCCCCGAGGCCTGCGAGATTGATCACGTCCGGTGACGCGCCGGCTTCGAGGAGGAAGCGAAGCATCGGTAGCTGGTCGTTGTAGATCGCGTACATGATTGGTGTACTGCCGTCGACGTCGACCGCATCAATACTGGCGCCGTGGGCGAGCAAGAGCTGTGCCATGTCCACAAATCCCCGCGCCGCCGCGTCGTGTAGCAGCGTGGCGCCGTCGCCTACGAAGCCTCAACCTCCACCACCACGTCGTATCATCTCACGTACTGAGGTCGGTCGCGTGTGGCGAGCAGCGGCCCATGCCTAAAAGCAGATGCGCCGCCTCGAGAAAGTTGGCGGCGACGGCTGCCATGATGGGCGTCTCCTGCGTCGCGCTCGAGACGACGTGGACGTTCGCGGCGCGGCGCAGCAGCACCTCGATGCAGTCGACATGGTTGAGCGACGTCGCCAGCAAGAGCGGCGTCTCTCCGTTGCTGTCGCGGGCTTCCTGCCATGCTCCGTGGTCAACGAGGTAGTCGATGAGCTCGGCCCGGTGTCTACACGGCCCTGTCAGAACGACGAGCCTCAAATTGAGGCGTACGCATGGGGTGCAGCCACGAGCGTGTGCAGTGGCGTGCGTCCGGCGTGGTTGACGCCGCCAAGGTCCATCTGATAGCGCAGGCAGAGCTTAATGAGCCGTTTGGTGCCGCCCAGACACGCCAGATGCAAGAGCGAGTTGCCGTCGTCGTCGCAAATGCCGCCACGACCGCCGTTGATCGCCCGCAGCACGACGCTGTAGTCGCCGCGCAATGCCGCGTCGAGCACCACGGCATTCCGCCGTCGGTCGACGGTCAAGATCGCCTTGCGCCGTCGCCAGCCGCACTGAATCCGCAACGCGCCTCGGTGGAGCGCGAGGGTGCGGCGGTAAAACTGTCGGCAGAGGTATCCGCGGACTGTACGCTGCAGGAGTTTGGCCGCACGGTGGTTGGTCACGAGTGCGTGGAAGCGGGAGCGTGCGAGAAACCCCCGCACGCTGCGCTGGATGCACGTCGCGGCGGCAAAGTGGCGCCGGTACCGCTCGGCGCGCTTCAGAATGCGGTAGACGCGGTAGCGTTGCCAGAGGTGAAAGCACCAAGTTTGGCGCCGGTGGATCCGACGCGTCGTCCGGTCGCGACAGAGCTGCGTGAACGCCCAGCGCGACTGCCACGCTTGGAAGCAGCGCCAGAGGCACCGCCGGAGGAGGCGCTGGAGTAGCTGGTTCACCTAGTACCGCAACATGAGACATAGGATTGGATAAACACAAGTGCGGACGCACGCCGTGGTGCTGTGTGGCGCGCAAGCTGCGGCGGACCGCGGCCACGCGCCGGCCCAAGTGCCCCCGGTATGTTTTCTGCACGAGCACGGAAGCGTGTTGCAGGGCCCGCGCCCGCGCGGCTGCCAAGCGGCCGATGTGCCCCCGCCATATGCGCTGAAGCTCGCGCGCACTCTTGCGTCGCATGAAGAGGAGCCGTGCCCACTGGCCAAACGAGCTGTGCAGCGAGCGCGTGAGGACGTCGCGGCACCGCGCCTTGACAGCGACCTGCGTCATCGCGTACCGCCGCCACTGCTGCCAGAGCGTAAACAAGAACCGATGCTGGAGTCGCTGGACGCTGCGGTTGGCGAGCTGCTGCTTCTTTTGCGCGCGGCGCGCCACGAGTTGGCCGGCGTGGCGCCCGCGATGGCCCCGATAGAGCGCCTGCAGCATCGTGGCGGCGTGGTGCTGGTCGCGCCGCCATCGCAGGTACTTGTGCCAGCGTCGGAAGCGCAGTTGCAGCGATGTGCGGTGCGCGGCGGCCGCCTTTCTCGCCACGGTCACGTAGCGACGCCAGCGTGCGTACAGGCGCTGCATCAGCGCACGTTGCGCCGCGGCGTGGAGCTTCTCGGCTTGCGTGAGGGCGGCGGCGCGCAGCACGGCGTCTTCCTTGGCCTTGCGCGCGGCGGCCGCGCCCGCGTCCCGCTCGTGCTTCTCGGCGAGGCGTGCCCGGTGCTTCTGAGCGTCCCGCGCCCGCAACGCGTCGAGCCGCTTCCGCTCCATCTCCTGCTCGGCCTTGCGCTTCTTGGCCCGCGGCGCGGCGCTCGTGGAGGGCCGTCTGCGCCGCGTGGCGATCGCGCCGCCACGCCCGCCGCTGCCGAAAGAGCCGCTGGATGCGTGTCGCGCTGCGCTCCTGCAGCGCTTCGAGCTGGTCGCTCCACGCGTTGGCTTGCTTGCCTTTGCGCCGCCGTTCGAGGAGCTTGGCCGCGACTTTCTGCTCCATGAGGTGGTTGGCATACCGGCGCGCGATAGCGTCCCGGAAGCGGCGGAGGATGCGCGCGCGCGGCGACGCGGGTGGTGCCGTCGGCGTCGCCGCGTCCGAGAGCACCGAGCCCCACACCGTATTGACCTACACAAATGTCTTTATCAACTGATATCGAAAATGCATTGGAACCTGGGCTTCGGTGAGTGCAATGCGGTGGCGCAGGTCGTCGACGTCGCGCCGCTTGGCTTGGAGCTGGTTGTCGAGGAGGAAGCTCTGCGTCTTGAGCTTGGCCTTGGCGACGTCGTCGATGGCACTGCTCGTGAGCTGCCGATCGAGCTTAATGCGCTGCGTCTCGAGCCGCCGGAGGCCCCGGGTCTCAGTCTCGAGCGCTGCCTTTAGCGTCACAATGCCGGCGTCGTGGCTGATAGTATCTTGCAGTCGCGTCAAGAGCGTGAGGCTTTCTCCTATGCCACATCGTCGTCCAGCGACGTAACCCATGGTCCTACCGTCGTCGTTGAACTTGTGCGCGGCGACAATGTCCTCGGGCACGCGGTGGAGGTCCTCGACGAGCCGTTCGAGGAGCTCATCGAGCTCGAGCACGCAGCTGCTACACTCGTCGCCACGAGCACCGATCGTGGTGACGTGGCGGAACGGCAGGGACGCGTCGACGTAGAAGCGCGCGAGCGTCGTCTCCTTTGGAAAGCACGCGGCGTACAGCGTGTGCATGACTGCGTCTTTGGCCACGTACACGACTTGGGTGCCGTCGCGGAGGTCGGGGTGGTGCCCGAGGACGACGGACCCGGGCGGCAGTACCTTCTTGGCCACGTCTGGGTGCGCCACCTTGTCTTTCTTCTTGAGGCGCAGTCCGAGCTGGTCCTGCACGTGATGGCGGAGGTGGCAGTGGAAGTACGCAAACTCGTTGTCTTCGATTTCGCGCAGAAAGGCCGCAAACGCCCGCAGCTACAAAGCCTTATGAACTTGGAGTGCGTATGTGCAGTAGTACGCCAGGAAAGCGGCTCGTATGGCGCTCGAGCGTGCACGCGACGTCAATGATATCTTGGTCGGCCGCGACGCCGAGGTTCGTTATTATGAACTGCCGCGCAAAGAGCGCAAACGAACTCAGGACGCGCGAACTCGCGTACGCCCGAAAGTACGCCTCGTAGACGTCGGCGACAAAGCGGAGGAGCCATGCGATCGGACGGTCCCGCAAGAGGCCGCTGGAAGCGCCCACGAAGCGCGGGAAGCGCTGGCGCAGGCGCGCGAGCGTCAGCGGCGCGTCAACGTCGGGCTCGGAGCGCGAGCTCAGCGCTTGGTCGTCTCTCGCCTCGAGGCTCGGCGCGTGGTTGTTGCTAGCCGACGCGGCGCTGGTTGGCAGCCCCCGCGGCTCGGATGCAGGCGCCACATCAAGGCCGCGCTGCCGCAGCTGCGCATTGATGTACTCGATCTTCTCGAGGTACGGGAGCAGCGTCTTCTTCTCTTCGAGCTCCACCAAGCTGAGCTTGCCCTACGCGCAACGCTTTGCCTGTGACCCGAGGGTCGTCGACGCACCCGCGGGAGCTCGGGCGGGATCGGCGCGAGCGCGGTCTCGTTGCGCAGGAGCTTGCGCTTCTTCGACTTGGCCGACGCCCCGTACGGACTCTGCGGCGCCGCCCGCGTCACCTGCATTCCGAAGGTGCGATGCTCAAAGGTCAGCCGTTACGTCGCATGCAATCGTGCATCAATTAGTGTCGTTACTAGGGTGACGGATGCAATGGCTTCCTACGCCCGCTTCGCCTCGGCCATGAGCTCTATCTTCTTCCACTTGTCGGCTTGGGCCGACGCGGCGTCGCCCGCGTGCTCGGCCTTTTCTAAATAGTCCTTGGCGCACTTGTCAAAGAGCGGCGCGTCATAGTCCAAGTACAATTTGAGCACATTCTACAGTAGACAACTTGTCCATCCACAGGGTCGTCCAGCAAAACCCAAGTACCTGGGCGAGGCCTTCGACGGTCGTGTTCCAGTGGCCGAGCGAGTTCTTGTAGAGGGGTCCATATATAACGGGGAGGATCAAGCTCGCGTGCTGGCGGCTGAGGCACCCGTTGTTGACGAGGTGCTCGTTGTTCCAGAGGAAGAGCGCGCGCTCCGAGACCTGAAAGTGCTGCGAGCCAAGGCACTTGGAGAGCACGCGGAAGAGATCCTTGTGCACCTGGTTGAGCTGGTCCGGCCCCATGAGCTCGAGGATCTCTTCGAGCTCGTTGAGGAAGAGCACTTGCTTGGACGAGCACGCCCAGGGCCAAAACTTGACAATGCCCGAGATGATCGGGATCGCCGTCTCCGGGTCCTTCTCGACGTACTGCGTGATGCAGTACGAAAGCTGCTGGTGGTAGAGCGAGACGCACTTGGGCTTGTGCAGTGGCACGAGCGCCTTGACGAGGAACTGGAGGTGCTCACGCTTCAGCGGCATCGCAAAGCCGTTGATGATCGAGCCGAGGATCTCGAGGAGCTCGCCAATACCGTTGTGGCGCTCGGTCTCGTACACGAAGCGGTAAAACACGTTCGAGATGGCCTTCCGGATGAACGACCGGTGGCTCATAAACTTGCCGTATATTCTGTGCAAGATCGTCTTGAGGTAGTCGCGCTCGCGCGGGTCCTCCGAGTCGAAGAGTTCGATGACGTTCAAGCAAAACTTTTGGTCGACAAACTTCTTGGCCACCTACAGCAATCGTATTCGCATCGCGTTCGACGAGGCTGCGGCCGCGTACCTTGGCGTTGACTTCGCCCGACACGATAAAGCGCAGGAAGAATTCGTACACGACCTACGCCATACATCGAGTTCGCTGCGGGCGACGATGGGTGGCCGTACCTGGAGGTGCGGCCACGACGGCTCCAACACCGGCTCGTCTTCCTCCGGGTCGAAGTCTTCCGTCTGCGGCGGCAGCGCGCGGCAAATGTTGGCCGACTATCGAAGCAACATACATCCTCATCCAACATTCCGTGCACCCATGGGCGTACCACCATGGCCATGATGTCGGGCATCAAGGCCTCAGTAAAGATCTTCTGGCCGCCCGCGTTGTTGACATAGTCGACGAGCTCGAGCAGCGTCTGGCGCTTGAGGTCCTTGCCCTTCTTGTCCGAGGCAGCGTCGTCAAAGTTGAACAGCACCGAGCAGAGCTCGAGCTTTTGCTGGAAGAGCGCCTCGCGCTTCTGCATGCTCGTGTCCTTGAGGTGCGGCAGGTCCTTGAGCGCCGCCACCTTCTGGTTGCGCACGAGCGAGCTCCGGCGGCGCTCGCGGCGCGGCAGCGACACGTCCGAGCGCGCGACGTTCTCGATCCCATCGTCGCGCGCGAGGTTGGCCGTCGAGCTCGTGGCCGCGGCCAAGTTCGCCGCCATGGCCGCAGGGTCCCCGCCCTCGGCCGAGTTGCTCAGGCGCCGCTTCACGGTCTGGAGCATCTTATTCATCCCGCCGCTGGTCGTCCGGAGGATAACCGCTCAAATCGCCTCTGCCGCCCACGCGGGTATACAAAGCTCAAGATACAGCGCGAAAACGTCTTTTTGTCCTCGAGGTAGGGTTGGGGCCCCCCATGGAAACACTTGCGAATTGTATGCTCTCGCTACGACACTATTTCGAATGCGTTGAATAGTGTTCCATAAGGCTGGCTGCGCGCACCGCAGCGATAAGCGCAGGGGATGGCCAAGCGGGCCTCCACGAAGAAATACTGAAGTCGTTGCACGCCGAGCGGTCGCTGCGATCGCGCCTGACAGCACTCTGGCGCGGCTGCCATGAAAAATCGGAAATACTGTATGTTCCATCTGGGCGATGGCTCTCGAAATAGTGTCCTGATGTCCGGAGATTGCACACTCTATTTGAGGTGCATTGCACGCGAAATGCAAATGGCGTGAGTCGGAGAGGGCTTGGTCAACATACCTCTTGACGTTTCTATGCACTTGAGACTCGTAGTGATGGTAGGCATGATATGGTGTGTAGTGTGAGTTACATTATTTGACGGCGTGAGAAGAAATACTGTAATGCACGTTCAGTTCGGAAGTAGCATGCCACCGGGTAGGACGCGGCGACGCTGGCAGACGCCTCATGCCATGGCCTGTAGCAAAGGAAGCAAAGGCTGCAGTCTCGGCCTTCATCATGAAGCTCGAGACTGTCGTGAACGACCCATCGACAGGTGCGACGCGGCCTCCGTGGCATGATGACTGCAACGGTGTTGCTACATAGATGACATCATCACGTGGAAGCGCAACCCGGATGGGTCGCTCTATGAGCCCAACTGCCTCGTTGTGCTCGACAAGACGGTATGGCACATCTATGCCCCATGAGGCCAGCATTGCTCATTCTCGACTAGCGCTTCTCGGAGGACATCATGCCACAGTACTTTCGCGGCTCCAAGTACTGCTCCTTCATCCGCCAGCTAAACGGTACGACGCAGCGTAGACGTGGATCACGTCACGATGACACACTGCTTTCTGGACGTAGCCTATGACTTTAGCCACGTTGGCGTCGTGAACGGCACGGACCCGCCGATGTTTACGCATCCGTACTTCCAGAAGGACAACCCGTCGCTCTTGCACAAGATCGAAGTACGTGCACCGCTATTGGCGATCGCATCTCCTAATGGTGACGTAGCGCCGCAAGCAAGACAAGCGCACGCGCGCAACGGCGCCCCAGGAAGATACCAAGGTCGTCAAGAAGGTCGACAGCTCGCAGTCGGCGTGCGTCGACTACTACAAGGAGAATCTGGTCCACGCCGTGACGGCCATCCGTGACATGGTTCAAGCCGGTACAATCATTTCTGAGCGGCGTCGATCGGTATCTTATCGCATTGCATGTACTAGCGGAGCTCGCGGGCATGGGCTACGTCCTCGTCGAGTACGCCAAGACGTTCTTAGCAACGCAAGGCATCATTGTCCTCTCAGACGACGATGTCTTGTACCATCTCGAGACGCTCACAAAGACGTCGGCGAGCTACGCGACGACAACACCGTCGTCGAACGAGGTGCCGCCGACGCCTGCGTCCAACGCGTCGACCGAATCCGTGTCGTCTGGCTCGTCGTCGCCGCTCAGCGTCCACCCGGCGCACGGTATCGATCCGCTTGCGGCGCTCCTTCCGTCCCACCACAACCCACTGCCGCCATTGTCGCACCACGACCCGCTGACGGCGCTTGATTTTGCCATCTTGGACGAGATCAACGTCGACGAGCTCGGCGACCTCCTCACAGATCACTTGTAGTCGTCCATTGGATGGGCTTGACCACGAACATGCATGTAATGAGGACTCCGGGGTTGGGAATCTGTGCTGGTTGGTGTTAATTATATTAGATATCGCTGCTTGGGCGCTGCGATTGCAACCCAAACAATGGGAACGCGCGATGGAGCGAGGGGAGTCGCGGCAAGTGATTCTGTGCTGCCGGCGGCCGCAGTGACGGGACGCCGCTAGGGTTGTGCTGGTAGTGGTGCTGGGGGTGCTGGTGCCGGGCGTGGGCGACGAGAGATGCGTCGGCCATGACACTGTGGTGCTGCGACGACATGACCGACGCCGAGCCGCGCACCGTCGTCTCTCGGGCCGAGTGGGCCGCCGCAGTAGGGCGCGGCTTGGTAACGTTGACGCTACACAAGAGGCCGCTCGTCGGTCGCTTGACCGCCCACGAGAGGTTGCCGCTGCTGTTGGTCGTGGGCATGTCGTCGGCAAGGCGGCGCTTCTTGGCCTCGTGCGCGCGGGGCATTTGAATGCGGCACTCCAAGCTCATGGGCGTGCGGCGCTCGTCGGGCAGCACCGGCGGGCTCGAGCCGCCCATGGACGACGACACGTCGCCGAGGTGCTGGGGCTGGCCCTTGACAAAGTCGGGGCGAAAGTAGCGCGTGCCGTCGCGCGACTTCATAAAGCCATGCTTCTCGAGCTGCATCTTGAAGGTCTTGAAGCGGCCACGGTACAGATTGGGCATCGGTAGGCTCGACTCCATTTTCTCCGGGTCCAGAATCGAGAAAGACCGGCCGTCGGCGTCCCATGCGATCGTGTCGGGCAGGTCGTTGTTGTTGAGGAAGCCGTAGAGGTTGCGCAGGAAGGTGCTCGGGATCGCCGTCGCCGTCGAGCGCTCGTCGCTCTCCATGACGTGGTCCATCGTCGTGCTGCTGCTACTGGCTTGGTCGGCGACAATCGGGCAATCTGCTTCGAGAGCGTTCCGACTGCCGGGTTGTGCGTGCAAGGGGCCATCGCTTTTTTATTCACGTCATACAATACATTTCAACACAATCCATACAAACATCGAGCTAGAGATAAATCTTTATTGTACTGTGGAAATGAATTTTGCCACGCGCTGTCACGCCGAAAGCCGGAAACAAACCCGGTGCACCTGCACTCTGATTCGAAAGACCAACATTGGCGGAGACTGAGCCACTCGATGACCTGCATTCTCGACCGCGCTTGAAGCGCATGTGGTGCCAGAGTGGTGGTGGCGCTGCCACGCCCGCGACGCGAACCCAGGAGCATCCTGTAGACGATTGCGATCGATCAAAACCAGACAGCGTTCTGGATAGATCCCCTCACAGCGGCAAGAATGTGTGTGTGCGCCCATGGCCATGGTGTTTGTAGGTTCTCTTCCTCAAGTTGCGCCGACAATCGAACAACAAAGATGTCATTTGGCATCGCCATGCGTCATTTGCCTTCAAGATGCTGAGTTGCGCAATGAACGATAACTGATTGTTTTACAGAGTCACAGGCGTGAAACCACGCCTGGACAAGGAGGTCGCAATTGTGCCTTGTGCGTGACGGGTGTAGTCGTCGAAAAGGTTTAACTGTGCGCAGCCACGCGCGCCACGAGCTCTCTTGCAGGACCACATCAGCACCAATGCATGGTTCACTGCAACATTGTCGAGGCGGCTGATGCGTCGGACGGCACGAACTTATACAAAGCACTCAACATGTCATCAACGCAGTGCGCACATCTCATCGGTGACTAATTGATGTTTAGCCACGTTCGAAGTAAGGCCGCTGGTATTTGAAGGCGAAATGAACGGCGTGATGTGCGTATGCCATGCAAAAACTCGCGGCAGCGCCAGAAGCGATCACGCGACATTATTGCAAGCCCGAGGTTCGAGACTGGGCGCATCCAAAGGGTGGCGTTCCAAGCCATTCTGCGGTTCACCTGGTGAACCGGTGTTGGTGAACTTCACCAACACCAGCGACAAGAGCAGCGATGGCGTGTACCGCGGCCAGGCTGGGCCTCGATGTCAAGCCGGACACGTTCAAAGCCCGGGCGTTTGACAAAGAGGATGAGATTGAGCTCAAGGTCTCGCACTGCGGTTCGGATTTGCCAACGATCTTGGGCGGTTGAGTTTCGTCCCGATGGTGGTCGGCCATGAGATCGTCGGGCACGCATACAGTGTCCAATCTCGATGCAGCCAAGGTCGCGATCGGTGGGTGCGCAGTGCGGCACACACGATGAGCAAGTGTGCTGGAAACTGATCTTGCAACTCCAAAAGCTATCCGACTGGTACGTGACGCGCTGCCGTCCAAGGAGGCGGCACCAATGTTCTGCGGTGGCATCACGACCTACGCGCCGCCACGACGCATAGCGAAGGTAGGCGTCCTCGGCGTACAAAAATTGGCGGTCTTGGTCATTTTGGCCTGCAGTGGGCCGTCACACTCGCTGCGATCTCGTCTTGAAAGCGCAAGGTTCTCGACATGTCGGAGGCTGCCAACGTCGCAGCGAACCGCCACCGCTTTGACATTCTCTTGATCACGGCAAACAGCCCCCACACCGACTGGTCGGTGCTCCTAGAGCTTGCTTGTCTCGGCAACGCCACTGTCGTTCTCCGCCATCCTGCGCCAGATTTCGGTCGTGATCCAAGAGATGCCGTAGTTTGCAGTGCAGAAGAAGGTGCGAGCGCGCATCAAATTGTGCACACAAGCGCTGTAACCAACCGACTAGAAAATCCAACGACGAGGATCAATACATTTATATTGTCTTTGTGTGCCATCTTGAAGGTGGCAACAAGATCGAGCTCCAAGCGCCTGTAGAGCGCAGCAACCTCAACGTTGTAGCTCCCAAGCATGCCGAGTGTTGGTATTGCCGTCAACCAAAATACAGAACGCAAGGTGGCGTCGTGCGTGCCAACTCTACGCTATGCCTTGAATTGATGCACACCGTCGTCGCGAAGGTTGTTTTACGGGCTCGTGTGCCCATGGTACGAGGCCCTCCATAAGGCACTTTGCAGCAACCCTCCTGGTTATGAAGAAACAAACGAGGCCCTCCATGGTGGTACTGGCTATAATACTGGCGGACGAAATCACAGACAGTCGGGCGTAGAGTACGATTAGAGTAAGTATGTGGTACACTTGAGATGCGTAGGATCTTGATGCATCGCCACACATCGCAATAATCTATTGGCATCGTCTAGGGTGCGCTCGTGATGCTGGTGACATGGGGCTGGCAGCGACACGGTGCGCGTCGACGCTTGGTTGCACGACGTCATTACGGCGGCACCGCGCGGTACGCATCGTCGTCGAACGTCAGCACGCTCTTTACCCCCGTGCGCGTTGGCACAAACCAGATGCCGTGCCTCTGTCGCGCGGCCAAAGCGACGTAAAATCATCACCACAGATCAGAGACGGTCGTTGTTCAAAATGGTCGTTGTTGGTCGCTCGCTGCCTGTGAGCGGTGGGACCCAGAAGGATTGCAACACTGTCCTCGAGCAATGCAGAATGACGCGACTGGAAACAGACTGCAACTCACTCTTGCGAGAGGTACTCTGGTCGAGGGCGCGCCATTACTTCTCATGGTCTCCTTGCACATAGAGCAACGCAATCCACCACGTCAACCTCAGCGCCATTGGCATGAGATGGTACTCGACGAGGTATCATTATAAGGGTCGGTTCCGAGTTACGACGTCGTTTCGAATGGCACCTAACCCTGGGGTGGTCCTCGCGATGGTCTGCGGTGCTTGCCGTCGCTTGCAGCATGCCCTTCAAGCTTCTCCTCCAGAGTGAGTCGTCTCGTCGCTTCCTTCAGGATGTCTGCATTTACAACGCGGCGCAGCGTCGGAACCTGTGTACACAGCTACCGTATTGTGTGCAGTATCGAGACAAGGTTGATTTGGATTGCCTCGCTTCATCTTGCGTTGCAAGAGGCGAGCTTTTAAGCATTGCGTTGACCGCAGAAGAAGCGTCTGGGGAGCCTTCTGACATGGCCTCTGCAGCGCATCTTGTGATAAATCCACCGCGTATGCGCGCATGTGACTTGGTAAGAACACTCAGCGACGACGTTATGGAGGTTAGGAGGTCGCACCTAAACTTCTCTGGGTCGCTGCCCAGTTCGGCCTCTGCATGGCCTCGACCGCGTGCACGTAATACGCATCGCATGGATCCCCTCCTCCGTCCGCGAGTGCATTGGCGACGACGGTAATCTCGCTGGACGGGTGCAGCGACGATGTCCCATCCAGGAATCTAACGCTCTTGCCGCTGTGACCGCGAGCCAGAGGCACCCAATTACACATAACGTTACGCTGGACGCAAAGGTGCACGAGTGGCCATGTGTAGCCGCCGCACGGACAGGCGCTTCCTGAAGTGCAGCTTCCAAATCAGAGCGCGTCAGAGGCTGCGAGACCTTCTCGCGTTCATCCTGAGCGCGAGATTCTACCGTTTGCGTGCGTCAATAGAGAGCCACGAAAATCGGCTTCGCGTCGCTGTACGTCTGGAGCGGGTAACATAATACTAGGTGCCTGTGCCTCTCACAGTGCCGAAGGATGAGGTTTGTGATCCGAGGCAGACGTCGCAAAACCACGGCCTCGGCCCGTCACGATACACGGGGTCGAGGCCATAGCAAGGCGGGCTTCTTGGGTACTAACTCGCCGTCGGGCGGCAGACCTTGCGGCGCACCACACGTGGATGGTCCCGCAGTGGCGACCACCGCACGGGTGGATCTGTCCAGTGCGCCTGGGATATGCAGCTACAGTACACTCTCCGTTTGCTGGATTGCACCCGGGCAGGGTCCCAAAAAACGTTTCATTTTGGGGGAGGGGGCCAAAATCTATGGCATCTGAACACGGCGTGACTTGCGTCATGTCTAGCCCCCGGGGGTGTGGGACCAGATGGGCGCGAACGAGCTTGCAATCGTCGCCAGTCCCAGCTGGCGTGGCGGCTCCATCTAGTCTTTCTCACTCGCCAAATTCAGGGTTCCGGCAAGACGATGATGAAGGGCTCGATGGCGCCAATGATGCTGACGCAAGCGCGCAAGGACGAGCTCCTTGAGGACATTGACTCGATGCTGCCGACGCTCCTCCAGTCCATGCGCCCGCAGGCGTCGCAATGGGACCTCAACTTTGTCCGGAACGGCGTCACGTGCTATGACAACGTGCACGCGGACCCATACCACCGCCTTTGCCTCTCGGCAAGCACGGTCGCGTCGTCGCTCGACTCGGCCATGAGCGCGATGGCCACTGACACGACGTCGGCGCTTCTGCGCGCCGAGAAGGAGGCGCTCGGCGACCGCGTCTCGAACGCGACCGTGGTCTCGCCGCTTCGCCCGCGCACGCGCAAGTCGCAGAACCACTACATTGGCATCAAGTGGATCGCGTACAACATCAACGGCCAGCAGCGCTTCGACCTCGTCTTTTGCGACGCCGTCGGCACGGGTGTCGACCCGGTCTCGGGTCGCCGGTACGGGTACCGCGTCCTGCGGTCCATGGTGCTCCCCGAGTGCACGCCGATCGAGGGCCTTCCGCGCGGCCACGTCGGCTTCAACGTTATCAAGTTTATCGAGACGGACGACCCGGGCATGCTCGACATGCACATCGCCGTCAACCTCCTCGTCGACGACGTCGCGTCGCTCTCGAGCGTCTTTGACCCGTTTCCGCAGACGACGCGCCTCCGGAGCTACGTCGAGCAGTTTTACAAGAAGCAGTCGGCGATTCCGGCGCGGCGCCACACGACACCGCTCTTCCACTCGTTCTCCATGTCGCTCCTCGACGACCCGACCAAGGAGAAGAAGCCGTCGCAGTGCGGATTGTGCCGGAAAAAGTTCCACTGGTTCCGCCGGCGCCACGCGTGCAGCGAGTGCAGCAACACGGTCTGCCACTCGTGCGTCGAAACCATCAAGCTGCGTCGCGGGCGCCGCAAGATCTGCCTCGTGTGCCGCTGCACGACGACGCTCCAGGGCTCGAACGAGTCGCAGGCGTCGCCGCAAGGCCTCCAGCGCTACCGCGCGCCGACGCAGCCGACGCGCCAGTCGCTGACGTCGCCCATCTACGACATCCGCATGAGTGCGTGGTCGCCGCGGTCGATTGACGGCGAAACGCCCACGAGCCGTCATACGGTCGCCGGGTACCCCGACTATGACCGCCCCACAACGCCGTCCTCGGTCGTCTCGTACAACGGCGGCGACAACTACGCGCCCCGCTACAGCAGCGAGCGCTCGTACATGGGCTCGAGCCGCGGCCACACTGGCGAGTCACGCTCGATGGTCGAGCCGCCCGTCGGTCTTGGCTCGTCGCGGGGCGCGTCCGGTGGCCGGTTCATTTCGTTCCAGATGCCGTGGGACCAGAAGCACAAGCCGGCACCGTCAGTCCGGACGCCGAGCGGAAAGCGCATGACGCAAACGACCCGCGACACGGTCGACTATGAAGACGACATGCTCATGCAGCAGATCAACCGCACGTCCATTAGCAGCGTCGCGTCGCTCCATGACTGGAACCCCGTCGACATCACGGCCCGCAACTCGATCCCGTACGCCAACAGCGGCTGGACACCCGTGGACCACTCGTCGATGCAGCAGGTCCGGTAGCTTTCGTAGTGTAGATTTACCTTTCATTTATTCCTTGTACGACTACATTCGTCTTCTTGCATCACCATCTCGCGTCACACCGCAGCAATCCTAGTGGTTGCTGACCACGCCGCCCCATCGCCTTCTGCTATCGCCTACCGCTCGCGCACATGGCGCTCGCCAGCCGTCGACGATATCACTTGTAGATCGGCGCGTCGGACCAAGCTTCCATCAGCGAGGTTGGCCTCGGGGTAGGTAGGGGTAGGTGCTACTGTTTTATTTTCGGCACGATGCCAGTGCGATGCCGAATTTAGTAGATTCGTCAGCTGGATCGGCCACTAGTGTCGACGATGAGCGGCTTGTACTACGACCGGGAGACGGGGGCGACAACGCTCTTGGGCGAAGCGCGGACGAAGCTGTCGGCAGCGGCGGCCAAGGCGGACGAGGCCGCGCCCGATGGCCTCGACGTCTTTCAAACCCGCGACTGGACTATGGCGGCGAAGAAGAGCCACATCACGCCACTCCATGCGCTCGACTCGCTCGGGACGGCCATCAACATGACGCCGCCCGAGATGGTCTTTGGTCACAACCAGTTGCTCCTCGTGCACGAGCCGTCGGGCTTTAGCCTCTCGTTCGTCGCCATGGAGGCCCTCGCGCACTGCCACTTCAAGGACGGCACGACCGACCAGCTCAAGGTCGCTGTTGCCAAGGAAAAGACGTCCGATGCTTCATGCGTGCGTGCATGCTAGCTCACACTGTACTACATCTTGTAGCGGCAACGAGGTCAAGGAGCTCGAGATTTCGTACGACTGGACGTATACGACCGACTACAAGGGAACGCTGGGCCGCGAGGACCGCGCGACGCACGTCGTTGCACCCCACGGCGTCCGCGTCGAGCCCACGACGGAGCGCATCGACTTTGAGAAGCTCAAGGTCCGCGAGCCCATTCTGTGGAGCGGCGAGGTCAACCTGTACGAAGACGAGCTCCACGACCATGGCATCTCCGTCATGTCCCTGCGCATGGTACGCCGCGTTGCTGCATGGAGCGTTCTCTCGATGTCTCTTAGCGCGTCATGCCCTCTGGCTTTTACGTCCTCGCGCGCTACTACATGCGTCTCGATAACGTGCTCGTGCGTCTTCATGAGACGCGGATCCACCACCTCTTTGGGTCGGACTACATGCTGCGTGAGTACACGGCCAAGGAGGCGGCGTTCGAGGCGCTCTTCGCGCAGGGACACCCGAACCACATGTCCCACTACACCAACGTTGATACCTACCAGCACCTCTTGTCGACCAAGGTCGCGCAGTACGAGAAGGTCTTTCTCCAGTAGTCGCCCTCGTCGTCGGAGCAGCACGTAATTTTGCACACCTCTCGACTTCAACATCGTGTGTCGTGTTACGCCGCCAGTTGCATGGAGACGCAGACCATGTCACGCATCAACGTCTTGTCGCGCGAGGCGATGGGCGGGTGCACGTGGGGGGTCCCCGTCGGGTCCCCTGTAGCGATACCGTCAAAGGTCGCCCGCACGCAGTAGCCACAGCACCAACCCGCTTGGACATCTGTGAATGCCGTTTGGTACCGAGTTGAGTCAGCTGCGGTATTCCTCGTCGGGTATGCTTCATTGCAGCTGGCAGCGCCGGTTGTGGATGGAGAGCTTCTAGTGTCGCTCGCACAATAGCAATGACTCCTACGCCCAGCCCATGCATTCGCACGTGCAAGGCCATTGGCATCTACCTCGGCGGGAACGGTTTGCCTGCGGCTACGCTGTCCCTGCCCCCTCCATGCAGCGTCGTCGTTGTTGCGGCCGCCGGAGCTGCGGGTGTGTGGAGCAAAACCACTATCCGGATACGTGGTGTCCGTCGGCCCTCTATTTAAAATACTACTAGTACCGCGCATTTTATTTGGAGGGAATTCCCCCGGAAAAGCATGCTCAAATGAATTAAATCGCTTTTTGTTTGTATGGTTTCGTCAACAATAAAGAAAAAGACACTGCGCACCCTGACAATAAAATAAAAAATACATCCGGATATGGACCGATCCACGTAGCAATTAAAGTCGCGGACGCACAATCCAACTCGCCACCAGAGCCGATGGTCTTCCTTGCCGCCGACGACTCGGCGCTCGCGACCCGCGTCGTGCTCTACCTCCATGAGGTGCTGCACTCGCCCGCTGCCAACGAGATCATGATCAAGGTGCATGCGCTGCTTCGCTGGTGCGGTGTCCCGCCGCCGTACCCGGACGCCGAGCGCACGGCCATCTCGGTGCTCACGACGATCGCGACGCTGCTGCTCTACTTCTTCCTCTTTGGGAAGCGCCACCGCCGCCGCCGCAACAAGCTCCAGCAAGAGCTTGAAGAGGCCACGCGCAAGGTGCAGGAGCTCGAAGAGAAGCTCGCCGATATGGACGACGAGGAAGACGGCAACCGATCGGGGAAGAAGAAGGAAATCCGCATCTGGATGGACGGCGCGTTCGACATGATGCACTATGGCCACATGAACGCGTTCCGCCAAGCCAAGGCCTTGGGCACGTACCTCGTGGTGGGCGTGAATGACGACAAGAGCATCACGGCGTGCAAAGGCGCGCCGCCGGTCATGGACGACGACGAGCGCATTGCGTCGGTCGCGGGCTGCAAGTTTGTCGACGAAGTCGAGCCGCACTGCCCGTACATTATGAACGAAGAGTACCTGACCAAGATGATCAAGAAGCACCGCCTCGACTACATTGTGCACGGTGACGACCCGTGCATTGTCGACGGCAAGGACGTGTACGAGGTCGCCCAGCGCCTCGGCAAGTACCGCACGATCCCGCGCACGGAGGGCGTCTCGACGTCAGACATCCTCGGCCGCATGCTTCTCCTCAACAAGGCCCACCATCGCCACGACACGGTGACGCAGCTCTCGTCCAAGGTCAAGGCCAACTCGTCGGCGGCGCTCCAGCAGCGGCCGTCGCGCTTCCTCACGACGAACCGCATGCTCCGCCTCTTCTCGGTCGGCAACAAGGACCCGGCCCCGACCGCACGCGTCGTGTACATTGACGGCGCGTGGGACATGTTCCACCCGGGCCACGTCGACATCCTCAAGATGGCCAAGGCGCAGGGCGACTACCTCATTGTCGGCGTCCACAACGATGCGATCGTCAACAAGCACCGCGGCCTCAACTACCCGATTATGAACCTCCACGAGCGCGTCTTGAGCGTCCTCGGCTGCCGCTACGTCGACGACGTGCTCATTGACGCGCCGTGGCAGGTGACCAAGGAGATGATTGCGTCCTTGCGCCTCGCTGTCGTCGTCCACGGCTCGCACCGGGACGTCGAAGACACGGACGCGGCCATGGACGACCACTACGCGTGCGCGCGCGAAGCCGGCATCTACCGCGAGCTCCCGAGCCCGCGCTCGCTCGACGTCAAGGACATTGTGGACCGCATCGCCGAGAACCGCGAGCGCTTCGAGAAGAAGTTTGTCAAGAAGATGGAGGCCGAGAAGGAGTACTACGACGACCGGTACGCGCAGAAGAAGTAGAATACGACCGCTGCGTAGTGTCCATCGTGCAGTGTGCTAGTATATATCAACACAGACCTTTTGTCTTGCCCGACGCGCTACCGACGCACGCTCAGATCTGAGCGCTGAGCCTGGACAGCTCAGGCACGAGCCAGATCTGATAGGCGCACTGATAGTAGGTCGTCGCCATCAAGGTCCATAAAAATGGACCTTGCTCGCCATGTAGATGCTCCTGCATCGGCCTTGCGACTGCCCGGCTGGGCGCCATGCTGTAATGCCGAAAATAAAGCGTATCACGCGGCATATGCCGAATGCATTACGGACGGTACAAAAGATTTGGATATGTTGCAGTCGGTGGTCCGCGTTGGCGTCCGCCATGGCGCCCGCGCGCTCGTGGTCGCCGCCCGCCCGTTGCCGCGCTTCGCTCGCTGCGAGACGCCGCTAACGCTTCTGCGCCCGCGGATGCTGCCGATCACCATGCGCTGCCGGCTCTTGTCCACGCGCGCGCTTGAAGAAAACCCGCCCGACTGCCCGCAGTGCGCCGGCGCCAACACGTACTTTGATGGCGTCTCGCTCTTTGTGTGTCCCGATTGTAGCCACGACTGGGCTGTCGCCGCCGATGCAGCGGTCGATGCAGGTACAGATACCACCATGCATTGCCGTGTGGACTTCGCTGGTGTGTGCTTGTAGAGGCCGATGGCGTCTTCCGCGATGGCTTTGGCACGGTGCTCCAGAACGGCGACTCTGTCATCCTCTCCAAGGAGCTCAAGGCCGGCTCCGTCGTCTTGAAGAAGGGCACAAAGGTCAAGAGCATCCGGCTCGGTGCGTACGGCGATGGTCACGACATCTCGTGCACGATTCCCGGAAAGGGCGCGTTCCACCTCAAGACGCAGTTCGTCAAGAAGGCGTAATGGATCATCTTTGTCGACTTCGAACTACTTACAGCATGTACTACGACTACGGAGTCACGGCGTACGGAAGGTCGTGGCAGAACGTGACGTTGAAGACCTCGTCGAGGGGGCAGTTGTGGGTCTTGGTGTCGTCGCTTGGGTACAGGTAGGCGTCGGGCGAATCGTCGCGCGTGACGTTGAGAGTGCGGCAGTGCTGTCCATTATCGTGCTTGGTGGGGACGACAAGCATCGGAACGTTGTAGCCCGTCTTGTTGGTCTCGGCCTTGCACAATTTGAAGCTCATGCAGTTGCCGGGCTACGGAGACAGTCCAATATGAAGAGGCCTATATGGCGATGCACGAGTACGTACGCCCGGCGGGATGTTGCTCACGTCGTACCAGACGTTCTTGTAGCCAGGCGAGTTCATGAGCGAGTACTCGAGCACTAGAGGAAACGACGCATGAGCCAGCCAAGGACAAGGGTTCATGGACGTACGGTTGGCTTCGTTCGACGCCGTGTGCTTGAAGAGCCCATGGTCCTTGAGGCCCGTGTTGCAGTTGTTGCCGACCGTCTCGCCGGGCGCGAGGTCACAGAGCGGGACGCTGCCACCGCCATGCAGCTCGATCGTGTAGTTGCAGCGGTTCGTGAAGCGGAACTCGACGGCGACGGCGACGGCGCTGAGGAAAGCGAGGAGGTAACTTGTGCTGACCATGGCGAATTCGCAAATGCAGCGCTCCCAGCGCCAAGCGACTCTGGGACGTGGCCAGCAAGCAGCCTTTCCCAAGCTGCCTCTGCATCGTGTGTGAATATGTCGATATTGGAATATTGAAAACCATGGCTCGCTTCCAAACCAATATACCAGAGAGTGACAGGAACACACAGGACCGTTTGCGGCTAAGAGAACCTCGGGGATGACCTCGCTGCGTGGGTGACTCAGTGCAAGGCCAACGAGCAAGAGACCCTCCGCCTGTCGAAGGTCTGCGATGAGCTCCAGATAGAGTTGCAGTCGGTCGTGCCGCAATGCGATCAGTCTCAGCGCCGCGGCCGAGCGCTCCCCGATGCGCTGAGCAAGGTGGAAGGCGAGAAGCTCGAGCGCCAACGCAGGCCGCCCAAATCGGCAAGCAGTTGCTGCGATGAAAGCTCGACTGCAAGTCGAGCACGCCACGAACGCATGACAGACGGCCCATCATCGTTCTCTGAGCTCATGACTTCGTTAATGTTGAATGGTGATGTTTTGAGGCGAAGCGAGGAGTACCGACGGAAGTGCGCAATCTGGCACGTCGATTGCACATTTATTTCCGCTTGACGCACATCCATTTCCGTTCACCGCGCTATATTTTACAGCGACCGAACTTCGTCCGAACATTGAACTGCACAATTTCTAACGACAAATTATAACCATTCTGGGTTCTTTTCGCACCAGGGTCGGCGCGGCCCTGCGGGCCTACCCGCCTCCACCTGGGCGACCCATCGATAATGAATTCTTCTTACGTGAAAGACCGGGGCTCGCTCCTCGCCAAGGCACGGCCTGCACAAAAGCCAACACGCCACCTCCGCTACGCTGCGGTGCGCAGGCTTTTCTGGGCCGATGCTCTGTCGTCGCTCGCAGCAATCTGGTCCGAGATGTTATACAACGTTACGTTTATTGCGCGGTGGAGTGTGCGAGCGACGTAAGAAATAGTTCGGTAGCCAGCAAAATATTGTGCGGTGACCGGAAATAAATGTGCGTTGAACGGAAATAAAAGTGCAATCGACGTGCCAGATTGAGCACACACGGTAAGTACTCGCGAAGCGAGTGCGGTGGCAAGGGAAGAAAGCCTTGGGGAGCCAGGCCCGTGCAAGACGCAGTAGCAAGACCAACGACGCTGTTGTTGTTGAAGTGGGTCGTCTATTACAATAGTTATTAAAATCCCTCCCAGACCTAACGATAAAAACAGGTCCCGCGCGGCAGTGCCCGTGCGGGGTGAGCTGATCGGAACTTTTGATGTGAATGCGAACGCAGTTTCATTAGTCAAAATGGCTCGATATGTACGGTAGCCAATGGGTTGGCTAGAATGTACGAATTAATCCCCTGGGATGCTGTACCACGTAAACGTTCCTACGAGGAAAACAAACCGTCAAGTCCCGCGTGCCAATGGCCTTGCTTGCCGACTGCGCGACCATGAGCGACAATGACATGGACGCGTACTATAAGGACATCATGTACCTCCTCGAGTTCCCAAAGACCGCCTCCATGACGCGCGTCTTCACAGCCAAAGACGAGGCGGCCGTCCGCGCGCTGCCGGCGTGGGACCTCTCGCGGTACCTCGGCCAAGACACCGCCACGACGACCGTCGTCGCCGCGTCCGACCTGGCGTTCGACACCTCCGCCTTTGATGCGTTTGTCAACGCGACGCTCGTCAAGCGTGTCAAGACGGCGCTGGCACCCGAAGGGCCGTTCCACGCATCACTCGCCCACATCGCGTTCGACGCTGTCGGCGACATGAGCACCTTTGGGGTCGCGCACCGCCCACTGGGCACGTTTGGCACCTTGTACGTGGCGCTACCACGTCACGCGCGCGGCGGCGAGGTCACTTTTCGACGCGGCCATGACTGGAACAAGTGTCTCCTGTCTCGACGCTCAGGAGCACCTCAACACTCGTATGCAGCGTGCTACCGCCACACTCACGTCACCGCGGCTGCCATCACTGAGGGCGACCGCGTCCTCCTCGTGTACAACCTCATTTACAACGACCCGGCGGCGCACACCCGCGACTATCCCGCGTCCATTGACGAGGCGGCAGCTCATCTTCGCAGACTCGGCACGATGGACCACGACCGCTTGAACGTGCAGAGAGGCTGCCCTGTACTGCAGCAGGGCACCTCGTTCGAGACGCTCTCGGGAGTGGCCAAAGACGTCTTGACCGCCTTCCTACAGTCGGGTGTCTATGACGTGGCATTGGCAACGCTCGTGCCCGACAACGACGTCGTTGTCGACGCGCTGCGCAGCAGCCTCCTTGGCATAGGCAGCCTCGCCAACATTCTCTTCAAGTGCGTTGAGCTGCATCCAGCGACCGGTGCGCCATCGGTGCTCCAAGACGGCTTGCATGGCTCCCTGCTGCCGGAGTACACGTCGAGCATCAGTGACGAAGTAGTCCACGAGTTCGGCCCGACGCACGCGCTCATCTTTTGGCCCAAGCGGCACCGGCTGGAGGCAGCCGGCCTTCATGGCGCAATGCTGTGCCTCGAGCGCGCGGTCACCGCTGCCGCCAACGACGGCACCAACACCAATCTGGAGCTCTTGGGCTGCGACGATATTCTGTCGCTCGCGATCCATGTCATGGTCTTCATGGAGATGGACTACAGTATCTTTAGTGAGGATCAGTACCAGCGCGTGCAAGCCATCATCGACCCGTCGGCGACGTCGTTCGTTCACCGGTTTGCCGCCGTGCTCACGACGCTCGGCAGTATCAACTTGATACTCGAGTTTGTGGCGACGTCCCTCAACATGACGCACTGCAACACGTCGCTACCGGACGTCGCAATGTGGCTCTATGGTCTGTGTCAAACGCATGGCTGGGAGCTCCTCTTCAAGTCGCTTGCTCAGCTTGTCGACCGGTGGAGCAAGAAGCAAGCGACAATGGCGCCTGCCTTGCATCTCATCGCATCGCTCGCGGGCGTGGATGGTGCGACGCCGGTGTGCCCTGCCCTCCACCAGCCATTTACGATTGAGCTCATCAAGGGACTCTACCGCACGTCGCGTCATGCGCTCGACGCCCACTACCACAACGCGCGACTCGCCGTCCAGCACGAGGTCCTCGGCCTTTGCCTCGTTCTCGATGCGTACGTGGCAGAGAATGGTGTGTCATCGCACTGGCTTCACAGGCAGTTGCCGCCACTGGCGCTGGCAACGATCGACGCAAACCTCGACCCAGCCAAGTCGATGGCCCGTCGTTTGCTGGACGCTGAAGAGACAGAAGGCGTAGCGCTCCTCACCACGGCGGCGCCTGCTTTGGTGTACGGTCTGCGCCTCCAACGACGCCTCCGTGTCCCCGCGCTCGCCGCTGCCATTGCTGCCAAGCTCCACAACCCGTCGACGACCGTGGACATGCTTGTGCGGGACGAGTGGTCTCACTCCGACGCCGTGGTCATCGTCAGAAGCCTCTTGACGATCGCACTCTGCGATGGTACGTTAACGTCGGCGCTTCTCGAGCGCTGCCGCACCGTCTTTGGCTCGTGCACCGTCCCCGCCATCCGCGACGTCCTCGCGCATGACATTACTGTGGACAATGCGACGCGCGCGCTGTTGTTTCAGAGTGTCTTGCGCCCGATCACAAACACCGATACAAACTACGACAGGCACCTCAACGACTACTACCGTGACCATCCGCACCCCTACGTCGCGCCATCCCACGACGATGCGCGAGAAGTGGACGCTGGCTGGCGACTGGCGGTCGACACGCTCGAGCTGATTGCCGAGATGGACGCGAGCCAGATGCTGTCGTACGTCCGGTTGTGGAACGACCAAGTGCTCTCGCAAGAGCCGTGGATGTATGGTGGTTTTGTCGCCAACTGCCTTCTTCGCCACACCTTTTGGACCCACGAGGCATGGCTCTTCCTCGCCAACCTCTGCATCAAGAACCTCACGCCACTTTTTGCCGGGCGTCGGCTCCGTGATCTGCGTCCGAAGGTTGAGGTGCGTGTGGACTGCGACTGCGAGCTCGCGACGCAGCTCAACACCTTCATGAGCTCCCAACATGCTTTGGTCGACGTCTTGCGCGCACCAGCACCCATGTGCACCGCTATCCAAGCCTTCCTGGACGGCCCCCCAAAGACTACGCTGGAGCTGACGCGGCACAACAACGATGACGACGCCTCCGAGCCCGTGACGATCACCATTGAGCGGCCGCACGACGACTTTTCGGACGACGAGGTCGATGCATACTCGTCCAAAACTATGGTCGAGCGCCTCCAAGCCATGAAGAAGAGCAAGACGATCCGCAAGCGGCAAGCACCACGCATAACGCGCAGTGGAAAGCGAACCTGCGTGCCACGGACTGCACCATACCTAACGTAACGTTCCTATCAGAACTATGCTAAATAAATTTGTCGGACTTTCTTCGTTGTGTGTACTCGGTTGAGGAACTTGATTTAGGCAGGCGGAGGCAGGAGTGCGATCCGCGGGACGAGGTGACGTCGCGGTCACTCGTGTTGGGCGAGGAGCCGGAGAAGCCGGCGACGTCGTGAAGGGGTAGGTCATGTAGGTAGCACGACGGACATCCACTGGGCGATGAACGTTTGGGTTGATCTCTTGACGGCAAAGGCGCCGAAGGATTATAAAAGCCTGTTGGTGGCGTGGTGCCGACCGCAGCTCACCGGGTTGATCTGATGGCTCTACTTACTTCCTCCATACGACTGCATATACGATGGGCTCGCAAGCCTACAGTGACTGACAGAGCTGTTGACAGGGCTACTGACAGGACCACTGACAGGACTAGGCTTGGCGACGTGGTCCTCCTCTCGAGAGAACGCTGCACACAGAAAAGCTGCAAGATTCAAAGACAGGGCGTGACACCCATGCGTGGCCTCCTCGGATTGGTCAGCTAACGGGCGAGTGGCACTCCGGTTGCCACGTGGATGGTGGCCCACTTGCATTTTCATCGACACTCGACACCGCCATGGACACCACGCTGCCGCAGACCATCGTCAGCAACCTCGCCAGCTACGCAAGCTACCTCAACGTGACGTCCGCGCACCTCTTGGACCTCTCGACTGCATCGCCCGATGAGGTCCCGCTCCGGTACGGCGTCTTTGCGACGCTGGTTGTCCTCGGCCTCCTCCTCGGCACGCGCGGGCACCAAGTGCCGCGGCTCCTCATTGGCGCGCTCATGATTCCGGTGGGCCTTGCTGGCCGCCCGGTGGAGCTCCTCGGGTGCTCGGAGCTGGTCTGCGTCGAGAGCCTCGGGTTTGGCCTTCTCGTCGGTGCACTCTTTGCCGCGCGACCGGCCTGGGCCATCCGCCTCGTGTACTGGGCCGTCATGGCGCGGACGTTTGGCCGCGTCCTTGGTGGCTTGCCGCACAAGGAGCTGATTGCACCGGGCGTGGCACTCATTGTTGCGACCCTCGTGCTCGAGTTTAAGGACTCGACCGTGCGCGCCGTGGCGATGGTGCTCTCTTCGATCCTCGGCGCCCTCCTTGTCGTGAGCGTCTCGACGGTCGTCATCGGTCCCGTGACGCTCGTTGTCTACGGCGTCATGGCCATGTGGTTCTACCGCATCCAGCGTGAGCACATCGCCAAGCTCACGCCCAAGTCCAAGCAAGACTAGCTTTGATTCTGAGCTCAAAAATGTATTACCTTAACCCATTCTTCGCCCTTCAAGGACACTTATTGTCGTCGCGCTCTATCGGTATCGGCGCACGGAGGCAACCTCTTGAGCATTGCGTTCGAGCTTGGCATCCTGTCAAGCTACGCCCAGAAGAAGGACCCTATTCGACCTGACGACCGTGGTACGTTCGTGCGGCTCGCGTCGTGCCACGTGGATTTGGTCACGTGCTCAAAAGTTAAGGGCACGTGATGTCGCTGGGCGCACTTGTGGGCCATAAGTACGCACGGCGACGGCCACGCATTGCCGACACGAATATCCTTGTGTGTTTGCGCAGTGGCTTTGAATGGGAGGTTCATGCTGTACTGCGCTCATACAGTTGTAGCGATGACGCGCGAGATGCTGCGGTACTAGTAGATGCACGAAACGTCTTGTACCGTGCCGTGCGACCGATGCGATTGGAGATAATAAGGCGATTCGGAGGGAGTGAAATTGCGAGGTAGACTCGAAAAAGGGAATCTTTTGGCGTCGACTTGACACCGCGACGCCGTCTCGAACACGCCGTGTGTGTGGATGGCGTGGTTCGTGGACGCATGACTGGCTTACGATATGCGATCCGTGCGCATTTGCCGCCTCGTACATTTGCGCAACGACAGTTTCTGCCTCACACGACGGAGGACTCGAAGCTCCTACGACCTGTACGTGCCAATTTCGACGGCGGTTGTTTCGCCCAGCGTCACCGTGGACTCACGTTGAGTACTTGACTGCAACGGCGTAGAGCTGGACGAAGGTCCGTCTGCCTTCGTCGTAGTCCCCAGGCCATGCTTGCACCAGTAGCTCTCATCTCGAGCCTTGTTGCTGGTGCGAAAGTACATGTACGACTGACTACTCCCGCAACCGACAACGACGCCATCCGCTCGCATACGACTCGTTTCGCAACAATTGGAGCCCGAAGTGCAATCCTATTGAAGAAAGGATACAAAATGTAGCTCGAATGGCGGACCTACGACGTGAGTCGCACTAGCGAGTGATGCGACGCGCCTCCTTTTACGCTCGGAAGCGCTTGAAGTTCAATCGACAATAATGTCGTTGTCGGCGTCGCAAAGACGCTCGAATGGGTGCGTCCACTGCGCCAGAGGCTCGCGCCTCACCGTCCGACCGTTCGTGCCGTGGCTTCCGTGACGCCACGTGGCCGCCAAGCTCGTCGCGTTGAACTTGAAGTTCCGGTTGTTGAAGACCAGATCCTTGCGATCAGCAGCAAACCGCGCTATTTCAATCGCCCCGTGACCTACTAGTATATCAACTTCGAATAAACTAGTAACAAATAGAAATCATAATCTTCCAACGCGAAATACCCCTGAATCGCTCACCTCACGCGCCTCCGAGGTTGGACGACCCGTGGAGTTATTCAGGCAGCTGAAAACGAAGCAGCGTAAAGGCGGTCGTGCGAGGTAGTAGCTCTGACGCCACTTTTGCCTTGGACATAGCTTGGCGCGTGCAACGCCCGTCTTTTTCGTGGCGTCAATGGCGTCCATCTCAAAGGAAGTCGGGGTGGCTGCACCTGGGTAGCGGGACGTGCTTCAACCAGAATGCCAACTGGGTTTGACACAGAGTGCACACGTCGCACCCAAATCGTTCGAGAAACAAGTGCGGAGACAGGGACATGCTGCGCTGCTGGTTCGACGAGGGAAGTCGACGACGCTACAGCAGACCAAGAAGCTTTTAGTACCTAGGAGCACACCGAGAACCGTGTATTTTTGAACCACGTATAAAAATATGTTTTTGCTATGACACAGTTTGGGCGTCAAGTACACTCCACTGGACAATGTTGCCGAATTCAACGTTCCCAGCGCGTTCCTACGACGACGACACGGTAAAAGCGCTGGTGACCGTCCGTTTGCTTGCGTGGCCCTCAGACTTCTGAGAATGAGCCAATGAGATAGGCTCATCCCCCTTCTCGGACCAATGATACTTCTGAGAATGCGTTGATTGGTCGAAAATCCACGATTTGCACTGGCTTGATGGCGGTTCGTGAAGCAGGCGACACGACAGGTGGGCACCCGTCACACGCGCTGTGTCGCAGGTGACCACCCTAGTGTTCGCTTGCTAACGTACCCGAATTAGCCCAATCCATGGCGCAGATCCATCCTCACCACATACGGCTGGGTGTCTCTACCCGGGTAAGAGGCCTCTAGTAAGCGCTGGATCTCGTCACCTTTGCACTGGCGGGTCTTTTCCACTGGGTCTCTTCTGCGGCTTGTCATGTCGGCCAACTCGGTGGCGATAGAAATGCTCCCTGGCTACTCCGTCCATCAATGATGGATGCGGCGAACATTTCGTCGCGTCAAACCGCCGCCTTGAGGCGAACTTTTGAACTGGTGGAGCGCAATCCACGACCCGAGCGAGAGGCAGAGAGGGACACCTGCAGCGCGTCCGCCCACTGCAGCGCTGCGAGGTCACCTACTGTACATTAAAACGCACGTGACCTTATATCGATTGATCGAAGGACGTTGTATGCAGTGACACCGTCTGGCAGTGTCCGCGACACGCCAAGTACAGTCCTCTAGCAGCTGTTGCTAGGCTCTATGCTTACAAATCGGCACCAAGAGGGCTTTTCGTGGAGCTCATTTTCCAATTTGCTTTCCGCCGCACAGCAGCAGCAGTCGCTAGAGCAACAACATGGCGGGGTCGAGCAACAAGTTTATGACCATCGAAGACTTCAAGGCGGCGTTCTCGCTCTTCTGCTCTGTTTGCGGCGTCGGCTCGCTCGGTCTCCCGGGCAACTATGCGCGCGCCGGCTACTTTTGGGCGTCGTTTGGCTTCTTCTTCATGGCGGCCGTCAACACGTACGCGACGTGGTGCATCGCCAAGGTGATGCTTGTCGCGCCTCAAACCGTCTTTACGTTTGGCGATCTCGCCGAGTGGAGCATGGGCAAGGGTGGTCGCTATGTCACGACGCTCGCCCAGACCGTCATGTGCACGCTTCTTCCGATCGTCTTCCTCGTCCTCGGCGGGTCGCTCCTCGTCGTGCTCTTCCCCATGTCGTTCTCGCAGACGACATGGATCGTGCTCATGGGCATCACGCTCCTGCCTGTCTGCCTCATCCCGACGCTCAAGGAAGGCGCTGGCGCCGCCGCCGCTGGGTGCCTTGGCACGATCTTTGCTGACGGCATTGCGCTCTACCTCCTCATCACCAACATGCAAGACGTCAACCCCACGGGTATCTCGCCGCCAGGCCCGGAGATTGGCTTTGAGCAGGTCACGACCGTCTTTGGCAACCTCGCGCTCGCGTACGGTGCTGGTATCATGATCCCGACGCTTCTCCGCGAGCACTCGGAGCCCGAGCGCCTCCCGAAGCTCATTCTGATCACGATGTTTGTCATTTGCAGCTTCTTCCTCCTCGTCTCGATCCTCGGCGTCTTCTCGACGGGCTGCCAAACGCCCGGCAACCTCCTCTTCTCGATCGCCAACCCGGCGCTTGGCTTTACGGCGGACCGCGGCTTTGTGATCCTCTCGTTCCTCTTCATGCAGCTCCACATCACGATCGCATTCGCCGTCGTCATCTTCCCCGTCTTCCAGATCATGGAGCGCATCTTCCTCAAAATGCACATCTACGAGCTGGACGCGCCTGCTGCGTCCGCCAATGACATTGAGACGCCCGCGATTGACGCTGTCGGCACGTCGTTCCAGGACGAGAAGACCCTGGTCGTCAACCACATCGACCCTGCGGACGCGTACAAGGTGCCGGGTGCCTACTTCAAGGCCGCGACGCTCCGCACAATCATGGTCGTGCTCTGCGTCGTTGTCGCCGTCATCTGGAAGGACCACCTCGGCGCGCTCATGGACTTTGTCGGCGCGTCGTCGTCGTGCACGGTGTGCATGATCCTCCCGATCATCTTTTACAACAAGACGTTCTGGACGACGACGTCGATTGCGGAGAAGGCGGTCGGCGCCGTCTTCGTCCTCGTCACGGTCTTCCTCGCCATCTACGTGTCCATCAACACGGGCAAGGAGCTCTTTGCGCCGCAGACCAAGGACGCGTCGATCCTCTTCCCGCTCTGCCCGGCCAACTACCAGAAGGTCGTCTTCACCAACACGACGCACTTTGCGCCGGCCCGCGCGCTCTTTGGCTACTAAACAGTCTCGGAGCCGCGTTATGTTATGTAGTCTACTAGCCACGGAAGCTGTATATCTTTATCGAACACCAACACAGTCGATTTTTGTGTCTTCGTCAGAGTTGCTGAGCACAAGGGGATGCCGAGGCAGCTTCAAAGCGCCGGATGAATCGAGAGACAATATAATGATGCAGTGGTGCAGGGCTACGTCGGGTGGTAGATAATTCCTGTGGCCAGCAGATGGCGTTGACGAAGGACCAGCGGTGCGATAGGTCGCGAGCTAACGCAGCGCTTCTGAGAACCAGTGTATGTTCACAAAACAGCTGTTTCTTATATCAGAGAGAGGTGCACCGATCATGGTCCGACCGTCGGCGGTACTAATAGACCGTGTGAATACTGGCCGGCGCTATTTAGCTAGTTTATATACTAGTTCATATGAAGTGAAGCTTGCCATTGTGCAGCTGAGGTACAGTATCGCAGGCGTACGATGCTGTCCATTGGCGCAAGGCGTGACCAACGCGATGATTGCGTCACCGGACAGGATGCAATATGTTCGTGTGGGGCTGCTATTGCTTGAGAGCATTGCTCGAGCGCTTTGCTTGGGTGTTGTGGGGACAATGCATGCAGAAAATGTTGACAAATCCATGAGCAACTTGGGTGGTCGAAGGGCAAAAGAGGCGGCTGCATTTGGCAGCCAGCGTCGTCAACCTTCTGTGCTCGGAGTAATCGAAGCGTTGACGCCTCGTGCAATTTCCGTCATGGATGCGTTGAAGACAAGTCCAGACAACTTGGGTAGCGTACCTGGATGCAGTGCCTTCATTATTGTCTGCCCAGCATCGTGTAGCTGTAGCCAAGGACCCGTAAAAAGCCTTGCACTAGCTGCCTCATCTTGGCGCAACAATGGTCAAAGCAACGACACCCAGAACCAACACCTTTGCGAAGGCGATGCGCTCAGTCTAGCCTCCTCGTCGCTCGACGGTGACGGCGGCAGACCACACATCTAGTTTGGACAGCATGTGTACAATTTCTCCTTCTATTCTTGCCGCGCGTCTTCCTCGAGATGGCTTTCTTAGCCTTCTACCGTCTCAACCGAAACGTGGACACCCACTTGTGAAACGAATGGCATACCAGTCTGCCGAAAAACGGACGTAATTTTGAAACTGAAATGCCGCAAATTGGTCTACCAGGCGTTACAGTCTACCGAACACAAACGATGGCGTGGATCGATCTCGACCGAGTGGATAATTGATGCTCCAGAGATCAACGCCTTGAACCTTTGCTTGATGCCTGGCAGTGGACTCTGCTCGTCGTGAGGCAACGTTTTTGCGATCCAACACAACTGCTGTCGTCGATTTCAAACTAAAAAACTAACGCAACGACGAACATACATACTGCAGCACTACACCTGAGCTACGTAACGAATTGCGCACACTGAGCGATAGCTGCGCATTTGCGTCACCCGAGATATTGGATCGCGTTGTCTGTCCGACTCTTACATCGACCAACCTGCGTCACGGACGCGCGATTCATAGACGACCCAATCAGCGTCCTCTCTGATCCAATGCGCGCTTCTCATTCCTACATTGGTAGGGCTTTAGCGACTTCTCGAATTCCACCCTGACTCGTTGAGTTGGATCTACAGGTTGCACGCGTCCCGCCGCTTTGGAGAAAGCTCTTTTGCATGGTACGATTGGCGGGGCGCACTCTGGGGCGCACTCGGTGAAGCTTCCAAGAGGAAGGAATGAAGTTCCGAGGTTGGCACTGATTGGCTAGATCCATCCAAGCTCACTGTGATTGGTCGGATCGCGACGGTGGTCTATCCTGCTCATTTTGGATTTGATGTCGATGGCGACAACGACGCCGTACGTGAGCCTCGAGCAGACCCGGCATCCCGTCGAAACGGCCGGGGTGGCTTCCATGGCTACAATGGCCTGGCTCGACCCGCTCATCCGCCGAGGCGCGCGGACGCCGCTCAACGAGGCCGACGTCTGGCCGCTCTGCCAACGAGACACGGCCGCCGCTGTCCATGACCGCTTCCAACGGTACTGGCAGCAGGAGCGCCAAGCGACCGCGCCTGCTTTGCACAAGGCTATTTGGCGAACGTTTCGGTGCGAGATCCTTGCAACAATTGGCTTGTATCTTGTCTCGGCCGGCCTCACGTTGCTCCAGCCGTGGGTCATCAAGGCGATCCTCGAGTACCTTCAGGCGCCATCCGGCCACGTAAGCACAAGCTTGGGCATCTCGTCGGGCTACGGCCTCGCCGGTCTTCTCGCGGGCTCATCGATCGTGTCGATTGCGTGCGCGGACTATGCGCAGTACGTTGCGGCACACATTGGCTGCAACGTCAAGACGATCTTTGTGGACAGCGTCTATCTCCAAACGCTCGCGCTCTCGAGCATCTCCAAGCAGCACGTCTCGTCCGGCGACGTGGTCGCCATGGCCACGATTGACGCAGAGAAGATGCTCCAGGGCTTCTGGCTCGGCATTTGGTCGCTCGTCGCACCCGCGATGCTGCTTGTCATTATGATCCTCATCGGCGTCGAGCTCGGGATGGTGACGGGTCTCATTGGTGGCGCGTTCATGCTGCTCTTCATGGTTGCTGGATACGTCTCGGGCACGCGCGTTGGCGCTGTGAAGCGACGCCTTCTTGCCGTCCAAGCGGAGCGCGTCAAGCTCATGAACGAAGTGCTCCAAGGTATCCGCGTCGTCAAGCTCTACGCGTGGGAGAAGGACATGGAAGCGCACATTTCGGCGGTCCGCGCCCGCGAGTTCGAACTCATCAAGACCTTCCAAGCACTCCGGGTACTCAACACCGTGACGCTCTTTGCCGCGCCCTTGGTGACGATGGCGGTCGTCTGGGTCTGCTACATCGGTCTCGGCCACGACATGGACGCTACCAAAGCGTTTACAGTCATGGCGCTCCTCAACGCCGCGCTGCTTCCGTGCACCATCTTTTCCAACGCCGTCATGTACGCCTCGGAAGCCTACGCGTCCTCGCAGCGCGTCAACAAGTTCTTGCTGCTCGAGACGATGCCGCCGGCGCCGCCAACTCCGGCGCCACGCGCTGCGTGCGTCTCGCTGCGTGACGCGGCCTTTGCGTGGGAAGACACGTCGCTAGTGCTCCATGATCTGCAGCTCGAGCTGCGTGGACCGTCTCTGACGGTGCTCGTCGGGCCCGTTGGCAGCGGCAAGTCGAGCCTCGTGCAGGCCATCTTGGGCGAGATGCACCAGCTCCTCGGCGTCCGCGACATTGCCGGCAGCGTCGCGTACGCCAGCCAAGAGCCCTGGATCCAGCACGACACGCTGCGCAACAACATCCTCTTTGCCGACGCCTTTGACGACGCCAAGTACAATGCGGTTCTCGACGCGTGTCAGCTCCGCGCCGACCTTGCGATGCTGCCGGATGGCGACGCGACCGAGATTGGCGAGCGCGGCATCAACTTGAGCGGCGGCCAAAAGGCGCGCGTCGCACTGGCGCGGGCCTTGTACAAGACGGACGCCGACCTCGTGCTGCTCGATGATCCGCTGAGCGCCCTCGACGTCCACGTCGCCAGCGCGGTCTTTACCGACGGTCTTCAGCGCCTCCTTCAACACAAGACGACGCTCCTCGTGCTCAACAGCCACTACCATCTCCTCGCCCACGCTGACCGCGTCCTTGTGCTGGACCACGGACGCATCGTCGCCGACGGCGCATACACTGACGTCATGACGGCGTGCCCGCACTTGGTGACCAGTGCCAGGGCGATGACGACGTCCTCCCCCGAGGCAACAACGAGCGAGGCGCCAGACGTCGCGAAGAAACAGAAGACGCCATGTGGTCTCGTGGCCCAAGAGGAGCGTGCGGTCGGCGCCGTCTCCGTCACCACATACGTCAAGTACTTTGGCGCGAGCGGCTGGAACGGACGCTATGTCGGTGCGTCCGTGCTACTGAGCTACCTCGTGTGCCAAGGCGTCGTCGTCAGTGGGGATTTGTACCTCTCGCATTGGTCCAACGCGTCCGTATTGCGGGCGTCGAGCGTCGCGTCCAGCTGGTCCTACGCTAGCATCATCGTCGCGGCCGTCCTGCTCGTGTGGGGTCGCAGCATGTTCGCTCTCTTCGTCGCCCAGCGCTGCTCGCAGTCGCTGCACACGCATCTCCTTCGAAAGGTGCTCTCGCTCGCGGTGCCGACGTTCTTTGATGTGACGCCGATCGGCCGGATTCTGAACCGGTTCTCGACAGACCTCGACCTCCTCGACGCGCAAGTCCCGTTCTACGGCTTCATGCTGCTCCAGTTTCTCTTCCAGATCCTCGCCGTGCTTCTCGTCTGCGGCGCGTCGACGCCATACGTCATCCTCGTGTACCCGTGCATGCTCTTTTCGTTCTACGAGGTCCAGCAATGCTTCAACCCCACCGCGAGTGCGCTCAAGCGACTCGAGAGCGTCACGCGGTCACCGCTCATCACGAGCGTCTCGGAGACGCTGCACGGTCTCTCGACGATCCGCGCGTTTGGCATGGCGCCGGCGTTTCTCCAGAAGCACCGGCGCCAGCTCGACCACCACATGCAGTTCTTCTCGACCTTTTACATGGCCCGTGCGTGGTTCCAAATGCGCCTCGATTGGCTCTCGGCGGCCATCGTCGTCGTCGTCGCATTCCTCGTCATTGGTCTTCGGACGTCGCTGGGCGTTGTCGCCGCCGGCCTCTCGCTCACGTACGCCGCGCAGCTCTCGGCGTTCCTCTCCAAATGCGCCATGTTTTACAACACCGTCGACACGATGATGACGTCGGTCGAGCGGCTCGCGCACTACGAGAGCCTCGAGAGCGAAGACGACGCTGCGACGATGGGGCCAGCGCCGGACGCGTGGCCTAAGCACCCGACGATTGCCTTTGAGCACGTCGCGATGCGGTACCGGTCGCACCTTCCGCGTGTGCTGCAGGATGTGCATGTGCACGTGGCTGCGAAGGACAAGATCGGGATCTGCGGTCGGACCGGGTCGGGCAAAAGCTCGCTCATCAGCGCGCTCTTCCGCATCGTGCCGATTGACGCGGGCGCCATTCGCATCGACGGCGTTAATATCGCGAATCTGCCCGTCCAGCAACTGCGGTCCACGCTCACGATCATCCCGCAGGACCCGGTGCTCTTCTCGGGCTCGCTGCGCTTCAACTTGGATCCGTCGGGTCTGGCGTCCGATGCCGATCTCTACAGCGCGCTCACGCGCGTGCACTTGGCCTCGTACGTGGCAACCCGGGGCGGCTTGGAGCTGCAAGTGAAGGAGAAAGGTGGCAATCTCTCGGTGGGCCAGCGCCAGCTGCTCTGCATTGCGCGCGCCCTCTTGCGCGACACGAAGATCGTCGTGCTGGACGAAGCGACAGCCAACGTCGACGCCGCGTCGGACCGCCGCATCCAAGACGCGGTGCGGTCGTGCTTTGCTGACGTGACGCTGCTTGTGATCGCGCATCGCCTCGAGACCATCTTGCACTGCGACAAGATCCTTGTGCTTCACCAAGGCCGCGTGGTAGAGTACGACACGCCGACCACCCTTCTCGCAAAAGACGGCGGCGCCTTCCAAGGCCTCATGCAGCAAGCCGGCCTAGACTAGCACTTCATCTCATACAAGGGTCATTGTCGCCTTATCGTCGTTGTCCCGCATGCATGGAAGAGATGCGGCGACACGCGTGGCGGCAGCGTAGGTCTGGCCTTCTACTGCCTCCATGCGTGTGTAGCCATGGAGAAGGCGCCAGACCTTTGATAGCGTAGGATGTGAGCCGAACGTGATGCAAGGCTGCTTGGACGGGCGTCGGCCTTTCTCGCTGCTGCAAGATCTCAACGAGATCTCTTTTTCAGTTGACTTTCGATAAAATATCTTGGGTTTTGTATGTGTCTCCTGCAACACATGGAATGAAACTCCAAAATCGAACGTTCGTCTGCGCGGTCGGGCGTCGATGGCCGAGCACCCGCGGGCCCTCTCACTGGCCCTCGCCGCAGACCGCAAGCCTCCGACGATGCGTCTGCAGAGAGAGCTACGACGGCCCGCGATGCGCCTGCCCTTTGACGACGAGCTCCTCGAGACGCGCCAGGCACGGACGCCGACCGCCGACGTTCGACCCAAGTCGCGACTGCGCGTGCCCACAAAGTACCGCGGCCGAGCACTGGAGGCAACGACGACGCACAAGCAGCCACGACCAGCTGCTTCATCCCGGGGTCTGTCCGAGGACGACGAGGAGCCATCCATATTTGGCTCGTCCCACAGCCCTGCATGGACCAAGATGCGCGCATCATCGCCGACAGCGTCGCCTTTGACGTCGACTGATCTCTCGGACGACGGCGACATGTTTTCCCCGAGTCTCCGGTCGTTGTCTTCGTTGTCACAGGCCGCGTCGGACGACCGGTTCGAGATGGCGCGCCGCCGCAAGAGCAACAACAACGACGACGATGACGACGATTGCACGCAACGTTCGGCTTCTCGTCTTCAGCAACGAGTGCTGCTCACGCCGAGACGGTCCATGGGCCGTACGACGCCCGCGACGCTGTCCCCTGCGAGCTCGCCAGAGCCATCACCGCCGCTTCGCACCTCGGTCTTTCGCCGTCCGGTCGCTCCACCATCGCCGATCTCGCGGTCAACAGAGAAGCTGCTGCTGGCGCGCGTGCACTATTTAACCGAAGCGCTTGTGAGTGCCAACCAGTACCACAAGAAGACGCAAGAGCACTTGGCATGGGCGCTGCAGTCGATGGCGCCACCCGACCCGCCGACGCATCGTCGGCATCCGCCTCAGCATGACGTAGGTCGTCTGTCGGCGCTATCAGACTGCGTCTCGGCGCTGCATGCCGACCAATGCGAGCTCAAACAGACCTTCCAAGCGCATGTCGCCGCGTTTACAAACGATTTTGATCGGCTGCGCCGACTGGTTACCCAGCAGCACGACAATGCGCTGGAGCAGAGCTCAAGCGTGCGCTCGCTGCAGTCCCAGTACGCTGCACTGCTTCACGAGCGCAAAATGCTGCACAATACCATCCAAGAGCTCCGCGGTACAGAAATCGTGTGCACAATAGTGTCTTCTCATACATGCAGGCAACATTCGCGTGTACTGCCGCATCCGCCCTGTCGCTGGCCGGCTTGGCGTGCGAGTCGATTCAACCGAAGCGCTCACCGTCAAGACCGACGACGTGGCCGAGACGACCTTTTCCGTCGACCGGATTTTTGACCAGCGCGCGTCCCAGCGTCGGTGCACCGTGCCACGTCGTCCAGCGTGGCTCATCGTTCTTCTCGTCATGTAGGAGACGTCTACTGCGAGATCGCACCGCTCGTCACGTCGGCGCTCGATGGCTACAACGTGTGCATCCTAGCCTATGGCCAAGTACGCAAATGCAGCGGTTCATGCACTCGACTGACGTGCTCGTCGGGTAGACGGGGTCGGGCAAGACGCACACGATGCTCGGCGACGTACGCAGCGCCGAGACAAGGTAGTCGTCGTCTCCATCTCGCCGATTCTTTTACTCACGAAATGGGATATATGCTAGCGGCATCTCAATCCGCGTGTTTGAGCAGCTGTTTGAGCTCAACAGCAGTGGCGCGTACGCATTTCCGTGCATACGACGCCACGTCATCGTTCAAAGTGTAGGACTCAAGTCGATCTCTCGGTCGTTGAGATTTACAACGAAAAGCTCGTCGACCTCCTCGTACCTGGACAGCCCAAGCTCGATATTCACATGGACAAGAAAGCGGGTGTCTCGGTGCCCAACCGCCGCTGGGTACGACGGAGCAACGCTGGACAAATGAAGCTCAGCGGCGCGTGTAGATTTCCATGACGTCGGTGCGTCAGTGCGTGCAAACCATGGACCGAGCGCTGCGACACCGCGCCGTGGGCGCCAACGACCTCAACGACGCAAGCAGCCGATCGCACTGGTACTCGCCCATCGTCGTTCGAGCAGTTTACGCTCAAACGAGTGTCTAGCATCACGTCGGTGCGGATACGACGGCAACATGCGTCGCAGACGACCGAGTCCAAAATGCATCTCGTCGACCTCGCGGGTTCGGAGCGCCTCGGGACGTCCAACTCGGTACCGGCCTCGATGCTTCGAGTGTTGTGTTCATGTAAAAGGTCGGCTTAGCATGGCGATCGGCGCACGGAGGCGCAGCACATCAACAAGTCGCTGAGTGCGCTTCGGCACGTGCTCTTGCAGCTCAAGAACCAAGACGCGTACGTCTCGTACCGCAACAGCAAGCTCACCATGCTGCTGCAAGACGCGATCGGTATGTACTCGGAATTGCGGCCTTTCTAAACAAGCGTAGGTGGGCACGCCAAGACGCTCCTGCTTCTCTGCGTCAACCCGCTCGCGACCAACGCGCTCGAAACGAAGTGCTCGCTCGTCTTTGGAGAGCGTGCGAACGCCGTCGAGCTTGGCAAGGCCAAGCAACACGTGACGCGCAAGCCGACTTAATCATTCTTCGTTCGCTTCGTCACTTGTCGCCTGCGTGGCGGTCACGGATATGTGGGCACTGCAGACTAGGATCAGGGTCTACGCTTCGCAGGATCAATCAATCACTGCTGGCCGTAAGGGACCGATCGTTGGGGCCAAGCACGACGCTTCTTTGCCGCCCTACTTCTGCATGGAAAGAAGCACAACAACATCCATAGAGTCGTGACGCCCTGCGCCTTCGTAAAAACGACGGGCTGCTGCCATATCGCTTGAGGATTGCAGGTGAAGACAGGCGGGGTGAACTGCTTGATGCGGTCTCTATCGTCGCGACTGTAATCCCAAACTCGACTGGCCACCCGTTTTCTCATCGCGTGCCACGTGCGCCATGAATGGTGAAGATGGAGACAGGTTGTCGCTGCCAGAACACTGTATACGAGTCTCTGCGTTGACGAGTTAGGCTGCGTCATCCTGATGGACTTGCTGAATGGTGGGCAACGCATCGCGCTCGAGCTGCTTCGTGACGGCGGAGAGGACGACGTTCGAGTTGGGCTGCCACTCGGGCTCCAACGCCGCGAGCATGTGATCAATGTCGAGCTCGTACAAGAGCGGGTCGTACTCGAGTCGGTCCGTCGACGTCGATTGAAATGTCGTTCGGATCTTGTTCAAGCGAATCACTTCGTGCTGGAGACGCTGGTTCTCACCCGCGAGCCGCGATGTCTCGAGGATGAGCTGCCGTCCTTGTGTCGCAAACGGCACTTGAGCTTCCAGCAAGGCTTGGGTTTCCACCCGGAAGCGCGAATTGAGCGCTTTGACGTCGTTAAAGTAGCGCATGTGGGCTTGGATCTCGAGCTCTTCGGCCGCCAAGAGCTCGTACGTCGAAAACTCGCGGTAGCAGTCCTCGGTAAGATTTGCCAGTGTCTCGCGCAGCAGATCGCACTGCTCTTCCAAGTCCAATTGAATCATCGCGTCTGTGCGGGCAATGATCGACGCGTACTCTTCGCCGTCTTCGTTGAGCTCGAGCGCAGGCTCGACAAACTTCACGTCGCGCTTCTTGGCCGCGAGCCAGACATCGGCCTGGAACTCGACGGCTGCCATTTGCTTGTTCAAGCTCGCTTGGATCTTGGCTGCGGCCTGCGCTCGCCAGATACCCACGCGGGCGTCCATGCGCTTCTTGTAAAAGGCGCGCTGGCGCAACGTGCGGTACGTGCGCTGCAGCAAAATCGCAGCTTTGGTATCGCGGTCGATCGTCTCGGCCGTAAACTGGTTGGTGCGCGCTTTGGCGATGCCAGCTGCACGGTCTTCCTCGTCGCGCTTGCGCTTGCGCTCGCGCGACGCTTCGGTGAGAGCCCGCCAGCGCATAAAGTGCTGCTTGCGTCGCCACGCGCGCTGCAGCGTCTGGGTCGCGATGAGAACCGACGCGGCGTAGAGACGGACGCGGGCGCGCGTGAGGTGCCCTCGGACCACCGCTTGGATACGGGACGCCTTCTGGTACCGATGTCGAAGGGCAGACGGCGAGAGCCACCCGCGTGCTAGGAGAGACGACCGATAAAAGCGCACGAGCGTTGCGACGGCCCCGCGCTGCACGAGCACGAAGCGGCTCCACGCATTGGCATGTCTATCGTTGGCGCAGAGGCCGTCCCAGTACAGCGCTCGGGTCGCATCGTGCTTGCGGCGACGCGACCGGCCAAAGAAGAAGGTCAAGAAGCGCAGTTTGCCCTTCCACATGCGCCACGTGGCTTGGATTTGAACGGCGCAGGTGGTGCGGTGCACAATCATGTCGCGCACGCGCGCCTGCTGATTCCGCCGCCTACGCCATTTGCAACTTGTCATGCCGTCTGTAGACCAGAAACAATACGTACACAATGTGGTGAAAGCACCGCTGGAGGACCCGGGCCGCCACATCTTGGCGGTACGCTCGCTCGAGCCAAGAGCTCCACACAAAGTGCGCGCGGAGACGGCCGTACCACCCGCGCAGTAGCTTTTGCAGCGCGGTGGCGACACGCAGCGCCGCCATGCGCTTGGTTTGCCAGCGCTCGCCGAGCGCGTGCTGGTAGATGCTTCGGGGCGCGAGGAGGCAGAGCACCACGGGACGGACGTAGGCGTCCCGCAGAACGCACTGCGTCGCGAGTCGGCGCCCGACGACGCCACGCCAGTGTCGCTGGATCGTTCTCGAGCTGCCGTGCAGCGTGCGGGCAAAGGCGACCCCTGCAAAGTGGGCTCGAAAGGCTTTTTGGATCGTACGCGCTGCCGCGAGCCGTCGGGCCGCGACCTCGGTGACGTGTCGGCGCCAGCGCGCGGTCCATTTTCGCCCGAGAAAGCCGCGGACGATGCGCGTCACGTGCAATGACGCGACGAGGTGACAGTGCATCCTCAGCATGTACGTGGTCATCGCGTCGGTCGTGCTCGCGCGCAAGTGTGACGCGGCGGCCCGGCCGCAGGCGCCGCGCCATACGCGCTGGACGAGACGCGCACCTGCCTCTCGTCGCCGCGCCCGCTCTGCATTGGCCGCGCGCTGTCGCGTTGCCGCCCGTCGCCCGAGATGCCCTCGGTACATGCGCTGCAGCAGCTGCGCCGCACTCTGCTCTTTGGCGACTTGGGCGATGTACCGGGCGTACGCCGCCGCTTCGCGACGCAGTCGAACGTGCCGCGAAATCGCGCAATAGAAAACATGCGACCGCAGCGCGCGCTGCAAAATGCGCGCCGAGCGCTCGCGCGTCCTTGCCAGCGCGTCGGCTTCCGCGACAAGGCGTCGGGCGGTTGCGAGTCGCGCTTGCTGCGCCCGGAACGCATGCTGGATACGCCGCGCCATGCGACTTCGGTGGCGCAAGCGAGCACGCGCCAACTGGTGGCGCAAGAGGCGCTGCCGTGCTCGCACGAGGCATGTTTGCGTCCAGCGAACAATGGCAACGGCGGCGCGCTGCACACGGCGCGCCTGCGCGAGGTACGCGCCAGTCTCGAACGGCCGCGGAACCAGCGCCAGATGGTGCGGGTCCACGCGCGTGCGCGGGTGCGTGGCGGCCACGGCTTGAAGGATCGGGAGGTGCGCGCCGCAGCCATGGACGTTCAAGCTCGTGAGGCATCTGGCGACGTCGTCCGGCTCAAAGAGCCCGACACCCGCGTCGGTCACATACGGGTTCCCAGCGATGTTGAGGACGGCGAGCTCTTTGCACGCGTCGATGAGAACGCGACAGATAGCGTTCTCGACGTGGCCGCAGTGCTGGGCGTCCAAGAACCGGAGACGCGGTGTCGTCAAGAGGAGTGCGCAGAGCGCGTTAGACGAGAGATGCCGGCTCCGCGAGACGTTGAGGTGTGTGAGCAGCGAAGCGCTCTTCAAGAGACTGCTGCAGACTTCGTCGGTCACGAGCGATCCAAGGTGCAGCTGCGTCAGGCGCGGGAACCGAATCCCGCGCAGAATGGGCGCCAAGTCGTCACTCTTGACATTCGCCTTGTTGAGGTTGATGTGCGTGAGCGTCGACTCGAGAAAAAGCGCCCGCAGCGACCGCGCGTGAAGCTGCGGTGCGCCAAAGAGCCGCTGCTCGTCCGTGGCGATGAGCATGCCGACGCCGGTGAACTCGCGCATGTGGCGGCAGTGGCGCGCGAGAGCGATCGCCGCGTCGCTGTCGATCGCGCGTGGAAGGCCCGACACCACGAGGCTCCGGAGGTCCGGGCAGTTGGCGCCAAGCACGACAAGGCCCTTCGCACTCACGTGATAACAGCCCGTGAGGTCGAGGTGGCGGAGCCGCGTGCACCGAGCGGTGCCCCGATCGCTCGTAAAGTCGGCGTCCATCTCGTGCTCGACAGGGATATACTGCACGAGGTGCATCAGGCCCATGTCTGTCAGCCGGGCGCAACCGTGAAGGATGAGCGTCTCGAGGTGATGGCACGACCGACCGAGCGCGACGAGCACGTCGTCGGTCATAGCGTCCAGCGCGGCCGTGACGTCGAGGTGGAGTAGCTTTTTCCCGCACCCTTTGGCGACGTTGAGGAGACTCGCGAAATGCAAATTTTTCACGTGCGCGAGCTCGAGACGCGCCAGACTCAATGGGACGAGACGCTGCTGCGGCAAGCAGCCGTACAGAGTGACGCCATCCATGTGCGGCAGCGCGTTCAGCTTGAGCTCTTCGAGCTTGGGCGCGTAGTTAAGGACGGCGAGGATTCCCGTGTCGGTGAGCCGGACGCAGCCCGAGAGGTCGAGGCGCGTGAGCGGCGTATGGCTGTGCGGCCGCTCGTTGAGAGCGTACATGCTTTGGTCCGTCAACGGCTTGCAGTGCGCGACGAGAAGCGACTGGAGCCGACTAAACGACTGCACGATACAACTAAAGACAACATCGACCACCCATGGGCTATGGCTCACGTCGAGCTCGACGACCGTCGCCGCGACGCTGAGAAGCGCCATACCCGAGAGCTGTGGGCAGCGGGAGAGATGGAGAACGCGAAGTGCTGGCAACTGCCCGAGCGCGCGCAGGCCGTCGTCGGTCAGGCTGCCACACTCGCTCAGGTAGAGATGCGTGAGTCGGGCATTTCGCTTCTCCGGTGGCGGGCTCGTCAGATACGCAAGGTCCGCATCGTGCGCGTCCCAGCCCGAGAGGTGCACGGTGCTCGCAAGCTCCACGAGAAACTCGGTCGTGTAAAAGAGTGCAATCGGAATTGTTAGCGCCGACGCGTCTCGAAGTCCGCGGGCAGAGGCCGGTGGCGTCGCGGGGTCGCCGCTGTGGTTGTTGATGGGCGGCGAAAGAGCGGGCAGCCGCGCCGGCTTGAGCTTCACCTTTCGGAGCTGCTTGGCTCGCGTTGGTGATGGTGCGAGCAGTGGTTGCTTGGTCGGCGACGTCTCGGGGCCTTCGACCGCCACGAGCACTGGCGTTGCCGTGTGCGCGAGAGGAATTAGGTACCCTTTCGTCGCCTGGAGCAGTGGGGCCTCTGGCAGCAGCGTCAGTCGCCGCTTGCGCCCCGTCGGACGGAGTCGCTGCGCAGCCATGTACGGTGACGGCTCGCTGTTCATCGTCCCGCCGTGCCTCCTCGCGCCGGATCGCGATCCTGTCACTATTCACGTGTCATAGTTCTCTATATAGTGTAGCCATGTAAGTAGTGTGACAATGCAAAGCACCAAAGAATACTATGGGCTGCAGCACGGCCAGATAAAATAGTGTGAGAGGGCTGTGATCGTCGACATGGTGCAGGACGTTCGGATCATCGTGCTCTTCGAGGGCCGCGAGTGCGTACCCATGGCCTCGCTACCGTGGGCTCATGACCTTATGCAGGTACTCGCTCGAGGTGGACCCGGCCGAGTCGGCCGAGACCCTGGCCTTCCAGCTCTATTCGCTGTGCGACATTGCCGACGACGACCAAGTCCTCCTGACGTACGACGGGCAGCTCGTGTCGCCCGAGGACGGCGTGGCCAAGATCATCCAGTCGATGCCACTTCTCTTCTTGTTTCGGCGCAGCGCGGCGAGCGGTAGCTTTGACCCAACGCGCGATACCGACTGGCGAGAGACGTGTTCGCGGGTCGTGGCCGCAACGACGCCGCTCGTGCAGCTAGCGTACACGCGACAGGATGGCACCGTGCTCTGCAGCGCGTGTGCAACCACGTGCTCGCCTCCCGGTACGACGAGCAAACACAGCGATATCTCCTTCCTCATTCTGTCGAGCAGACCACCTCGTGACGCCGATTCTCAATGACGTGGCAACACGAAACGTCGTTCGCGGGTCCTTTGTCACGGAGCTGGCGGTGGTCATCGGGGCCATCGATGTCTTGCCGCCGACGGGCTTTACAAAGCTGCCCATGGACCTCCACCACGGGATGCCAGGTCCTTTTGCCTTTCTCTGCGTCCGCAAAGGTGCGTGGATCGATCCTACGACACTGAGCTCACTCGCCGTTGCAGGCGGCAAGCAAGCGCCGATCGCGCACATCCAGGTCGTGCCGGGTCGTACACTGCCACCCGGGTACACATCGTTGTATGTGACGGCGACGACGTCGATCTGCTACCGCCGGGCGCCGCCATCCCTCTTCCGGTCGCTTGCCGGTTTCGGCGTCCGTGACGTTGCTATCGGCACGGACCACGCGTCGTCCATGGTCCCTTGCCGCACGGCGCTCACCTCGTCGGGCGACTGGACGCTCGCATACGATCTCGCGCCGTTCGCCGGAACGATCTGCGGGTCCGTCGTCCTCCTAACGAGTCTTGAGGATTCATGCAGCACCCTCTAGATCGCACGGTGAATGCTTGTTTCAAGAGCGTATTGTCACCGGCCCCGCAGTGTCGTTCACGACTCTCTCGGGCGCCCAAGTTGAAGCATGTGCCGCGCTGGAGGCCACGCTTCGAACCCAGTGGGCCGCCGCTCAAGCGACTTCGTTTACGGCGTCCGAGGCGTCGCTCCGCAGCACGCTCGAGCACCAGAGCCAGCGCGTGCACGTTTACGAGCGCAAGGACAAGCAGGCCCGCGCACTGGCGGTCGTTCCGGTCGCGACGCTTCAAGCCCGGGCGCGGGCCAACACCAACAGCGTGCACAAGCGTTTTGAAGACGAAGTGCTGCACCAGCTCATCCACTGGTTCAAGCACGAATTCTTTTCCTGGATGAACCAGCCGCCGTGCCAGGTGTGCGGCGAGGCGCCGACGCAGCTCGTACGCACGGACGGCCCGACGACACCGGAAGAGGTTGTACACCTTAGTATCCCAGCAGGTGTCGATGTAGCGGGGATGCGTAGATCGCGGGCGAAGCGAGTCGCGTCGAAGTGTATCAGTGCGCTAGCTGCCGCAACCTCACGCGCTTTCCGCGGTAGCTGTCGACGCGACAAGAGGGAGACATTGCCGACGTGACTAGGTACAACGACCCGGTCAAGCTTTTGGAGACACGCACGGGCCGCTGCGGCGAGTGGGCCAACTGCTTTACGCTCTGCTGCCGCGCGATGGGCTATGAAGCGCGCTACGTCCTTGACTTTACCGACCACGTGTGGACCGAAGTGTACAGCTCTGAATACGGCGTACGTCAGCCGCCTCACGCGAGTATCGATCGGATGGATGTGTAGCGCTGGCTGCACTGCGACCCGTGCGAAGACCAGCTCGACTGCCCGCTGACGTACGAAGTCGGCTGGGGCAAAGAGCTTCACTACATCTTTGCCTTCTCCGTCGACGAAGTTGTCGACGTCATCCGGTGCGATGCATCTCCAAAGTTGTTGTTGACGTCCAGAGCAGGCGGTACACGGCGACGTACGAAGGCGGCGTTTTGGACCGGCGCACGCGCGCCCGCGAAGATTGGCTTGCGGCAGCGATCGCAGCCATCAACCAGCGAGTGCAAGCGGCGCTGCCAAGTGCCCGGCGCGAGGTGCAATCTCGCAACCAATGGCTACCAGTCTATCTTGATATGGTAGACGCTGCGGCTCCGCGCGGTGCACGAAGAGGCCGAGCTTGGCGCTGCCAAGCACGCCAAGGCGAGTGAGACCGAAGGGCGTGTGTCGGGCTCGAAAGAGTGGAAAGACTCGCGCCAGGAGAGTGGTGGCAAGACCGATGATGCAGCATCGACGACGACGACGTCAATGACCGAGTTGACGCCCAACGATGTGCCACCTTCTCTGTGGCAATCGTAGGCTGCAGCGATGCGAAACAACGGCTTATGGAAACGACGTAGGCTGCTCGTGCAACTCGTGCAAGGGTGTGTCAAAGCATGTTGCACCAACCCCTTTTGTCTCCACACGGCCAAGAAGACACCAGGTATGACAACACTCTCTGTGGGATTCAACCGCGAGCAAGAGACGATTAGGCTTTGATCTGTCGAGTCATGTCGCGTCGTCGCTCCAGCGCATTCCATCGCTGCAAGCTACCGTCACGTCGCGTCGCGCGTTCGACCAGCTCGTTTGCCCGTCCACTGGTCTGCCGATTGTCACTGGTTGTCGACCCTAACCGCAGCGGTAGACGCGAATATTCGGAGCCAGCTCTGGGCGGCGTCGCCCATCGGGTACTGGCCGCTGCAAGACGACGACACGCACGTAGCGGTCGATGTTTCGGGCCACGATGCGCATCTCACGCATACCTGCCGTGCGGTGAGCAAGCCGATGGCAACCAAAGTTGACAAGACGACCACCGGCTACCAATTGCTGCCGCACGATATGTTGCGACTGACGGCAGACGTCTCGGCTCAGCCCTGGAGCGTCGTCTTCCTCGTTCAGTGGCACGCGTACGCCAACACGCCGACCGAGTTTGTGCATCTTCCAGAGCTCGAGTTGCGCCTTGGCCTCACGGGTGACCACCGGTAGATATGACATTTCGCGTTCGCTCCATGGCTAATGCACGGTGCGCAGGCTTGCGCTCACCACGGGATCGCAGACGACGTCGAGCGCGTTGCCGTTGTCCATGGACACGACGTACCATGTGGCACTCGTCCACGACTCTGCGCGCGTCATCCGTGTCTTTTTGAATGCGACCGAAATCGTCTCGCAGGCCGCGACGCCCAGCCCGAGGTCGATCTCGCTCCTCTTTGGGACGCAGGCGCTGGCGCTGGTGCCGATTCTGAGCCATCTCGCGCTGCTCTCGACCGCGCTGGACCCGTCCACGCTCGAGGGCTTGGCGCGGCTATCGCTGCCCGGCGCCAAGCTGACCGTGGCGGGTGTCAAAGGTGATACCACCGACATCCAACACCACGTGTGCACGCTCGATGCGGCGCAGATGGACTCGGACTTCGCGCTCTCGTCACTGCACCGTACGACGTTGGCTTTGGATCGTTGGCGTGCTTACGGATGCGAGTGTAGTGTGGTCGGGTACTTTTTTTGATGGCCTCCAGTGCGCGTACACGTCAACGAGCGAGACGGTCGATGGGCCCCAACACGTTGTTGCTGCAGTCAAGGACAAGACGCCATCCCATTCGCTGGCGCTTCTCCCCGGCGAAGTCATCGTGCACGTCTCGGGGCGCCGCGGCGCGTGGACGGACGCGCTGAGCGTCACCACCAACTTTGGTCGCTCGCTCACTGGCGGCGGCAGCGGCGGCAATCCATTCGAGATGGACATTGCCCCGGGGCACGCCGTCCGCGCGTTTTGCTTTCATCTCGACGACCATGTGTATGGTCCCGTGGTCTTTACAGCGCCGGCGCCCCGCGGTGCGCCGCACCATCCTCGTCCTGTTGCGACCGTCTAAGAATCTGCGTAGGTCCAGCGTTTCAAGCGCTCGCGGCGATCCGGGCCACCGTGAAGGCGGGAACGCTGCTTACGGTGATCGCGGCAGGTATGTACTCTATCGTGCAGTTCCGAGTCGATGGCTCAGACAGCATCGGGTCTAGTGCGCCTGTACCTCGGCAACCTCGTCGCGACGCCCAACGAGCCGAAAGTCCGCAAAATCAAGAGCTCGAACGCGTATTTTGCCAAGAATGTGGCGCTCCTCGACGACGCGACGGTGCATACCATCTTCACGGGCGCCAGTTTCGAGGCCGTGACCGAGGGTGGCGACGTGTTCTGGGTCTTCCAAGGCAACCTCCACGCTGCCCACGCCGCCTTGTACGACCTGACGACGTTTGCAGCACTGGTCACCGACGACTAATGGCTCGTTACTGGCATTCTGCTATTCGTTGGAATACAAACAACATCCACTGTCCTTGAACGTAGTAGTTGGTCGTACATGCGTGTAGTATTTTAGTGATTACATGTCTTGCTGGGCCTTGGCCTGGGCAAAGAGCGCGTTTTGGGCCGCGAGAAGCTCGTCGTGGGACTGGCCCTTGAAGAGATCCTTCCCGCGCTTCTCCATCTTCTTTTTCTTCTTCAGCTCGGGCTTCGGCTACACAGTCGCATCAGCGTGTAGTCACGAGATGTGGCGCTAATATGGCGTACGAGTGCGAGGGCCTTGGCCTTGAGGTCGGGGTATGCGTCCATCGCTGCGAGCACGTGGTTGGGCTGGATATAGTACGCTTCTTTGGTCGCTTCTTTCTGCGCGAGCGCATTGGACGCCACGAGCAACGACCGCATGAGTTCTACGAGGTTGCATGCGAAATCGCGCCGATGCGTGTGGCGTGGTACCGGACGCCAACTGGGCCGTCATGTCGACGATGGCGGTCGGAAGTGGCTCGTCGTCGCCAACCCGCGTGCGCAGGAGCGCTTCGGTCACAGCTAGTGCAGCATGAGCACCATCGCAAGCCCTTAGCGCCTACTCATTGGCACCCTGGACATCGCGGCCAAGCTGGTGGTGTGGAATTCCGAGGCAGCAATGCCATTGGTTTATTTTAAGCCAATGGCATCGCGCGACGCCGATCTTTGCCCAGTGCTTTGGATGCATCGACATACCAGGACCACATACTACCGGCTTGACGATGACAAGAGTGTTGTGACCTATGTCTTGTTGGCTTGCTCGGATGTGCTCTGGAAGAAGACTACTCGTATGGTGGAGATTAGCTCTCAGCATTTGATGAACGTCCATCGACAGTAAAAGGACGCGGCCCGTGGTGTGCTTGTCGATCGAACGACGAGCGTACTGCCACGAATCCCGTTGCTGGCGTCTCCAAGCTCGTACGCGATGCGGATCCTCGCAGCTACTACGCCTACTCCAGCTAAAGCTGGGACGCAAGTGGTCGCCTTCTCTCTCAACACGGTAGCACGGTCAGTAGCAGGTTCTTCACGCTTGATCCATCTACCGCTGCCGCAAACAAGCTCATGCGAAGGTGCATTAACGTCCACAACAATCATGCATGCTACATCATGCGCAGCTGCCGTGCGACGTGTTGTCAATGACCTTTCCCATCATGTGGTCCGGCGCGAGGTCACGGCCGCGGTCGCGCTTCTTGGCAGAGCCACTTGTATTGTGCGCACTCGCAGCGGCTAGGTATGACATGTTATAACAGTCAACGATTCGTAGGTTGTCTACGCAACGCTAGACAACTTGTGGTCCTCGGCGCCTGGAAAGGCAGATCTCGCGCCGATTTGAAAATTTAAATTGCTCCGATTGGCCCGCGCGTGTTCCATACATTCTCTTCAATAATAAAATAAATGGCACCATGGGGCGGCATTATAATGGTGGTCACGGCCAATAAAATACATGGCTCGCAGCGTTCAATACAAGCCATGTCCTTGTACACAGGGAATATTAAGATAATAATCACGTTATGCAATTTTGATGTCGTTCAACCCAGGCAGTATTAAAGAACCGCACCGGGTGTAAATACAAGCGCTGGGAATAAAACGCAAATCGAAACAGCACGCGAGAAGCGATTGCCGCGGACGCGCTCGGACCTCTTCCTCGGACCTCCCATCCTCCGCGTCCGCTTCCTCGACGACCATGAGCCAGCCATGCCTACGGAACATGAGCTGCAAATGCCCCCTCTGCGCAGGTGAAGACCTTACAGAGCTCCTCGCGCTGACCAAGACCATCTCGAGCAACATCCAGTACGGCGACGGCGACGAGGGCGACGAGCCACCGCCAGCCCGAGGTGGCTTCATGGCCAACTCGCCTCCGCCAGCGCCCCGAAAGACCTTTGTCGCCAACTCTCCGCCTGTCCAGGCCGCCAAGCGCCCGGCCGCTGCGCCGAAAGTTCCGCCACTCGAGTTGAAGGCTGCCGAGACAGCACCGCCGCCACGAGCATCACCCACACCGAGCGACGAGCCGAGCCCGAGCCAGGCGCCGCGACAGACGAGCGACGAGCCTCCGTTGGCGTTCGAAGCGCTTGAAGCCAAGGTGGCCGACAAGAATTGGAAAGTCCGAAAAGAAGCCTATGACGATCTGAAGCTCGCGTTCGAGACAGGGCGAGGCGTCGACGGCGGCAACCCGATCGAGTTCTTTGGCAAGATGGTCGACGACTCGAACGCTGCCGCGATGGAAGCCGGCCTTGCTGCCGTGCTCGCGTACACAAAAGAGGCGACGCCGCAGCAGTGGAGCAACAGTGTCATTGCGCGGACCATGACCAAGGTCATTGACAAGTGCTTTACGGGCCGACCTGGCACGGTCAAGCTCGCCGAGGAGCTCGTGCTCGAGTACATCCACCAAGGCGGCGCCGAAGATACGATCGCGGCGCTCATCGAAGGCACGAAGAACAAGAAGCCCAAGGCGCCACCGCTCTGCGTGAGCTTGATGCTCGAGGCGCTCAAGACGTTTGGACCGCGCGTCGTTCCGATCCCGCCCCTCAAGGCGGCCCTTCCCGCGCTCTGCGAGTCGACGGTCAACAACGTGCGTCCGACGGCGCTCAAGGTCATTTGCGAACTGTACCGCTGGACGGGCGCGCCGCTGATCCAGGACATTGTCAACGGTCTCCGTCCCGCGCAGAAAACAGAGTACGAAGAGCTCATCAAGGACATCACACCCGGCCAGGCCACGGTCACGCGGTACGTCAAGGGCAAGGAGCCCCGCGCGGCCCCCGCACCGCGTGGTGCGCCTGGCCGTGCTGCGGCTGCCGCAGCCCCCGTGGCCGCGACCATGGACCCGCGCGATTTTGCCGAGACGATCGATCTGCTCGCGAAGTTGCCCAAAACCGAGTTCAAGGCCAAGCTCGCGTTGCCCAAGTGGAGCGAGAAGGTTGCGGCGCTGCAGATCATTCTCGACACGGTCGGGTCGGTGCCCAAGCTCGCGAACGGCGATTATGGGGACCTCGTGCACACCCTTAAGCTCTGCATGCAAGACGCCAACGTCAACATCACGGCCAAGTCGATCGAGGTCCTCGGCGTGCTCGCCGACGGTGTCCGCAAGCCGTTCTCGCAGTACGCACGTCTCATGCTGCCGCTGCTCCTCAAGAAGCTCTCGGACAAGAAGTCACTGATTCTCAACGCGACTCACCAAACGCTCGATATGTTTCTGCAGCACGCACTGCCGCTCGACGCGATGATGGACGAGATCAAGCTCTCGGTCGACGGCGCGACCAACAAGATTCCCGCGGCGCGCGGCCAAACCATCTCTTTTTGCAGCGCGCGATCGCAAAGAAGTGGATCAACGTAATGGATGCAGCGCTCATGAAGACGCTCGGCGAGCTCTTTGCGAGTGGCATTGACGACTCGGACCCAGGCCTCCGCAAGGCCGGCGTCGAGGCCATGGTGACGCTCGTCGAGTCCTCGGACAGTGCTGGTCGCATGGTCAAGGCGACGCTGGACGGTCTGGAGAAGCGCCAGCCGCGCAGCTACAAGACGATCGAGGCTGCCATGGGTAGCGCGGGCAGCAGTGCGTCGTCCGGTATCGATTGTGTTTCTTGCCATGTGGCTGAATGGTGTGTTTAGATACCTCGTCGTCGGCGCCCACGATGCCCGCGTCGGTGCCCAAGACGGCCGTGCCCAAGCCTTTGGAAGCCAAGAGCACGCCCAAGCCGGCCGGTCCTCCAAGTCGGCTGGCGGCAGGCAAGAAGCCGGCACCGTCGGCCAAGGGTCCCAAAGCCCCCATCGCGGTCGCGTCGACGTCGGAGACCATGACCCTTTCGAGCGCCGACGCGGAGCAGATGCTGGCGGAGCTCGACCTCGAGCAGTGGTCGTCGATTGTGTCGGGCTTTGGCAGCGCCAAGTGGTCGGAGCGCAAGGCGTCGTTCGAGCTGCTCGAAGAGGTCGTGAAAGGCAACCCGGACTTGGCGAGTACGCACACGGAGGCGCTCGTCATGTACGCGTACGGCCAAACCAAAGAGTTTAAAGAGTCGAACGTGCAAGTGCTCAAGAGCGCGTTCCAAGCGCTCGCGACGATCTCGGACGCGTGCGCCGACCCGCTGCCGAAGAGCGTCGTCTCGTTCTTGGTGCCGTGCTCGATCGAAAAGATTGGCGACCGTAAGATTAGCGACGCGATCAAGCTCTTGCTCGGGTACTTTTGCGAGCACGTCGGTCCCGCGTACGTCCTTGGATGCGTCTACGCCCACATGCCCAACGTCAAGGCCGTGCTCGCGCTCATCGACTGCCTTACGTTCTTCAGCGAGTGCATTGCCGACTTTGGCGCGGCGCTCTGCGACCCCCGTGCACTCATCGACTTTGTCAAAGGCGCGCAGGGCCTCGAGAGCTCGAATCCCAAGTGCCGCATTGCGGCCATGAGCGTCTTTGGCACCATGTACTCGCAGCTTGGCCCGGCGCTGCGGCCGCTTTTGGGCATTGACAGCTGGAAGCCGGCGCTCGCGTCGTCGGCCGAGGCCGAGTTCAAGAAGGTCGGGTACAACCCCGCGACGGCGACCGCAAGTATTTCGCGCAAGCTGCGCCACGTCGAAGACAACGGCGGGTCCGTCTCGCTCGCGGCTGCGCTCGGTCGTGTCGACATTAGCGCCAAGATCTCCAAGGAAATGCTGGCCGAGATGCAGAGCGAGGAAGACAAGGCGGCGTGGAAGAAGCGGCTCGCGGCCATGGAGGCTGCCCAGCGCCTCTGCGAAGAGGCGGGCATGATGATCGAGCTCACGAAGCCCGTGATCGAGGTCATGAAGGCGCTGAAAGGTCGTCTCGCCGACTCGAACGCGAACCTGAAAGTCAAGGCCGTCCAAGTCATTGGTGTCTACGCCGAGAGCATTGGGCCCAACGTTGTCAAATTGAGTAAGGGCATGGGTGCCAACATTGTCTCGGGCGTCTCGGACAACAAGAAGAACATGCAAACCGCGTGCGTCGAGACGCTCAACAAGTGGGTGCTGCACGAAGGCGCAACGTCGGCGCCGTGCCTCGAGTCGCTCCTCCCGTTCGTCGCCGAAGGGCTCAAGAACACGGTCGGCCGCGCCGAGCTCCTCGGGTGGGCCGTGCCCCACACGGAGAGCGTTGGCAAGATGGACTTGCGCTGCCTTATCGAACCGACGATCGACTGTCTCCAAGACAAGGCGTCGGACGCGCGCGAGAAGGCCCAGCTGCTCCTCATCCAAGTGTTCCGGTCCGTCGGCAAGGACGCCGTGTACGCGGGCTGCCGTGACGTGCTGCCGGCCAAGATGCGCACGCTCAAGCCCATCATTGACAAGGCGTGCCAAGCCGCGACGGTCGACACGTCTCCGATTGCGGAGGTCGAATCCAAGCCGCCACCGCTACCCAAGGCTGCCGCCCCCGCTCCGCCTGCAGCGCCTACCCGGCAAAACTCACTGACGGCGCCGGTGCCGGCTACGCCAAAGAAGGAAGAGACCGCCATGCTCCTGAGCAGCGACAAGATGACGCGCCTCGATCGCAACCGCAAGAACAAGTGGATTTTGATGCGTCCGACGCGGCCGATGTGAACGCACGCAAGGCGCAGGTCGAGGCCGAGTGGGGTCCGTACGTCTCGGCCGACTTGCGCGCCAAGCTCTTCTCGACGTCTCCCGACAAGGTAGTACAGCTTGAAGCTCTCTCTGTATCTCGGTCGACTCAAGATTTGGAAATGCGTAGATTATGGAGGCGATTGACGATCTCTCCAACTGTGTGACGCACCAGCCACGGGACGTGCACACGTCGCTTGATTTTATCTTGAAGTGGTCGACGCTGCGCATTGTCGACAACAACGTCCAAGTCCTCGGTACGTCGTCGTGGTAGCTGCGCGTTTTGCTCATCTCGACGCGTAGCCAAAATGCTCGACTTTCTCGTCAAGCTCTTGTCGGTCGTGGCCGAGAACAAGTGGGAGCTCGACGATGTTGAAGCCGGTATTTTCCTCCCGTACCTCTGTCAAGAGTCGGGGCAGCAAAAGCCGCGCTTCCGCCTGCGCTTCCGCGACTCGTTGTATCTGGTCGTGGAGGTGTATCCATCGGTAAAGTACGTTCCGTTCCTCCTCGACTGCGTCGCGACCTCGAAGAACACCAAGAGCCGCACCGGGTGCCTCGAGACGCTCGAGTACATTGTGAAAGAGCACGGGTACGCGGCCGTGGGCAAAAAGTGCCTCCGCGAGATGGGCAAGTGCGTCGACTGCAACGAAAAGGACGTGCGCGATGCCGCGATCCAAGCGCTCGTCCTCGTCTACACGCAAGTGGCCGACCCGAACGTCGACCGCTTCTTTGTGCTCTGCAACGTGACGAGCCAAAAGGCCATGGACCTTATCAACCTCAAGATCAAGTACTACCTCCCGACCGACCGGCCGACAGCCAAGACTGCGGCGGCGCCCGTCGTCGTCGTCGAAGACGAGCCTGCCGAGGAGCCCACAGCGTCGTTGGAAGCAGTCAAGACGCCGCTGCCGTCGCCAAAGCGCCCGGCCATGGTTCGGACGCCGTCCAAGTTGGCGCCTCCGACGTCGATTGCGACGCCAACAACGACGGCGACGACGATTGCATTGCCGTCGCCGGCGCGGAAGTTGCCGACGCCGACCAAGCGCAAGGAGCCGTCGCCGATCGATGTGCGCGTGATGCTGTTTCCGTCGTTGCAAAAGCTTGTCGCGAGCGCGAAGGAGCTCACAACAGACCCGGTGCACTTCGAGCAGGGCAAAGACGCGCTCAAGACGCTGTACGTGATGGCGTCCAAGAGCACATCGGCCGAACAAAACTTTCTTCAAGACAACATCAACGACGTCCTCGTGCAGGTCTGCGCCATCATGCACGCAAGCTTTGGGAAGCTCCAGAGCTCCCAGATTGAGCTTTACGTGCTCTCGCTGTGCCTCTCGACGATCGCCAACTTGCTCAAACACGACAACTTTGCGGCGCGCGTCCAGCGGTTTGCGATCGAGCGGCTCGTGCTCGAGTCGTGCTTTGGCTTGCTGGACCCGCGCATCGAGGACACGGAGGCGTCGTTTGCGAAGCGCGTCATGACGGCCCTCAACAAGCTCGCCATGACGGTCGCGTACCAGCTGCGCGTCAGCGAAGTCCTACCAGCGATGCTCAACCTCCTCGAGCGCATCGTGCACGACCACGCACCCGAGTACACGCTCCGCGACGCGGTCAACCGTGGGCTCAAAAAGCCGACGCTGGAGCGGCTTGTGAGCAAGCTGCTCATCAAGACGGCGCGGCGAGAGCTCGGCATGCCCGAGCCCTTCCTCAACGTCGATGTCTCGGGGCTGCTGCACTCGATGCACGGCTTCTTTGCGACCTTTCCGGAAGACAAGGCGTACATTCACGACTCGGCCCGCAACGCGATCAAGGCCAACCTCAAGTTTCTCGCCGACCACTGCGCAACGAGCGGTCGCCGCGCCGTCTTTGAAGCCGCGCTGCGCGACGTGCCGCTCTCGTCGCCCATCCACGTGATGCTGACCGACATGCAGTACGACTTTGGCCAGCCCGGTGCCCGGAATGTGTCCGAGTCGGTCGAGACGCTAGGCGACGCCACGGCGGATGCCCACGCCAAGAAGCAAGCGCTTCTCGGTCTTGTGGACGCCAAGCAAGCGCACGCCGGTGGCAATTTGGCGTCGGCGCTCGCGGAGAAGGGCCTTGTCGCCAACGAAGAGGCGCGACGCCTCGCCGAGGAGCTCGAGCCGTCCGAGTACGCGCCCAAAGTGCCCGCGATTCTCTCGACGCCGTCGCGGCTCACGGCGTTCTCGGCGCAGAACTTGACGCGGTCGGCGTTCAAAGCTCCGGAAGCACCTGTTCACACGACTGATGCGCCGGTGGCCAACCCCGCGCCGCCCAAGTCGCTCGCGCTGCTGGACCTCAAGCAGCGCCTCGCGCGTATCCAAATGCAATAGTACGTTTCTATATACACACGACGATCGATTGTGGTGCGTTAAAGACTCGTGAGCTGGTCGAGAAAGGCGTCGGGCGAGAGGAGCTCGGTGCAGCCGTAAACGATCTGCCGGCCGCTCGCCGCCGCATACGCCTGCGTGTTGTGGAACTCGTTGTAGTTGCCGCCGCCAATGACAAAGACGATCGCGTCCTTGAAGGGCGTGCGCTGGCGCGGGATGTTGGCGGTGGCCTTGATCTTCGGGTCCAGATACACGTACGCGTCGTCTTCGGTGCCCTGGCGCAGCTCGCAGATCGCATCGACCACGCGCGTCACCTGCAGCTTTTTGTTTTCCGGCAAAAAGTTCTTGAAGCTCTCGGCCGCCTGCGACAAAAACCCTGCGTGAAGCTGCCCGCCCAGTTCGAGTTGAGGTAGCCCTTGAGCTTTGTCGAAGCTCCACCGTTGGCGTCGCTGTTGCCGATGGCGCCGCCGACGCTCGCGTGCTTTTGAAACGACGTGTGCTGCTTGATGTGCGTCCACGCACTCTCAAACGAACTTGCGTCGGGCTGCGCGCGGAACGCGGCTTCGAGGTCGGCGATCTCGGCTGTCGATGCGCCGCTCGTCAAGTAGTAGATCATGAGCAGCCGCAGCTTGTCTTTCGTGTTGCCCTAGTATCGTGTCAAGAAACCATGCCAATCTTGACTGGATCGCACCTTCTCGGCGCTCGCAACGAGGTCGAGGACGTCTTGCTTGGGCACGTGCGAGCCGTCAATGAGCTTTTGCTCGAGCATCGAGAACTCGTGCACGTGGCGGGCCGAGACGCTCTCAAACGTCGCGTGAAAGATGTTGGTGTGGACTTCGAGCGACTTTTTCTTCTCGAGGAGCGCGGGGAGCGTGTCGACAGCCGCGACGAGGTCCTTGGTGCCGCCCACCGCGTGCCCGCTCGCCTAGAGGCCAGCACTTACGCGTCTTCTCGATGCTGCCTTGTACCTTGGCGCTAATCTCCTTTTCCTTCTTCGTGACAATCTTGAGCTCTTCTTCGTTGGCAGCGATTGCGTCCGGGAAGAGCACGCCCGCGTACTGCTCGAAAAATTTGTCGGTTTTGACGTCGAGGTCGTACGACTTGTCGGTCGGCGCGCCTTGGTCACTCGCGACCCGCACGTTGACGCGGTTGAGTTTGATCTTGAGCATGTCGTCGACGAGCGCCTGGAAGGCGCGTTGGGTCCAGTCATTTCTAGTCGTTTTACCTGGTACGTCGACGGATGGTGCAGGCCCGAGGCGAGGTCTTCGTTGCGGTCTACGATGATGAGCACGGGGCGCTAAGCAGCACCCGGATCAGCTCCATGCGTTCTTGGCATGCCGCACCTGGAAGTTGGCACTCGTGTCCTGAAAGACGCCCGACCGCGCCGCCTGCCAAATAAAATCAGTACTGGAATCTGCCAAGTATCAATGTACCAAGTGGTCGCGGAGCGTTTGGTTGAGCTGCTCGGCCACCATGCGCGAGGGGCCGTCGGTCGCCGGTGCGCGGATCACAGGGACAACGCCAAGCGTCGCGAGGACGCTAAAGAGGCCTTGCGTGATGTCGTGCATCGTCTGCTCAATGTGGCTGTCGGTGATCGCGGTCGAGTTGTACGCGCGGTAGCTCGACGCGTGGTTGAGCGAGAAGAGCGTCGGCTCCAAGCACACAAAGTTGGCGTGCTGGTCAAACACCTTGGCGACCATCGACGTGCACCCGGCGTCAACGCAGCCCTTTGCAAACGTCTCGAGCCGAGCGCGCGGAATTGGCTCGGCAAAGTTGAGATGGATCGTCGCGTATAGCTCGCGAGCGCAGTCGGCCACGATGCGCTGGAGGTTCGCGTGCGTCGGCTGCACAAAGTAGATGGCCGGCACGTCCGGAATGTCTTCACGATCGTTCTCGAGGAGCATATGCAACGTGACGCCTACGAGCCAATGCGCATGAGGCCAATACATGTTGCCTCGTCGTCGTCGTACCCTTCTTGCGCAGCTCATGGAGCTTTAAGATGGGCGAGATAATGTCGCGGCAAAACGGATCGTACACCAGCACCTTCCATTGCTCGCCCCACCTAGAGCGATGCATGCATCAGCGCCTGCGGCGAGCGCATGGACATACGTGCTCGTGACGTCGGTCGTCCCCGCGGACTCGACGTTGAAGTCGAGCATGCGAAGCAAGTTCTCTAGCATCATCGCCGTCGCATGAGCTTGGTAGCATGCCATACCATACCGACCTTTCTGCTTGTCTTGGAGGTTGAGCACCATGCTGAGGCCGGTCCCGTTGCCGCGTGTGCAGTCGCCTTGGTGAAATGAGGTGGCGTCCTCATGATCCGGATACCGTCCGGTTGTCCTGGTCGGACGTTTAAACGCGTTTAATTCCCCGCTGTCATGCAAATCCATCCCACAGCACTGCTGTGGGATGGATTTGCATGACAGCGGGGAATTACATGGTTACAGCCCCATGGTGCGGGATACCTCTCTTTTTGTAGCTGTGCATGCGAGGCGCTTGTCATCCAACATCAGCGACTTTTGGTTTAACGTCGGACCGTTGGCACCAATGAGGGTAAACTTGGGTTTAACCACTACCGCCATATCCAACCCGCACGATGACGTGGTGGGTCGTGGCAGGCGCTGGCCTCGTCGCACTCGTGCTTGCGGCAGGTCTCTATTTCAAGCGCGGGTCTGCCACGCCCGCCTATATGAGCGCTTCCTACTGGTACCAATCTAACGCAGCCGTGTGTCCTACTCCTGCATGTAGGGACGCGCGCTACCGGCGCCATCCCGACGCCTTCGAGGTACGATTTGGCGCAACACATTGACCCGCTAACGACGTGCAGTGGTATCTCTCGTTCCAAGACCTTGTCGACCATGGTCTCTTGACGCTGACATCGTCGCAGCTGTTGTTGCTCGCCCAGCCGCCGCTCGAGATGCGCCATCTGCGAGTGCTGGACTTGGGCGGCGGCAACTCGACGCTGGCGCACCGCCTGTGCGAGGCGCTCAATGGCAACGGCCGTGTCGTGAGCATCGACATTAGCGACACGTGCATTCACTTGATGCAGACCGCGTACCCGTCCAAAGTGCAATGTGAGAACACGTGCCTCATCCTCCATGCTCGATACCAGCGTTGTAGACCTCTGCATGGACGCACGGGACATGGAATTTCAGGACAGCTCGTTTGAGATCGTGCTCGACAAGAGCACGATGGACGCGATCGTGTCGCCCGGCAACGCAGCGGCAGCGCATGCGGCGAAGCGCATTCTGCGCCAAGTCGCTCGGGTGCGCGATCGATCGGAGTGGTGCCTCGCCACTCATATCGCGTAGGTCTTGTGGCCCAACGGCTTGTTTCTTATGATCTCGGTGCATCCGTGGAGCTACTGGCGCCCGCTCGTGGCCAGCGCCGCGCCATCTCTCGAGCATGCCGAAGGTAGTCTGTCTACGAACCCTTCGAATCGGCGCGACGCTTGGTGTAGAGCGAACGCAGAGCGTCGTGCTGTCCTCAAACCGCCACCCGATCCTCGTCTTTGTCAACGCTCTTCGGAAAACGTCAGCTTAGCGCTTTCTTATTTCGATTCCTTGGTATCAAACGAGCTCCACGCGACGGCCTTGCCGTCCTTGATGCGCAGCGGCTCGAGCGTATCGAGGTAGTGCGACCCGTACGCGAAGAAGACGCAGAGACCGAGCGCGGCCACACTACACGCACCAAGTTCTGAGCGCAGGACGACGAGCCATGGTACCTCTGCTTGGTCGAGATGTTGCGGAAGGGAAGGAACATGCCAAATGCAGTTGTTCGGATACGCTGCCACGAACATCCGGATCACCAAACGATGGCGTCAACATATCGCATCCCAAGCGATAGATTAGGTCGCAGACTGGCCTTAGATCTTAGTCGGCGCGATGGCTGAATTGCGCGAGCACGCCGCGGTGGTCGGACGCGTAGATCGGACTATTGGACTCGAGCATGCCGACTGTCTTGGGATTGGACGCCGTGTCGGGCGTCGGCGCCTGGCCGATGACGTCGCACGCGTCGACCTCGCCTTTGCCGCGGAAGAGCACGAAATCGATGCGCTTGATGGGCGCGTCACATGGAAAGGTCATGTCGTGAGGCTGCGATGGCTCGGCGCCGTGGACCTCCAGCCACGCGTCGCGGAGGTCGGTCGTCTGCCCCTTGAGCGGCGCCTTGCCTTGAAGGAACTGGATGCCGCGTGACGACGGCTCTGCGTTGAGGTCGCCGAGGAGCACTTGGGTGACGCCTTGGCCCGCTTGCATGTAATCCCAGATCTCGAGCATCGTTTGCTCTCTCGACCGCTCGCTGAGCGAGAGGTGCGTGACGTAGACATCGACGAGCCCCCAGGATGGCATGTCCACCACAGCGTGAAGACATAGACGCTGATGGACGTCGTTCGGGTCGTTGACCTGGCGCGAGAGGAGCTTGTAGTCCGTGGACACAATCGGGTACTTGGACACGATCGCGGGGCCTTCTTCAATGTGCTCAAGCGGATCCTGGTCGTTCAAGTAGCTCATGGCCGCGCGGTAGACGTACTGCGGGTACGTGGTATGGTCGAGGCGCGCCATGAGATGCTAGACATTACGTAGTATGACATCATTATTGTGGTGGCGAGGAGGAAGGGGTTTGTGTACCTGGATCTGGGCGTGCTGCCCAGGTGGGCCGAATGTAGCGTCGACGCGCACTTCCTGAAAGCCAATGATATCGGCGTCAGCGTCGGCGAGAAATGTCCCGAGGTGGTCGAGGCGCTTGTTGTACATGCCCCAGCGACGGTGGACGCCGTAGATCTGCGCCGGAGGGTTGACGTTCCAGACGTTGTACGAGAGAATGCGCGGGCCTCGTTTGGTGGCTTTTGTCCCTGGATCTGGAGCCACCGAGCTCGTGTGCTGGAGCAGCGTAAACGAGTGCTCGCGCGTGTTGAGGTGGACGACCACTTGGTGCAAAGAGCGATCGCGGGTGTCTTGAAACTCAATGTAAAAGTTGACGCCGAGGTTGACTTGGTGCCGAAAGTACACGCTGGTGGTCTGCGGCGTCACGTAGCTCACGACCTCATGGTGGTTGATCCCGTCGCGCGTCGCGTCCAGTTGCAAGGCCGAGGCAGAGACCAAGCGGAGGTCGTCGAGAGGCAGTGCGAGCGCCAGTGCCGCTTCAGCGAGCGCGTTCGTCGCTGCGTCCGTCGAACACTCTTCTAAATGCATGAGAATGCTGCCATACGCGATCGAGCTCGGAATAGCGCATGTATCTCGACCGTCGGTGCAGCTTGGCGCGATGCGGAAGAGATCGATCGGGTCCGAGGCCGGCACGACCTTGGACGACCGGTGCTCCGAGAGCGTTCGCCCCGTAAAGGTGGGCGCCGACAGAAGCGGTGACATGTGCGTCCATTGCGGCAGCGTATTGAGGTCAATGCCGCCCACGAGCGAGAGAAGACTGGCCACCGCCGGCCACACGGCGATCCTGCGCATCAGTTTGCTTTTTGGACCTCACTTCGGTCGAAGCCCACAAATCGAAGTTCGAAGTTGCCGTGTCGAGCTCACAACCCGCCCGCCAAAAAGCTCACAGCTCAAGAAAAGCAGATTTCGAGCACCAGCTCCATAGCATGGCTCCATAGGCATGATTGCCGTTGGGATCAAGCGAAGCAATCATTTACCAGTTGATTTATCACGTGCTCGGCAGAATCCTACCGGTAGTCGGTGCTACTGCCCGACTGTGCAACTCGGCGCACCGACGACGACGTCGGTGGTGCTTTCCAGGGCACCAACACCAGCCGAGCCCCGACGTCTTGCACTGAAGTTGACGACGAAGTCACCATTTTGAAGTGCAAGCCAACAGAAGTCTATCATGCCAGGTGTGTGGCAAAAGCATGACACTACGAGCTGTCGTCTCTGCCCGTGCTAGACGAGCTGCGCGCCGTGCAGCGCCATCAAGTACGAGTATATATGTCGCTTGGATTTGCACGACAGAGCCTCTCTGGCTGCGCGCTCGACGGCGGTAAAGGCCATTGAGGGTAGAGACATCCCTTCAAGATCGAACGCGACAGGTTTTAAACGCTTTTTGATGTGGGTGTTTTAAACACCGGTCGTGCTGCTGACCAATGAAAAAGGCGAGGGAAAAATGGTTGGAAGTTGGGTCATTTCACAAGATGATCTCGGCGCTTGGATGGATCCCGCGTGGCGCGGCGAAGCGCACGCCGGACAAGTTCGTGCTCTCGAAGGAAGAGATCAACATGATGACGCAGCTGGCGGCCGAGCAGGACGAAGAGGACGCGGCTGAGCTCGAGGGCGACGATGACGAGGACGACGAGGACATGGAGGGCGGCGACGCCGACATGGGCGCCGATGACGACGACGACACGGAGCTGCCGGAAGGCTTCAAGATGGACGAGTACGACGAAGAAGACAACGAAGTGGCTGTCAAGGAATACCTTGGCGGCGAAGGCGCGGGCGGCGCCGGCGACGACGACGAGATTGAAGACGAACTTGAAGACGAAGAAGATGCGTTCGACGACGACGACGAAGACAAGGAAGACATGGAGATCCGGTCGACGGACGCAGTGCTCATGGTTGCGACGACCGAAGAGGACTTTAGCAACCTCGAAGTGCAGGTCTACGAAGAAGAGACGGGCAACTTGTACGTGCACCACGAAATCAACCTGCCTGCGTTCCCGCTCTCGCTCGCGTGGATGGACATGGCGCCGATGCTTCCGGAGAACGGCGCGCCCGTCAACGGCAGCTTTGTCGCCGTCGGTACGTTCAAGCCCGGTATCGAGATCTGGAACTTGGACGTGCTCGATGTGCTGGAGCCGACCGCGACGCTCGGTGGCGAAGAGAACGCGTCGCTTCGCGATGTGGCCGTGCCCAAGGCCATGCGCAAGAAGCACAAGAAGGCGCAGCTCAAGCCTGGCAGCCACGAAGACGCAGTCCTCGGCCTCGACTGGAACGCAAGCCACCGCAACATGCTTGCGAGTGCTTCCGCCGACGCGACGGTCAAGATCTGGGACATTACGACGCAGCAGTGCATGCACACCATGTCGCACCACACGGACAAGGTGCAGTCGGTGCGCTGGAACCCGGTCGAGGCGACCGTGCTCGCCTCCGCGTCGTTTGATCGGTCGCTTGTCGTCCTCGACGGTCGCAACCCGGGCGCGTACTCCAAGTTTGCGCTCTCGGCCGACGTCGAGTCGCTGCAGTGGCACCCGCACACGCCGTCGGTTCTTGTCGCGTCGTCCGAAGACGGCTTTGTCGTCGCGTACGATGTGCGCATGAACAACGGGTCGCCGCTCTTCCGCTTCCAAGCGCACCAGGCCGCGGTCTCGGCCATCTCGTTCTCGCCGCTCATGCCGGGTCTCTTTGCGACCGCGTCGGTCGACAAGCACGTCAAGATCTGGGATCTCGCGGGCAACAGCCCGGTCTGTGTCGCGTCCAAGGACATGAACATTGGCGAGCTCATGACGCTCTCCTTTTACAAGGACTCGCCGTTCTTGCTCGCGACCGGCGGCTCGAACGGCATGGTCGCGCTCTGGGACACGACCGAGAACGACGCGGTCGAGCGCAAGTTCACGTCGCGCATGGCCGGCCACCAGCAAGGCGTCGCGCCGGCCGTCGAGTCGAACCTGAACCTCGGCGCGTCCTTCAAGACCGCGTACGACCTCGGCGAGGAGCTCATCCGCGAGGAGGAAGCGGCCAAGGCCAGCGCGGCGCCCAAGTCCAAGAAGGGCAAGAAGGCAGGGAAGAAGTAATTTTAAAGAGCTAATAGAACAAGACATTTATAGTACTAGTCGAGTCCCTCAGCAGCAGCAGCATCAATACTCCTCGTAGGACGATGGCCAGGATGATGCGACGACGAGGCCTGGCGTGCGAGCGCCCGCTGCGCCCGCTCCTCGGCGCGCTCGAGTCGCGCCGCCTCGCGGAGTCGGCGTTGCTCGATCTGGTGCGGCGTCTCGCCTCGCAGCGCTTGGCCAATGTGGTCGAAGACGGCTTGCATCGACCGCACTTCTTGGGCTTGTACCGCGCTCTCGTGCTGCGTGAGCGCATCAATCTCGGCCGCCTGCGCAATGATCGCGGCCGACGACATGGGCGCAGGCGATGGCGCATGGGCCATATTCGTTTGCTCTTTTTCCTCGCAAGCGCTGTCGTCGGCCTCAGTGAGCCGCATCGGATGGGCGTCTTGTCCGCTGCTCCCGACCGATGGCGCCTTCGTGACGACGAGAGACGGTGCGCCTACACAGCAGTCAGTCTGCCATATCGCGTCCATGTGTGCTGCGCCATGTAATACCTGTGGCGATGCTGTGCTCGGCCGGCGCCGCAGTGCGCAGCGATGGATACCGCGGTAGCGGCGGTGCAGAGGACGACGGTGGCGCCGGGATCACGTCCAAGGACGGGTACGGGCGAAAGGCGCAGGCAGAGGTCGCTGGTGGACGCGCCACCAGCGGCTCGGCGTCAAACTCGTCCATGAGCGCTTCGTCCGTGGGGTTCATGGCGTCGACTGGCACAATGACGACCTGCATTCTCGACGCAATGTAGGTCGTCCTGACTCCACCACGAACACACCACAACAGCTCCACCACTAGCACACCACGACAGCTCCACTAAACCACCGCTGTGGTCGTTGGTTGGTTTGGCAGTCTTTGCAGCACGCGGTGTAGTTTAATGCTATTGCAGCGAGATCGTCTGTCGATGCACGGGAACGCAGCGTAGATAGGAGTGTAGCATTGCATGATAGATAGAATGCGTTGTGGCTTCTACTCGAGGCCGAGGCCGGCGCGGAGCTCGTCGCGGAGAAGCTGGAGGGCCTAGAGAAAGAGAGAGAACGGTCACGACGACGTCATGGACGATGACGACCGACTTGGATTTTGCCTTGCACGGCCGCGGCTTCCTTCGCACACTCTTGCAGCTGCAAATAGGTCCATTTTTCAGGGTTCTCGGTCGGATGCTGGTCCAGCCACGTCATGATGGAGCGCGGAATCATCTACATATGTGATGGGGCACATGAGGTTGCCTGCGATGACGGCCACAAGGCGTACGTGCGATGTGGGCATGTTCTTCTGGATGTACGCATGGAGTTCACCCAAGCGCTGCACGTACGATTGAACGGCTACATGTCCATGCGGTGGTACCGAAGTGGAGCACAAGTTTGAGTGTCTACCTTTCGTCATTGCATCGTTCTGGTCGCCTTGGAAGTTCTGCACGAGGTACATGCAGTTGTCGAGGACCTTCATGGTCTGGCCCAGCTTCAAGCTCAGCTCTTCGTCGATGGACAACGCAGTGACGGGCTTGGCGGGCGTCGACGACGAGCCGTGGGACTGCATCGGTCCCGGCGACGGGTTTGTCATGGGACTTGCCAGCGGCGTAAACGCTGGGGTCGCCGCCGAGTATGGCTGCGTACCTACCATCGATTGCTAAGACATGAAGAAGCACAGGAGGCTATCAGCTACCAGGGTACGGCGAGAACACCATCGAACCGCTCGTCGAGCCCTACGCACAGAGATGAGTCCTTGGCCACGCGTCGGGTCGCGCCTACAGGAGGCTCCATCGACGGTGATGGGATCGGAGCCGACATAGACACCTCGGGGTTCGCCGTTCCTACGCCCATCATGGTCTCCAGCGGCTCGTCCAAAGCGGTGCGTACCGACGGCCGACCCCGGCGAGCTCGGCGATTGCGACATAATCTTCAGGCCCACCAAGTGAGGAACGGCCAAAATCAGAACCGCACAGTAGCTTTCCTAACCGACATAGATATGGTAGTATAAAAAACGAGGCCTGAGAGTGGTCATTTATCTTGACTTTTTTCGACCAATCACCTGCTGTCTCTGTGGTGCGTGCGCTTCTCGTACCAAGGTGAGCTGCAAAAAGAATAAAAAAGACAGGCACCGGAAACCTGGGGTACGCCCAGCCAGTAGAAGAGTGAAAGTCTGCGTTTGGTGTTTTTGCTGCAAAGTGCCTTGTGTGCTGAAGTGACAAGAAGGTACCAATGAGTATTTGGTACACGCTTCGATCCTCGAAGTGCGCATGCTTTTTCGCACAAGTGATCCAACAAAGTCAAATGCATATCGATGCCGAGGCCACGGTAAGAATAGCATCATTTTATTATCTTGTTCGAGTCGAACACGGACTAATTTTGCGCGCTCATTCTACTGCGCTTTCTCGGTTACTTTTTACGTTACCCGAACCAGAGGCGGGGCCGGGACGCAGGTCTCGGCTACAGGAGCTTGATAATGTAATAGAGAAAGCGCAGTAGAATGAGCGCGCAAAATTAGTCCGTGTTCGACTCGAACAAGATAATAAAATGATGCTATTCTTACCGTGGCCTCGGCATCGATATGCATTTGACTTTGTTGGATCACTTGTGCGAAAAAGCATGCGCACTTCGAGGATCGAAGCGTGTACCAAATACTCATTGGTACCTTCTCGTCACTTCTGTGCACAAGGCACTTTGCAGCAAATTGTCAATTGTCAATTGGATTGAAGGACTTTACTGGGTATCTATCTCCTAATATTGTACTACCAATTCGGGCCAGTCGGTGGTGCTCAGACGGCAATGGGGTTTTTCTGATTTTTCTGGAGGGCGGAACGGCACTTTGCAGCAAAAACACCAAACGCAGACTTTCACTCTTCTATTGGCTGGGCGTACCCCAGGTTTCCGGTGCTTGTCTTTTTTATTCTTTTTGCAGCATTCGAGAAAGGAGCGACAGACCGAGACCATCGAAGCATGCATCACTGCCAAGGCTCCCCTACATCTCCGGACCTTAAACAAATACTAGCGTTTTCCTTAAGGAGGCCGAGCGCTGGAGAGGTCAAGAGTTTCAGTGTCCACCTCGACCTCGATTTGCACTGGAGATCGCACCTCGAGAAATGGTGGAAGCGCCTTTTTCTTTTTGAGACCGTTCCGTTCATCTTAATCGGTTTTTCGCCCAACAATATTTTTTCTTCCATTGGTTATCAGTTGTTTTTCTTGGTGGCAGCGCGCTTCTTGACAATCGCGGGAATCAGCATTGCCGACGCCAGCGTGAGGAACCCGAGGAGCGTCTGCGTGTCGAAAATATCGCGCACGCTCGTGAGCTGCGCCAGCATTGAGCCCGCCTTGACCGTGACAAAGTTGTACGGCATGAGCCCGAGAAACGCCGCGGGAGCAAAGAGGTGCATCGGAATGCACAAGTACGGACTGGCAATGTTGAGGAGCCAATTCGGCGAGAAGGGAAAGATGCGCAAGAAAAGCAATACAAAGAAGAGGCGGTTCTCGTCTTGGGCCTGTGTGATCTTGGCCTGGAGCACGTCCAACTTCCCAGGCAAGAGGTAGTCGGTGACGGCGACGAGGCGCTCACGCGACCCGAGCGTCGACGACAGCAAGTAGCAGCAGCTAGCGCCACACTAGCAAGAGGGCCATGGATTCATTTGCCAGTGCAGATACAATCATGAGAGGGTACCATGGTCAAAATGCAGACGACCGGAAAGGCCACGTGAAGCGGCAGCAAGACGCCCGCGAGAAGGTTCAAGACGACCGAGCCCGGGATAGCGAACGTTTGCTTGATAAAGTAGACACACGAAAAGCATGCGAGCGAGAGGTAGAACTCGTCGGCCATGGCTCGGCGCAGCGCGTCGTTGACGTCGCTTCGCTGCATGTCCTCGAAGCTGAGGCTCCAGTTGAGCGCCGAGGCTAGCTGCGGCTCCTTCGCAAGGAGGCGCATGAACATCATGTAGGTGAAGCCAACGCAGGCGCCGAAGACGAGCGCGAGCTTCCACACGCTCTGCAGGACGGGCGCCAGCGCTGGTGCCATCTCTGTTGAAATAGAGTCGTTTGGCCGTTGGATATCCCACGTCGTGCGAAATGAAACGCAGAAAACATTCTTATATTTTCTTATATATATCGATGTACCTTTAAGAGTGCTTTTGTTTTTGTAGGGTGCTATGGTACGAACACATTTTACACAGTGTGTAATTTTAGCGTGCCTAGCTTTAAACCACACAAATGTAAAACACACATTAGCGTGGAAAATGATTGCCGGATATGACTTGTGTATCCGGACATTCGATTTGCCAAGGCCACGGAACGATGGCATCGGACGACGAGCGCGAGGCCACGTCGCCCGAGATGACGCCGGCGCAGCGCAAGCTGTTCGAGATCCGCATGAAGATCAACGCTGGTCGCAAGCAGACCAAGTCGCAGGTCGAAGAGGAACACAAGCGGTCGCAGCTGCCGCCAGGGAAGGCGAAGAAGATGCTTGCAGCCGAGGACGCACCCACGAAGCGCGAGCCTGCGGACAAGGCCAAGGCGTACCTGAACGACACGGTCATGGATGCGGAAGGCAAGTCCAAGAAGGCGTCGAAGAAAGAGAAGCAGAAGGCGGCTTTTGGCTGGGACGTCTTCAACCAAGATTCGCTCTACAACGCGTACAAGAAGCGGCTGAATACGCTTCCGCCGGCCGATGGCGCCTCATCGGCGCCGAAAACTCGCAGCAGTGACGCCATCGAACCCTACGACCCGCTCAACTATGGCCGGCAAGACAAGGTCTCAGAAGAAGGCGTCGACCGCATGGTCGCTGAGCTCGCGGACCGCGCGGCCGCCCGCCAAAAGTTTAGCCGCCGGCGCCAGCACCGCGAAGGCGAGGACGTCGACTTTATCAACGAGCGCAACCGCGTCTTCAACAAGAAGATCTCGCGCGCCTTCGACAAGTATACGGTCGAAATCAAGCAAAACCTCGAGCGCGGGACGGCCATCTAACACGCCCTTTGTACGACCGAGGCCAGGCGCAGATTTGCAGCACTGGAGTACATGGATGTACATGGTCAGCCACGGTCGTTCTTTATTTCATATCAACATTGAGCTTACATCGTTTTCATCTTTGCATCCTCTCTCATCTCGCGCTGGCAGGCTCCAGGTGGTGGCTACGGCGGCACCACCACCGTCGCGCCATCGTCGTCGGTGCCGTTGGTCGTGTACATGATGATGAACCTGGTGCAGTTGCCCAGCCGGCGGTCGCAGAGCAGAGTCTTTTGAATGATCGCGTACGCATCGTAGTTGTGGTCGTCATCGATCGTACTGTTCGTGTTGGTTTCTTGCAGAGCGTTGGCGAGGTCGTCACGATCACCGTCGGTAGAGGTGGAGGTGGAGGAAGCGTTGCTCGTGGCGTTGCCAAGGCTGCCCACAAGACCCACGGTGGCGGGCAGTAGCAGTGTCGACGGCGACGTCAAAGCGTCGGCCACATCGGGAACGTCGTTCTCTTCCAAGAAGGCACCGATCGGGTCCAGTGCGGCGACGTCAGGCGTGGACAGCCCGCGCAGCGTCGTGGCCGCGACGACCGCTGCGACGCCCAGCGCCAACAACACCACGCGCCGCTCCATGGCCTTCTAAATTCGAACTGTTTACAGCGAGAAAGGACAGTTTTTCGTCGTTATATCGCCGAACTACTCTTGAAGGTTGCTGTAGGCTTCGGGGTTTTCCCGACGCGAGTAGGCGCGGGCTGCGAGCAATCCGACCGCAACCACTGCGACGCACGAGAGCACGATCGCATCGACGTGCGACGACGACGTGGGTGCTGCCGGGCCCGTCGCTGCCAATGCGTCCGAAGGCGGCACGGTGATGGTTGGCGATGATGCGTTCGCGTCACTGCCACTGCTACTGTCGTTGCGCGACGGCCGAGGCGTCACCGGGCGGAACGGGACCATTGTTGGTTGTTCCGACGATCGGTTGCTCGCGGGTGGCCATGTGATGGTCGCCGTCGTCTCGTTGCGCGGGGCTCCATGCGTGCTCGTTGCGTTCTGCAAGGTGGCGTTCGCAGGCCGTTGAGGACGAGGTGTGCGCTGGCTCCAGCCACCCAGCGACTCGAGGTAAACTTGCCACACAACGTCTCCAAGCGGACGCATGACGTCGACAGGATGACCTGTGGCGTTGCGGTGTTGGGTCGAGTTGGCTGTAAACAAAAGACTCCAGAGACGCAGGTCGTTCGAGGGCGGATGCTCTCGGAAGCGCCGGATGGCCTCGGTTGCGACCGAGCCATTCGCTTGCAGCAGGCCAATGACCTGATGCAAGACGGATGCGCTCAAGTCGCTGCGGTGCCTCGTCGCATTGAAAAGGTACTGGAGAAAGTTGACCAAGTACGCCTCGTTGAACATCGTCCCGTTGCGTGCCAGCTGGTTGGAGCGTCGGCCGGAGGCCGAGTCGTTGTGCGGCACGAGGATCATCGGGCACGGTGTCGAGCTGCCGTTGTATGGCGCACTGGCGTTGGAAGATGCGTGCCAGCGCCGCGGGACGAAGGGCGTCTTGGCCGCGTGTTCGCGCGGTGGAAACCGAATCGTGTTGTCGTCGATCGTCAACGAGCTGTTGAAATTTCTGTTGTAAACGTCAAAGTGCGCACTGGTGTTGCCGCCCCACGAGAGCCATAGCGTCCATGGGAGTGTTTCGTTGGCGCTGAGAGCCGGCGATCGCCACACCATATCGTCGTTGCCTTCATCGTCATCGTCTTCATCGTCTTCATCGTCTTCGTTGTCGAGGTGTGGGATGAGGCGAGCGAGGAATGGACGGCGCTCGAACGCGTCGCCGAGCCAGCTACGGTTGGAAGCGGCCGTCATGTTAAAGTCCACCGACAGCACACACGACGAGGTGTTGCGCGTCAGTAACGTGCACGGCGTGGACACGTTGCACGCAAGCGTGGTCGACGCATTCCAGCGCAGACATAGATCGTGGGCTCGCGAGGCCGACGCGAGGAGGAGACCTAAAAGCACTCGCATCGCGCGTCCAAGCAAATTCCGTTGTAGCGTGCTGGAAACCCCTCGCACATCAACGGCTCAAAATAGGATCGGGCGCTGAGGCTGGGACATGGCGACGTGGTTCTGGCGGTGATCGTCGAACCAGAGAAAAAGCCCGTTGGTGTCGTGGGACTGTACCGCCCTTCTTTGCAGAAAGGTTTAGGAGCTGGCGGTATAACTATCTACGACTCGGTCCATGTCAACGCCAAAAAACAACCTCCTGGACGCACTCGTTGGCGTACGTGTGCGACATGAATGTATTGGTGTCCTATTGCTCGGAGAGCTGGTTGATCGAAAAGTACGCGGACCGCGTCCGGCACCGCTTCCAGAAGAAGTACGCGACGCCCAGTGCCACGGCGGCCAGAAGCGCGACGATTGCAACGAAGCCCGTGATACCGCTGCTTGCGCTGTTGAGTGCACTCTTGTTGTTTGCTACGCTTGTCGCGGCGGTCGTTGGCGTTGGTTTCGGCGACGATGGCGTACTTGTTGTCGGGCGATCGGTCGTCGTTTGTGGCGGGGACGTCGACGGCAGCGGGGTAGTTGACGGCAGCGGGGTGGTGGTCGACGGCGGCTGAGTGGTCGGCGGCGGAGTGGTCGGCGCTAGTGTTTCAACGATGTTCAACACGCTGCAAATACCAGAGTCGGGGGACGTAGCGTTCGCGCACGTGGGCTCTGAAAAATGTGCGACCGTGCCATTCGAGCCATTGCACGCAGCAGTGGCGTAGCCGGTGTCGACGCCAGCGCAGTCGTTGACGAGATAGAACGCCTCTGCCGAACCGTTCTCGCGTAGCTCCACGTACTGCGCGTTGGCGGCAAACTCGGACGCGTTGGGGGGCAAGCGAGATATCGCGGCGGTGCCAACGCAAGTGAAGGCTGTGGTCGGCGCCAGCGTTGTCTTGCGGACGGCGGCATGCAGCGTGCCCGTGCAATTGGCACCCGCGTATGTCTTGACCCACGCGGTGATGTATGGCACGCGCACGCTGCAAGAGCGAGGAGGTGGCAGCACCTCATCCAGTGGCACCGAGCAGTTGGCATCTGAAAATGATGTGGTTGTGTTGGCGGTGCAGTCGGCCACAAGCCACGTCGAGCCATTCGCAGAGAGAGCGCCATTCGCGCTGGGTGCGGGCGTACACGCCTGGTCCAAGACGACGCTCGTTCCACGCATGTTCTCGGCGTACATTGCGCCTAGCTCAAAGTAGTTTGCAAGCGCCGTGTCTTCCACGACGGCGAGGTCTTGACCTTGGCACGTTGTCGGCCACGCTCTGTCCATGGACACGTTGTAGACGGCTCGTACTAGCGGCCCCGAACAGTTGGCGGATGCAAACGTCAAGAGATGCGCCCGGCCATGACGGATTGTACAGGTCGTGTTGCTACTCGTGGTGCTGTTGACATCGCTGCATGCTGCGTCGTTGAAGGTCGTTATGGTCGCATCCGTGCAGTTGGCCAAGACGAAGCCCTTGGCGGCACTGCGAAGACACGTGGCATCGAGCAGTGCGCTCTCCAAGGTCGAGTTGGCTAGTAGCGGCATGTATCGTTTGTTGGGGTAGAAGTCGAGGAAGCTTGGCATGCTCGCTAGCGTCGCCTTGCCCGTCCCGTTGCATGCGTGGAGAAGCGTGTCGTCCGTGGACGTCGCATTGCCAGTGAGCAGTGCTTGGAGAGAGACGAGCGAGCCCGCAGCACACGTGGCATCGGCGTAAACGGTGTCGTACACCATCGTCGTCATCTTTGTCAATGCCCCGCCTGTCCTTTTTGAGCACCATCATGGCTGACCAAGATCGGGGGTTGGCGATGTGATTGGGCGAAAGCGATCACAGAACTGTCGTTTGATTGGTGCTAAAGTTACCATGCGTCGCGTGGATTGGCTCCTTGAATCACTCTCTTGGATTGGCCAAAACCCGAGGTAGCCGTCGATTGGGTAGACAGAGAAAAGATGCCATTGGTTGAAAGACCCATTTTGTGGGCTTGGGATTGGTTGAAATAGATTATTTGGAGATGGGAGCGAGGATCGCAAGTTGCATCGTCGCTGTCTGAACGCAAGATGAAGCGGTCGCAGTCGCCGTACTTGGGCGATGTCAAGCGCGTCCGGCGCGGAAGCGTCGATGGAACCTTCGAGTACATGGGCTTTGACATGGACATGGAGAAGCTCTCGGTGGACGACGCCATGGCCGACGACGACGAAGAGAACGACAACGAGGTGGCCAAGATCCTCGCCGGCCGCGACGATGGCAGCATTCTTCCGCGCATGGCCATTAGCGTCCGGTCGTTCACGCCCATTGAGGTCTCGATCGCAGAGACGGTCGGCGCGTCGCAGAGCCCCGACCGACTCACGCTCTCGCCACGCACCGAGGCCCGCATCCAGAGCCGCAGCTTCTACTTGGAGCTGCACGAGGGGACGCTGCACCGTCTGAGCCGCGCCCAGCGCCAGGCCATGCAAGCTGCGGGTCTTCTCTTCATCCCGCTCACCGCCACGAGTCCGACAGTCACGTTCACGCGCGAGTGGCTCACGCGCGGGGCCATGGCCGAGATCTACGGCCCGTACAAGCAGTACTTGAGCCGGAAGGGCTCGGTGACCGTGCAGTGGACGCGGCAGCACTACGCAGCCGAGATCAGCGTTGCAAACGGCAGCAAGAACAACGTCTTCATCGACAAGACGCGTCTGGGTACCGCCAACGCCCCTTCTTCTCGCTGACAATTTTGGTTCTAGCACCGCAAGGCCAGTCCGTCCTCCTCCACGAAGAGACCATCAAGATCCTGACGACACCGTACGCCCAGCGCGTCGTGCTCGGCTACACGCTTCACGAAGGCCTCCTCGAGTCGTCGGCCCAAGGCGTCGCCCACAACCACATTGTGGGAGCCTCCTGTCTACCATCCACCGCATGACACGCATGGCGTAGGCTGTGCTCTTTGCCCATCCGATCGCCATGTACCCGTCGTTCGGCATGACGTTAGCAGTACGCTGCGTGGAGCCTCGACGTCAAATGCCACGCGTGTAGGGGCTGGAATACCGCGCGATGCTCACGGAGCTCACCAAGAACCTTGAGAGCAGCGCCAATGTACGGTGCCGTCGTCTTCTTCATTGTCCATGCGTGCCATCGCGCAACCTGTAGGTCTCGAAAAGCTACATGGAGAGCGACGGTGCGTTTTCTACTCCAAGGCTCCGTCTCTCGGACAAAGAGCACGCTAGGTAGTGTTGTCCTCGCGCACCGACCGCCCGTGCAAGTGATGCTCGAGTTTGCGACGCCCATGACGGTGCAAGAGCTCTGCGCGGACGGCTGCCGCGTCCTGCACTTTGTGTGCCACGTCGACCACCAGTACGTTCTCTTGGAAGATGGCGTCGGCGGCGGTACGCGCGTCGCCCGGGACGAGATGCGCGGCATTCTCGCCCACTCGAGCGTCGAGCTCGTGCAAGTGACGTCGTACGACAAGGCGGCGTCCAGTACGTACACACAATTCTCTCACTGTGTTAACAGCAGAGGCGTAGGCCACCGCTTCTTTCTGCACTGTGGCGTGCCCCATGTGATTGCCTTGCATCCCTCGTCCAAGGACGACTCGGACACGACCATGACCTTTACCAAGTGCGCTCATGCTTGTGGATGCCAATGCGACGGACGAGGAATAGGGTCCTCCATGCGTCGCTCGCAGCGGGCCGGACCATCCAAGACGCGTTTGATGCGGCACAGCATTTCATTTCGCTGCTCGTCGGCCATGTACACAGACAGCGCTAGCCACGGGCTCACCGACCTCGTGTAGGCCACGCCTCGGTTCGTCTTGTACCCCGAAGACGCGTGCCACGATGTCATCTTGTTTCCCCCGTCGCCGCCCGAGCCGCTTGCACGATCGAGCGCCGCGCGGTATGCGGCCGAGAGCCCATCGACTCTCGTGCTTGGTAGCGTCACCAAAGTCGGTCTACGTATTGATCGATTGAGTGTTTGCTCATGTCCCTCGCGTAGCATTTCCACGGTCGCTTGGACGAAGCGCAGTTGGCAAGACGAGTTGATGACGCGGCGCCATGACGCTGATAGCTTTGCGTAGGTCTGTCGCACGCTCATGGGTCGGCGACGGCCGCGCTGGGTGAGCATCCTCGGGCCGCGCCGCGTCGGCAAATCCCAGTTTGTTTTGGCGGTCGCGCAGTACATTGGCCAGCGCAAGGTGTTTGGCGGCGGTATCGTGTACATCAACATCCCGCTGGAGCTGCGGTACCAGTCCCATGATGCGATTCGCGCGTCCGTCCTGGATGTCTTTGAGATGCTCGACCACGAACTGTACAAAGCTCCATTCCGCTTCATTCTTAGCATGAACGCAAACAACTAGGGGCAAGTGGCAACACGTGCTCGTCATTCTTGACGGCTACGAGAGTTTCTCGCCGTCCGCGCAGCTGGAGACGGAGCTAAACACGCGCTTGACCAAGCACCACAACATTTCGTTTCTCGCCACCGGACTTGACGCGGCGCACGTCCCCACTTGGTCGCACACGACCGAGACGCTCGAGCTCACGACGCCCATGGCGAGTGGCTTGCAGGAGGCGCCGACCGACGACGACCTCGAGGACCTCTTGCGTGTACCACGCATGGACTATGCGACAATGCCGCCACCGGTGCTGTGGGCGCCCGAGTCGCCGCCGCCGGCGTTGCCGACGCCTCGATCGCTCGTAACCAAGCCGTCGTGCGCCGTCATGTAATAGCAACAACGACAGTCATCTGTACAGTACATGATGGTGACGATGCTCTGGACGCGCGCCGTCACTTGGAAGCTAAGCACAACACACTGGAGCATCCACGGCGCTCCACACAACTTCGCGGAGTAGCAACACCACGCTACGGGGCGCGGGACGACACTCTCGATCGCCGAGGCTCAGGTCGACTGGCACATGGCCGTTCGACGAAGTACGACGGCGCGCGTTCGTTGGCCTGTTTCGAAAATGCCATCCGGCGGGTGCGAGCCATTGACGATATGCAGCCAAGTCGCCGCTCGTTGTAGCCAACGCAAGGTCGCCTCTGCATTGTGTGCACCTCGGTCGTAGGTCGCAGGTCGGAGGTAGCTCGAATATAAGCGTCCATTTGGCAGTCGTCCGTCGTTGATGCGTTGCGACCATGGACGCGTGGCTTCTAGCGAAGTGCGTCTCGTCCCACGCCGAGCAATCGCTCGGTTGCACTTGTTGAAAACGACCGCCGCCGACGTCAACGACCTTGTGACACCATCGCTGCCTCGTTCGGACCTCGCGCAGCTTGTCGCAACCGCGCAATGTAGTCGAGGTGGCGTCTTTGCACCGTCACCTCCGACGCGCGCGCGTATCTGTCGCGCGCTGTACGGGATTGCGGCGGGCGACGATGCTCTCCACTGCGATCTTCTCTTTCCAAGCCGCTCGTTTCGGATCGTGTGGATGGCAGCGTCCTGGCCCTGCTTTGCACGGTCCACTGAGGCAGTAATGCCATCTGTTTTTCGCGCATTGTTGAAGTCGCTGCGCTCACGTCCCTACTCCGTAGGACAACGAGCCACGTGGCTCGAAGGCAATAACATAAGCGCCAAGAGACGGCGCTCGGCTACCGGGCTATATTAGAAGGAGACATAGATATACACACGCCGCGATCATGCCGACGTGGCAGCGTTGGCCTTGCGCAAGAGCAGGTCGAACGGGTGGTGGGTCGGGAGCGCGTTCGCGGGCACCCACTGCTGCCAGTGCGTCGCTGGGCGCACCTTGGCCAGCTGCACAAAGGACGGGTCGACGTCGCCGTTGGGCTTGCGCTTGCAGAGCAGCGTCACATGCGGCGACGCATCGAGGCGCTCGACGAGCGCCAAGAGCGGCACGGTCGGGCTCATCATGGCACGGACGCGGTTGAAGTTCATGACGACGCTCATGTAGACGTAGCCGTCGGCGTCCATGCGCTGGCGCAAAAACACATCGCGCAGGAGGTTGTGGTCGCTGAAGTAGTAGGCGCTACAAAAGACGACCATGAGCATGCATACTATCGGATATGGGACCACGTACATTTGGTCGACAATGTGCTGGAGGACGAGCGGGTTGGAGGGCGCGGTAGCCGTCGAGAGCGGCGTCGACGATGCGTCGAGGCTCACCGTCTTGGCAAGGACCGGCGGCGGCGGTACGCTCGTGTCACCGCCGAGAACATCCCGCCACGCGCGGCCGTCGGCCGTCGACGAATGCGACCGGACGAGCTTCTTGGGCTTGACGAGCATCGGCGGCGGCCGCGCGATTGGCGAGAGCGACCGCTTCGTGGGCTCGACGCGGCCCGGGCACGACTTGGGTGGCGAAAAGGACGAGGACGAGACCGTCGACGCGCACGACGTGGGTGACGACGGCACGATCGGCTCCTTCAACAAGAAATCCATGGACGTCGTCGTCGCCACCTTCTTGGGCTTCATGTGCGGTGACAGCGTCAAGATCGACTTGGTGATTCGCCGCGGCGGCGTTGCGAGAACCACTTCCACCGTCGACGGCTCGGGCACCGGGGCCTTGGGTGCGACGGTTGCAGCGACCGTCGTCTCTTGCACACTTTCTGTCGACTTGACGTTCTCTGCGATCGGCGCGAGGTTCGAGTCTTGCGAGAGCGGCGCGTCCACAACAACGTCTTGCGGCGCGTCCGCAAACGGCGCGGGCTCGCAGCGTGTTTCGACCGTCGTCGGTGTTGCAGTCGTTGCAGTCGGCATTGTGGCCGTCGCAGCTGTGGCCTTCTTGGCCTTCTTCTTCTTGGGCTTTCGCCGGCTTGTGGGCGTGGTCGCCTCGACGGAAGGCGTCGGCTTGACGCCAGCGACGACATGCTCGATGGTTTCGTCGTCCGTGGCCGGCACGGGGCGGCCCGAGCGCAGCCACGCGACGGTGCTGTAGCAGACAAAGACGGAGAGGATCACGAGCACGATGGACTCCTTGGCGTCATGGGCCATGTCCACGAGCTTGGCCGAGACCTGGACTCCGACGATCGCGACGACGCTACTCATTCCTGCTGCTGTCGACACGGCCTGGAGCTTACTGCCTCAGAACGGGGGTTTTCCGCTTTGCGCGGCTCAACAACTGGCATAGATAGAAGAACGCATGCAGCGATCCGATTGGCTGCCGAAAAACCTGTTTTTGCTGTTACCTAATTTGTTGGTTTGCACCCAGCATCATATTTATGTGTTTCCATACAAAAGCCGAGTGTACGAATAAAAAACGCTCGTTCGCGCTTTCTTGAAGTACAAGATCTGGGCGTGGGACGCCCGAGTCATTGCAGCAGGTGGAATCGTTGAGCTTGAACACACACCCTTGCCCCAACGGTGCTACCGGCACGATCGGAAGAGAGGTCGCGCTGGACGCGCTTATAGACTGTCACGCGCGCTAAGATATGATAATACGGAGAGTAGCAAAAGCCGTGTGGAAATTTTCATTTTCGTGTCCTTACAGGGCGTTGAGCCCGAACGGACGGCGACAGATGGCGCACAACAAGTGGCCACGTCGTCATCTTGGGGCGAACAAAGACTCAGCAGGATGCACCTGAGATGGGCCCGCGGCCGCAGTAGCTTTGCGTGTCGGGAACAACGGGCGGCAGCCAGCGTGATGCGGCGAGCAGCTACCTACCTACACACGGTGGGTAGCATCACAAATAGGGCACGGCTACAATCGACGAAATGGGTACGAGGTAGACTGACCGCCGACTTGGCTACTCTGCGCCCGACGCACTCGACCAGTCTCACTCGACCGGACGTCGGTGCGCTCGTGTCGCACCACAACTCAGAGACCTCTGCTCCCTTCCTTCTGTTGCAGTATTTGCTCACCTCTGCAGTGGTCAAGGGAAGAAGACGGCAGCAGGACCAAGCGCACACGAAAGCTCGTAGGACACGTCAACGCACCATCTGCATTGTAAATGACATGCAAACGGACGCCCATCTGCGGCATCGCTCCAGTGAAGTGACCAACCGCATGGTTGACGCTTGCTTGGACTTCGTACCGTGGAGGCAGCCGTGGAGGAAGACCTGAGCTCGTGGAGAGATGTTGAAGAGGACAGGCGCGGTACTGCCGGTATGGTGGAGTCTATGGAAAGGGAGACGATGTTGATACTACGCCACGCTCGGATGCACAGACGAGGCGACGCCGTGTCATAGCAAAGTGGCTGCTTATCACCGAGCACCCAGTTGGTGGAGCCAATATGATCGGACACGCGAGTGTCGTGCCAGGGGCGCAGTAACACCGAAGCGACCATACAATGGCGCATGGCCAAGTGTAGACGTGGTTTCCCTCTATACCGCACATATTAATACACATTACTCCCTCGTTGTTGCCTTCAGCACAGCCAATGTCCAGCTCAATTTCCCATCACCGCCGTGCCCTTTCGACGTGCTTTGTGTGTGGCGCTCTCTCATTGGCTCCAGCAGGATCTTTGAATCGAGCGAGCAGCGTGCAATAGAAAGCGAGCGATTAAATATACCGCTACGCTCGAAATTGCCATCGTCCGCCGCATACACTAATTAGAGATGGATGGGTCGAACCCCACCGTCGACGTCCGTGGGAGCTGTGCATTCTTGGCACAAGCAAACGCCCATCGCGTGACAGGGCACTGCACGGCTCTATGTGATCGCATAGGGTTGTAGTCGATGTGAATGCATTAGCAGCCGATGCCTTGCAACTGATGGAAGCTTGCCGTTCTGTGCAACTTGACCGTTGATCGAGACAAGCTACAGGTCCATGTACGCTGCCGTGCCAGCGGAAATGGTCCCCGCTTCGTCCTAATATTGATAGATGAGCGGCGAACGGTTGTCTCTGCAAGTCAGCGTCGCTAGTGCAGGGCTTTGGAGGTCACGCACGGCCTCGGGGAGTACACTATATATGAAAAGGAGTGCATCGGAGATAGTGTGTCAACACTATATCGCGAGCATTGTGGGTTTGGTTGGTGGTGGTCTTGACGCAAGCATTTCCATTTTCAGTGGCGCAGTCGACGCGGCGATGGTGCTCTACAAGCAAGTGATCTTGACCAACCTCAAGAGCTCGCCGGCGGAGACGGCCAAGATGTTCCAGGAGCTCTCGGGCTTTCTTCTTGGCCGTGGCGGCGTCGTCCGCGACCTCGCCAACCGCGGCCACCGCGTGCTTGGCTACCCCATTGACGACCGTCGCTGGGGTGGCACCTTTGAGCGCCACCGCGAGGCCAAGCTTGTCGTCAAGACCTTCGAGACGAACCCGACGACGCTCAAGGAACTTGAGGCCAAGATGAAGCTCTCGTACCCGGTGTTGCGCTTCATGACGTTCAAGGTCGATAAGGACCCGCTGCGCAACGTGCTCAAGCAGTCGACGCTCGAGCCCGCCGTCGCCGACGAAGCCAACGTCAACACGTTCAGCTGGGAGCAGTTCCAGGCGTCGCTCAACGACAACGTCAAGGTGGTGCGCACGGACTACATTGCGGACGAGCGCAACGACCCGATGGCCAACATGAACATTGCCGACTACGTCAGCGAGGACGCCGATAACGATGACGATGATGCCGAGGTCGACGATGAAGACGAGCCGTTGACTGCCCAGCAGCAGGAGATGGCCGACTGGTTGGTCGAGAAGGCCGGCAAGAGCGACATTCTCAAGACGGAGGAGATCATCCACGCGCTCGAGAACGCGACCAAGCCCGCCAAGAGCGACAACGTCGAGTACTGGGACGGTACGCAATTACTCGATGGCGTGGGAAATAGGATGTCTCATGCTCGTGTCTGCGTAGACGATGACTTTGACTTCGAGGACGACGACAGCGCACAGGACAAGGACGAGAAGGTAGAGCACGACTGGCAGAAGGACTCGTCCTACGTGCCCCCTGTCCCGCGCCCGACCAAGAAGTAGATCCAGATAGTAGATGAAGATGAACCAGTCGTCTCGAGGAGATGTATGATGCTGTACGCCGTTTGCTAGTACACGAGGGCAGGCTTGAAGCATCGCACGTTGCGCCCGTCTCCGTATTACGAAAGCGTTCAAGGAGTAGCTAGGTCGAGATACGGACTGAGCATCCTACTACGTCGCAAGCCGTGGTCGTCACGGAGCGACTACGATCCCAAGCAAACCTGACGACGGTAGATCCGCCGGCTCTGGCGTCCGACCCAGACACGGATCAGCTGCGCCGCCCATGATTCTCTGTCGGTCCAGCGCCATGTCCACCTCTACCATGCTCTGGCGCACGACCAACGCAGTCGTTGCCGAGGCGACCTATGAATAGTGTACCGCCCTCGGAAGTCGAGTGTGCTTGCTTGGGTCATCACACGCCCGCGTTCTTTTCTGTCTCTCGCCTTTCAGCATCTCGATGCGCCAGCATTGAGCGTCGTAAGATCACTACTCCACGTGCTCATACTGCTCGATCAATGCCACTATCAAAGCCCAGCGAAACCATCACCCTCACAACCCTCCGGGCTCGCCCCCGATAGACGACCAAAACACAGCTGCCAAGGCCCGCCGTCCACTACTACTGAGTTCGACCTAGTACTCGATTTTCTGCCTGTGAATTCGAATTGCAAAGGGCGCAAGACTATTAGGGACACGTCGATATCGACGGCTCCGTCGACTTCTCGTGTCAATCGCCATGCGTGTCATGCGATGGCCCAAGATCGTCCTCGACGTCGAATCGCTGTCCGTTCCAACCATGTGATTGGGTCGCGCCACGGGATTTCTGCCAATCGCGTGCGCGGTTGACCTCTCCCATGCAAAATTTCCTGCAAATTGGTGGCTGGTTCTCCGATACGTCGTCGCATCATTCAGCGCCTCCTCCGCCGCAGCATGCTCCTCTCGCCGACCTCCGAAGGCCTCGCGCGGGCCGGCCAAGAGCTCCGCGCCGGCCGCCTCGTCGCCTTTCCCACTGAAACGGTCTACGGACTCGGCGCCAACGCCTTTGACGCCAAGGCGCTCTTATCGATCTTCGAGGCCAAAGGCCGCCCGCTGACCGACCCACTCATCGTACACGTGCCATCGGTGCAGAAGGCGCTTGAGCTCGTCGAGCTCAACGAAACTGGCGTCCATCTCTTCAAGACGCTCGCGACCGCCTTCTGGCCGGGGCCGCTCACGCTCATTGCGCCGGCAATTCCCGCCCTTCCGCGCGAAGGTACGAACACCGATCGCACTTCTCTGGTATCCACGCCGCTGCATAGTCTCGGCCAACACAGGCTTTGTGGGCATTCGCATCCCGAACCACCCGATCGCCAAGGCGCTGCTTGAAGCCGCCCAGGTACAATCATCCTGCAGCGACGAGACTATGCGACCGCACGGCGATCGTAGGTGCCGGTGGCCGCACCGAGTGCCAACCGGTTTGGCCACGTGAGCCCAACGACGGCCCAGCACGTGATCAACGACCTCGGTGCGTACCCGGGCGGTCTCCACGTCATTGACAACACGGGCGCGTCGTGCTGCGAGGTCGGCATCGAGTCGACCGTCGCCAAGCTCGTGCCGGACGAAAAGAAGCTTCTCGTCTTCCGCCGCGGCGGCGTCTCCGAGGCCGCACTCCACCACGTCCTCAATGCAACCATGGGCCTTGGCATCGAGATCGTCTATGCGCAGCGCGTCGTCGACGATCATTCGACGCAAAACCAGGTGGCGCCCGGGCAGCTTCTGACGCACTACGCGCCGGATGTCGAGACGTTCATGCTCGAGCCGTCGTCGTCGACGACGTCGGTGACGCCCGCCATGAAGACGTGGGTCGTCCTGGACTTCCACGGCCGCCTCGCCGCCGTGCAGCCGCACGTCGCTGGCTACTTGGACCTGTCGGCCTCGTACGACAACCTCCTTTTCCTACGGTGACGTGCTAAGAACACGCGTAGGGGCGACATCCTCGCGGCCGCCCATGTCGTCTTCGACTCGCTGCGGTGGGCAGAGCAGGTGCATGGCGCGACGGTATGCAGCGTCTTCTTCGCCAGCATCGCGCTCACGATCCATGTAGCGCATTGTGATTCCCGACGTCTCGGCCGTGCCGCAAGAGCACGCGCCCGCGCTGCACGACCGCCTCTTCCGTGCGTCGTCGGGCAAGCGCTGCCACCTGTAATGCTATATCTTAACACGCGGTCGTCTCTGCGATGATACGGGAGCTGTACATGTACTATTTGGAAGCGAGTCCGGGGCTAGACGACGGAAGGGAGCTGTCGCTCGCGGAGCATCTCGTCGCGCGTGGCACGGCGCGCGTCGCGGGTCGCATTGGCGTCGCGCGCAAACGTTGCAATGTCGTCGTGCGTGTACTTGAGCGCTTGCAGCAGCAAAATGCGTTCGTGGGGCAGTAGCTTGCGCACGCCTTTGGCGCCGTCGTCGTTGGCGGGGCACTCGGCTGTCGTGACGCTGACGTGCGTGCGCCCGAGGCCAATCGGCGGGCCTCGCTCGAATGGCACTGCGCTGCCATTGACGTCGGCGGGGAACTCGAACGTCGTGGTCGTCGAGAAGGTCACGCGCCGCCGCCGCCGCCGCTTGGCGTCGCTCTCGTCCATGCTGTGCGTGCGCGCGCGCTTGGCGGGTCGCATGTCGCTGGTCGCAAGCGCCGGCTGGTTCAGCACGTAGTTGCAGAAGACGAGGAGCGCGTCGTCCGAGCGCACGGCGCAGCAAAGCGACATGGGATTGCAAAGTGGGCGATCAAAGATCGTTTCGGTGGCGGCTTTTTTCACCCAACTTGACGTGCTTTTTTCGGCCAAGGGATACAAACACCACGATATTATATTCCAATGATGCGCGGGACAAAAACAAGGTCATTGCCGTGCCTGGCCTATCACGAGCGAGAGCCTGCGCGGAAAGGATAATCCCACGCAACGTTTGGCGGGCGCGTCTTTGCGCCTTGCTGGTGCCGCCAGCAGCATACAACCTTGAAGCTGCATTCCATCGAGACGAGGGCGATACATGCTGGTGGCAGGAAGAAGTACGAGGGCTCGCTCGCTCGCAGTCCGGCGTGCGAGATGAATCCAAGCTGGAGGTTTAGGGTTGAGGTCGCGGTGGTTGATTCGCTTGCGACACCATCAACGTCAGACGACGTACTTATCGCGTGCACTTGCATGCACCACTATTCACAAGAATGCCTGCGAACTCAAGGCTCGAAGCGCCGACCATTCTTTCGACTCCTGTCTTTGGCACGCCGTCCTCGATAGCTCCGTCCGTGGATGGACGGCTTCGTGGTACTTGATGGAAGAAGACCCACGGTTCGTTGGGTGCCTTGGGTTCCCGACACCACGAGTTACAAAGCAACGAACGTCGTATTGACAAAAACAGGGCTGGATCGATCTCTACGAGTCCAAGTCTTGGACGTAGAGCAAAGCTTGGGGTGCGAGTCCCTAGTTGAGAATGACGACAATCCGTCCATGCTCATCTTTCTACCGCGTCGAGGAGCGTGCTCGAGACGTCGTCGGGTCCCCACGCTTTTCGCGGAAAGTTGGTCGCGAGCTCATAGTTGACGATCGGCAACTCCTTCTCAAAGAGACTGACGTCGACAAAGTCCCGCACGACCTGCAACCCATTCAGTATCCTGCAATTGAAGTTTCATAGCTACCTGGAAGGTATCGGCCGCGAAGAAGAGACGCTCGAGGCGCGTCCCGTTGTGCAGTTGGAACCGAATCAAGCACGTGTCCTTGCCGCGGGCCGTGGGCCCGTGGGCAAGGGCAGCCCGCTTCGCCTCCATCGTGGCGGCGCGCGCCTAGATGCTGCGTAGGACTTCGTGCTGTAGACATGACACCCTACGTGATGCTCGCGCTCTTTTTGGAGACGCTGCGCTTCTTCGGCCGCGCGCTCCGCTTCGAGACGCGCGGCTTCTTCAGCGGCTTGCCGCGCCTCGTCTGCTCGTCGTCGGTCGTCTTCTTCCGCCTACAAAAGAAGAGGTTTGTTGCATCGTCCTTGCGTGCTCGAGGAAGATGAACCTTGAGCCGGTCCGCTTCGAGCGACGCTTGATACTCGCGGTCCTGCTCTTCACGAAGGATCTGCGCCTCGGTCCTGCACCAAAGATGATGCGATCGGTGATGCGCAATGAATATCGTGCGTACCGGAACTGCTCTTGGGCGCGCGAGGCCGTGATATGGTGCTGGTTGCGCAAGATCGCGTTGGCGAGGCGCGCGGTTAGCTGCTCCTTGGTCACGGCGCCTGCATGCCATGGATGGCTCCAAGCCGAGCACGGTAAAATACACGGACCTTGGATCTTTTCGACGACATTGAGACCGCGCGGCGTCGAGATAAGAAGAGACATGAACGGGAACGAGGCCGCGCCCAGCGTGAGCGAGACGCTGTAGCCTTCCGACTGCAGCACCGAGCCGGCCCAGAGGACCATGTTGTCGTGCTCGAGGCAGAACGCGACCATCTCGTCCGTGCAGAGCGCCGATCTATGCTTGCTACTACAGCATCAATCAAGATCCATGACACGTACTTGCAGAAGCGAGGCGTGTCGTCGTGGACCTCCGAGTGCAGGTACACAAAGAGGAACTTGCCCGTGTTCTTGGCAAGGTTGGCCGCGTCACGGAACGAGATGGGCTCGAATGCTGGGCATAGAGCGCCATACTCCTTCTTCATGTCGTCCAGAAGGACCTGGGCGAGAAGCTACATGGCGTAAGAAGCCAGCGAGCGGCGCCGGGCGCGTACCTCGGGCGGCGGGTTGGGTCCGAAAAGATATTGCAGCGGTGACTTCCAGAACGACGGCAGTTCGGAGGCTACGGACGCCGGAGACGCGGGAGGCGACGGCGCGTCGGCCGTCGCGGGCGAAGGGCGCGGCTCCGAGGTCTCACCGGGGCCCACCCGGCGGCGGAGGCCAGTAGTCTCGACGCCGACGTCTTCCATCTTTGTGGCTGTGTTGTTCAAATCGGATTGGATACTGTGGTACGGATACCAGGCGTTTGATCCGGATAAAGGCAGCTGGGGTGCGAAGGATCGGGAAGTCCAAGCAACTAACACTAGCAGCCTTGTCATGCGAGGACAAGACAAGCAGCCATCGACAAGGTTGCAAGCAGTAGCGATGATATCATGTGCATGACCGCCTGCACCTGTAGTGAGAAGGCGACACGACATGGAGAGAAGAACATGCCTATGCTACGACGGTACTGCCGCTGCCAGAGCCTCTCGAGCATGCCGATTGGCAGTTGGTAGAGCACAGTACTTGCAGTACTTGAGGTCAATAAGATCTTTCTGGGCTCTCGAAGCTATCGGTTGCCTGCAGTCGTCTCGGCGGTCGTCGAGGAATCGGTTTGAATCGGTGGCTGAAGAGGCGTCGAGGAGCTGTCGTCTCAGTACGAGGTCGTGGCCTGCGTAGCGTAAAACTCTGGAGCGATAGCTCATGGACTGGTCGTGCTTGCGACGTCAGGAACATGAAGGCGCTTCCGCGTAATCCACTGCTATGGCACGTTTGATTGGTGGATATCTTGGGGCCGGTACTTTTTACGGGAATTCCAGCCATGGCATCCAACGTCGACGACATGGCGCGGACGCCGCCGAGCGATGCGCCGCTCGAAGAGCAGGACGAAGCCGACGCGCTCTGCAAGGTGTACGTCGGTCACCTCACGCCGCACGCCAACGAGACGCACCTCCAGGCGTTCTTCCGCCCGTTCGGGGTCATCCGACACATTTGGATTGCCCGTCGCCCGCCCGGCTTTGCCTTTGTGACGTACCTCAAGGCCGCGGATGCGACGCGCGCCATCGAAGCGGTTAACGCCATGGCCGACCCCGCGATCTTGGGCCAATCCATCAAGTGCCAGCTGGGCGGCGACACGACAGCGTCGAAGCCACCGACAGATCGGAAGCGCAAGCGCGTCCGCACCAAGAAGGGCGAGACGTTTAAAGAGAAGAAGGCGCGCAAGCTCGCGGCCGCGACGACCAAGAACGAAGAAGCGACTGTCATGTGATTTGAAAAATGTGTGCACTCGTCTTGTGCAATGGCCAGAGCGAGCTCGACTCGACGAACCGATGGCGGCTGCTTGGCACGCTTGGAAGCAAGAGCGTCGCGCTGTCGCTGCACAGCTCCTTCTCGAGCGGCTCGAGCAAGCTTCCACAAGGGAGCTCCGTGTCCACCTATAGAATGAAAAGCATGTCACGAGATTGCTTGCTTCAACAACGTCGAGGCGTCGACCGTCTCAAGGGGCTGCGGCGTTCGACATCGGCGACGTCCATTCTAAGGCGAACGTATAGAGAAACAGTGGACGCTGATCCCTTACCGAACGGGGAGGCGTAGTTGTGGGGCGCAACATGGCGTGGCTCGGGCTTGGAAGTGGCTCGAGCGAAGCCAAAAGAGACGGCCGCGCCAGGCACGGACTAGGCAGCCGTGTTGGCATAGGACTAGGCAGCCGTGTTGGCACAGGAAAGCTCGTCGGGATGACGCGATGATGTTTCTCTGCCTTTGGCAGGGTCGTGTCGTCTTGAATGCAGAGTGCGGGCTTTGGTAGTGGCGTTGCCGACTGAGATGTACTTCGTGTCGGTATCTTGGACCGACCGCGAGCTGCTTTTGCTATTGTGCCGGGGGGTAGGAGGCGCCGCGTGGAGGCAGGTGGTGGTGCCGAGATGCTCTCGCGGATGACTTGGAGCAATTGCCGCTGCTCTTCCAACTGCGCTTTCATCGCTACGTTCTGCGCTTGGATTTCCTTGTACGCGTCCATGACGGCAGCGACGGGGGACGCTCTCTCGCCGACCTTTTTCTCTTTAGGCGGTGACGATGGCTGCGGTCGATGGGTTTTGGCTTTTGCTGGCAGCAATTCCTTGGCCGATGACGGCGCCTTCTTCGATCCCTTCTTGGCAGCGGGGACCTTTTGTTTTGGCTTGACCAGCTTGGACGCCTTTGCTTTTACTGCAGACGTTGGTGGCGGCGATGTGCGTTGCTCTTCAGGATCGCTCGCGCACGCATGATCGTCCATGCTTGGTGACATGATCACGACCACAGGCTCTTCAACGATAGGCTCCTCAACGATAGGCTCGCTCGGTTTGTCTGGGCTTGATTCTGGGATGGTTTCTGGTTCTGGGATGGTTTCTGGTTCTGGCACTGGTATCGGGACTGGAACGGGCGCGACAGGCTGTTCGGCAGCCTACTTGCCTTTCAATACGGGACACTCGCTTACACATGAAAGACGGTATCGTACTTGGTCGATCTGGGCTTCCAGCGACCGAATGTACTCTTCGCGGGTCATGCGACCGCGCTTGGGCGGCTCGTCCACCTAAAAGTCCAGCTCCCGTCGACCTGCAGCAAACTGCATTCCTACTTTGGGGGCTTGTTGCTGCTGCTGTTGTTGCTGGATCGACGCAAGCCACTCGTCCCGTGACAGCTGCTGCACGCGTCGCCGGCCACGCACGTCACTGTTTGCTGATGGGAGTGCTAGTACCGGCGCCTTGGCTTCAACGACGGCGGGCGGCTCGGTCATCGCTGCGGTCTTTTCGTCGGCCTCACGTTGCTAGCACTTGGCTCAACCAACGACTATAACTTCTACGACAATGGGTACATACTTGCTTGAGGCGAATTTGCTCTTGGAGCGACCGCACATAGTCTTCTTGCGTCAGCTGCTGCGTGAGTCGGCGTCGGCCGCCCGTCGGTGCGACCACGGTCGTCGGAGCGTCCTCAATCGGCGTAGGCGTCGCGTTGTCGTCGTCGTCGGGGCGGCGACGGCCGCGTGGCTTGGCCGCCTGCTGCGCCGCGACCTGCTCTTGAAGCGACTTGACCCACTCGTCCTGCGACAAGGGCACGACTTGGCCTCTCCGACGCATGTGGAAACGGCGCGTTCGAAACGCCCCAAGGAGTCAAGTTGTCCGTCTCCATGTGACGGCAACAACACGCACATCTCTGCAAGCGTGTATTATGTAGATTAGAGTTCCCACGGCGCTTTGTGGGGGAACGAGGTGTGGAGATAGGTAGTGATAAAGTCGACCCACTCGGGGTACTCTTCGAGCGCGTTGTGCGACTCGATGTAGACGAACTTTGGGTTGAGGAGGTAGAGCAGCCATCCATTGAGTGTCGGGGACGCAATCCCCAGCGGGAGGCGCGTAAAGTACCCGTAGAGCGGCGAGACAAAGCGCACGGCTTCCGGGTGTTTCGTGGCGAGGAAGTCTTGGTACTTGGACATGGGCAGCGGGCCGTTGCGCTTGCAGCGCGTCTCCATCGACCGCGTGCATTCGTCGCCGCACTGCGCAACGTACGCCTCCATGGCCTCCGCATGGACGACGTAGGGCACGTGCGGGTCCACGACAAAGGCGACGCGGGCATCGGTCGTCGGCCAAAGCCCGTACGGCGCGTCCATCCACTTGTCGTACGGCAAGTTGATGTGCACGAATGAGTTGAAGACGATGCGCCCATCGGACGTGATGAGGTCGGACGGCTCGAGCGGCTTGTGCACGATAAAGTCGTCGTTGAGGTAGACAAAGCAGTTGCTGCGCAGGATGCCTTTGGCGACCATGCGATGGAGCAGCATCTCGGTCGGGTTGCTATTGAACGTCGGGACAATCTCGGCCGGCATAAACTCGTCGTGGAAGATGACATGGACGTTCTCGCCGAGCGAGACCCACGATGGCACTTGGTTGCGCTCCGTGACGATGAAGATGCGCTCTATAAACGGCAGATGCGCCCGCACCGAGCGCATGCTGTACTTGAGCGCAAGGAACGGGTCGGCGTCGCCGCCACCGCCGAGGTAGCCCTCGACTGGGCACTTGTGCTGGACCGAGAGCGCTTGCCACTCGGGGTCGGTCACGTTCACCCACGTGTAGACAGCGTCCATGCGGCCACTCGACGCGTTGGCATCGCAAGTGAAGTACGTATGGTTGGGAGGCAAGTCGCCCAAGGACGGCCGCGCTGGGATCGCGAGCAGCAGTAGCAGCAGTAGCGCCGGTAGCAGCAGCGCAAGCGTCACGGAGCGCGTCCATGTCGAAAGGTAAGCGTGGGCCTTGGGTGAGAGCGCGACAGCAAAGCGGATGAGGCAAAGCAGCACGAGTGGCGACACGAGGAAGAGGTTGACGACGTAGCGCAGCTTGGTGGGCTCGTCGAGGCCGTCGCCGCTGTCGCTGCGCAGGTGCGGTGACGGCGCAAAGCTGTCGCGCCAGCTCAGGAGCTCCACGACATCGTTAATCAGGACCAGCGAGATGCAGGCGAGGAGGACATGGAAGCCGCGCTTGCGAACGAAGCTCATCTCGCCGGATTACGCTAGATTGCGGTGAAGCCAAGGGTTGCATCCCATGCGGTACTGACAACACTATATATGGATCACATAGGTAGAGTTGGATTCCTTGTGCATTTGGTGTGCTTATTGTCCTTTTTCTTTCAAATAGTGTTATAGATGGCGATATAAACATGCGCGCGATGCGATGGGTATGCTTCGATTGGCTCGGAAATAGTGTATTATAGAGCGCTGGTCAGTGCGAGCGAATGCTGGTCACATTGATTCCACCTGCGGCGACACTGTCGATACCATGGCGCGACCAGTGAACTATGAACCACCGATGTTGATGGTTGTAGTATGCAGCAGCTCTGCTAGGACTATCACTGGCTATCTACGTCGGCATAGCTTGTCGATGCGATAGAATCGAGCAGCATAGGAAGGTGTGGGGCCGGAGAAAAAATGAGTTCGGATACGCTCCACGATCCCGATGTAGCTGCAGAGGCGTGGAGTTGAAATTGGCTAACTTTTACGCACTGCGGTACTACCGGTATTTGACTGAGGCACTAGTACATGCAGAGGTACATGTATTCATTCGCGATGAGCGCAGTGCAGCATCGCGCTGCGGTGCTGGCCGCTTGGAAGGCAGCCCAGACGGCACCAAATCGCGCAGTGCACATCCCGTAGTGTCAAGGAGGCGCCAAGAGAATAGAACTGTTTCCGTGCCATATTCATTCCACACTAGAGGCAATTCTGGCATACCAACTCTCTTGTCCATCCTCGACGAGCATTCTTCACGCGCTGTCACGTCAACTCGATACCTTGATACATCTCGACACTATCGCGTAGGTCTTTCCGCGGCCCGAGCGAACATCAGCGAGTGGGAAGCAATGTAATGTTGGTGCGCACCACGTCACCGCGCATGTGTCGACAGCGCTCGACACTTGGCGCACTACTTCATCGGCACACAGAGTCTCGACCAAGCCTTCTCAGCTTCTCAAGGTGCCGTGTCGTTTGGTCATGCTAAACGTGCTGACGTTTCCGCCGCCCGTTTCGCTTGAGATTTTATTCGTGGCTGGCGTGCATTTGAAACCGTCCATACCGTACATTCCCCCACGTCAGAAAAAAGGCCACGGAGTTCAAATCTCTGCAGGATGGCAGCGAAGCGGCTACCGGTACATCGCGTCTACACCATCTCTCGAACCGCAGTGCACTTGGAGACTTCAAGTCTCCAAGTGCAAGTCTCAGACTTGCCCATGAACGTACGGCCCCGTCGTCTTTTGCACTAGTACGGAAAGGAGCAAGCGACGCGGCAGTGTCCAACGTTGCTGATAGATTCGCAGCTCTCAGTCCACCGCACGGTACAATATCGCACGCCACAACATTCCAGCGAAGAACACATCCTTCCTCGTCTTGTCGGGTTCAACGAAGCGTGGCAGCCTGCCGTCAATACGCAAGGTGGATACTCCTCCAGCCCATCTCTTTGCACACGAGAAGCGCGTCGTAAGGAGACTTGTTGGCTACGTCTGCAGGCCGCTTCGAGCACCGCTGCAAGAAAAACCGTGCAACCGGTGCACGTGGTGGCGGGTAGCTTGTTCCTCCCTGCAAAGGCGCCGCGAGCAACAAATAATCCGTCGTGTTGGGTGCATTTTTATTCCGCTGCGTTCGAGTCCGAGGACGAGTACCAACGAATAGAATATACTTTGTCTTCACGGATCTATCCATCGAGTAGAGCTATCTAGTAGCTGCTTGGGAGGCTGCACGAGGATGCGTCGCCCTCAAGAAACCAGGCGTGGAAGCTAGATGTGGCCTCGCTCGAAATTTGGCTCGGTACTTTCGACCTGTTTCTCACAACAAACACCTGTGTGTGAAAAACAATTTTCAAATAGTGTATGCCACCAAATCGTGTGCAAGCGCGACATGCAAGATGTATCGGCTTGAGGTTGCGTCAATACAAACACCAATATTGGAGACGAGCTTGTAACAACACAAGCTTGCACCTACTGGTAGGACTGCTGCGCGGGCCAATGTGCGCGGGTCATCTTCTCCTTCTTCGTCTTGCCAGCTCGCTCCATTCTCAGCCACGATTCTTAGCTATGGCAAGCGCTCTCCATGGTCCTACGGTACATGTATCTAGAGACCTTCGCAGGCAGAGACTCACTGACAGTATATAGGGCATGTGGTCGTGTCTATACTAATTGGCGGGTGGAAATTGTAGAATGCCACGTGGGAAATCCAATTTGCCACCCACGCTGACGCAATGGCCAGTGCTGCGACATGACGTACCATCAGATGAGCTCAAACTCAATTCTGCGTCTGGTCGGCGCTCTCTCTCTTCCTACAGTACGAATTCGCGGCGGTGTATTGCTTGTGGGTAAAAAAAGAATCCAGTTCCATTGAGTTTGAGTTTCGGGGCGAACCGACCGGTGTTTCCATTCTCAAAAAGCGTGATGCGAACCAACAGCGAGCGGGCGTCCCGCCACTCATGGACGTCCCACATGGAGTACGGCAGCCCGGACGTGGGCGACAACTGCGACTCGACCTCGTACTACGAGGACTTTGAGGGCCGGCCGATCCGCGAAGGCGGCGTGCTCAACATCTACTCGTGCGAGAACATTGGCCTCATCATGAACTACGTGTGCACGGGCTGGGTCGAGGCCATTCTGCCGGCGACCATCTACCCGTTCCTGACCAACTACCTCAACATGGACGGCTACCAGACACAGGCCGCCTATGTGCTCATCACACTGCCCTACATCCTCAAGACGGTCTTTGCGCTTCTCTCCGACTGCCTCCCGATCATGGGCCGCCGGCGAAAGCCGTATATGGTCATTGGCTGGATCATCTCGTTCACGCTCATTGTGGTTGCGATCTTTGACACGCAGGGCTCGCCGTACTGGGCGTACGGCGACGACAACCTCTTGGACGACCCGGAACTGTTGCGCACGGTACGCGCCTTTGCGTCGATACGCTCGTATGTTGATCGATGGGCGTAGATCATCAACGCGAACGCGCCGAACGAAGGCTTTCGCTACGTGATGTACATGATGTTTGCGTCCTTTGGCTTTGTCATGGCCGAGACCGCGGGCGACGCCGTCATGATTGAGTTTGCGCAGCGCGAGCCCGCCAACATCCGTGGCACGACGCAGACCATGGTGACGCTCGCCAAGTTTCTCAGCGGCGGCGTTGGCGCCGTCATTGTCGCCATTTGCTTCAACGGCACCGAGTACGGCGGCACGTTCGGCTGGTCGCTCACGTACAACCAAGTCATGATCCTCGCCGCCATCGGGCCCGTCCGTCCTGTCGCCTGCCTCGCCATGACTGAATGCCGCTCGTAGGTCGTCGGCTTTATCTCGTCGTTCTTCATTCCGGATCAAATCATCCTCGGCGACTCGTTCCAGGACCGGTTCCGGGACCTCTGGAGCGCGGGCAAGAAGCGGGCAGTGTGGCAGCTCATGGCGTTCAACTTTTTCAACGCCTTCTTCTTCGACGCGGTCGCGGCGCCGTCCGATATCATCAAGCGGTCGTGGGCCCAAGTCGAGCCGTTCGTCGACGGAGTCTTCTCCAACGTCCTCGCCGTCTTTCTCTTCTCGCTCGCGATGCATTTCACGCGGCAATGCTTTCTCCACACCAACTGGCGCATGATCATCCTTGTGACGACCATCGTCACGGTCGTCATCCAGGTACGATACGACGGCCTCGATCCCTCCTACTGACGCTGTATATGCGTAGTGGACGGTCGACTTTCTCTGTGTCTTTGACGTCATTCGGTCCCAGTACTTTTACATGGGCGTGCCGCTGACGTACCAGATCCCCGTGGCCATCCGCGGCATCGTCGTGAGCTTTGCGACTGTCGAGATTGCCGACGAGCGCTTCGAAGCCTCAACGTATGCGCTCATTTCGACCATGCACGCGGTGGCCGGCCCGATTTCGACGTCGATCTTCAAGCAGATCGACGCGCAGTTTCGAGCGTACAAGACCGACATTGCGACTGATACGCCGGCCGTGCGCTGGGAGGTCGCCTACTGCCTTCTCTTTTGCTACGGGTCGCGCCTCTTCTCGAACGTGACGCTCTTTCTGCTGCCGCGGCAGAAGAAGGAGGCGCAGGAGCTGCGGCTCCTTGGCGACACCAACCCGCACCTCTCGATCTTCATGCTCGTCCTCGGCGGGTTTGCGCTCGTGTGGGGCGTCGCTACCAACATCATGTCGATCGACCCCAACACGGCGTGCATGCCGCTCGCCGGTGGCCCCGGGTGCTGACCTAGCAGCAGTCTATATGTATACTTATTCCCTTCTCTTCCCACTACGTCTCGTCGAGCGCCGAGAGCCGTACGGCGTTGAACAGGAACCGGTCCCACTCGACGACGACCTGCTTGTCACGCCACAGCAGCGGTGTCCGTGCCGTGATCGCGCCGGCAACCTATCCCCACCGCCATAATGACACGTGCCAATATTGCCATCCGGAGTGTCGAGCACCTCGGCGTGGTACGTGGCGTTGGTGCCGAGCCGCAGCGCCAGCGCAATGTACGCGTCCGTACTCGCACACAGCAAATGCGCGAGATCCATGCGACGGAAAACGCGGGCGCCATGCGGGCGCGCAAGTGCGTCGCGTCGCGCACGACCAACGGCAGCCCGAGCGCGAGGGCCTCCTACACGCAACCGTATGGAACGGTGCACAATATTGTCTGTTGTACGGCGGACGTTTTGGAGCCGCCAAACGGAAAGGGATGCAGCACCACGGTCGCGATTGACAAGAGGCGCATGTACGCCTCGTGCCCGGCCACGCGCGGGACGAGGTGCAGGCGCTCGAACGAGGCGCGGGGTAGGGTTGCTCGCAACCGGGCGACCAGCTGCGCGGTCCACGTCCTATTTATTGTACACGTAGACTGTCTTGCGTATGAGGATAGAGCGTCGTACGCGCGGCGGCCCTGCACGAGCACGATGTGGCCATTGAGGTCACGCGCCAAGATTGCGGCCAAGACCACATCGAACTCTGGCTGCATCTTGAAGACACTCTGCGCACAGACATAGATCGTCCAGTGATCGTCGAGGTTGTAGTCGCTCCGACGACCAGGCGTCGTTGGCAGCGGCGGCGGGTCGTACCTAGACAGACTACGTTCCGTTGGGACGAACGATGGAAAACTAGTCACCAAATGCCCAACCCCGGCAGCAAGACGACTTGCTCCGTGTAGTGGTCGCCGTCTTCGGTCTCTTCCGGGTCCATGGCGGCGTCGAGGAGCTCGCTCGAGACGAAGTAGTCGATCGCCGCATTACCTAGTCGATCGTGATTGGAATGTAGCATGTAGTACATTCGTACCAGACGTTGTCGGGTTGCCCCAAAAGAGAGCTTGGACGCGCGCCAACCGCCCGAAGGCCGTAAAGTAGTTGACCGGGTCGCTCATGATGTCGGCAAACACGAGCACATCCAGGGTTAGCGCCGCCACTTCGCGCTGGACATCGAGGAGGTGCAGGCTCAGCGGCACCACATGGTCGACGGCCGCGACAAGCGACGGGTCTGGCGCCTCGGCGACCGACGGTACCACCAGTAGGTAGACGCAGTAGACGGCGCGGTCCAAGCCAGCGAGCACGCCACGCAGGAGGAGGCCATGCGCGTGGTTGGTAACGAAGCTCTTGGACATGAAGCCGACGCGAATGCAGCTTTGTGGCCGCGGGGTAGCGACATGCGGCGCTCGCCACGAGAGCTGCGGTACGGCGCGTCGATAGAGCGTTGCGAGCTTTTCCTAGCGACAAGAATCCATAGTACGCGATTCCAATCACGTGGCGCACGAGTAGAGGGCGGTCGTTCTTGCCGTGGTACACCAAGTAAAAGGGCGGGCGCAGCTCCGTCTATTGTTTGTCCGTTGTGGGTCGCGATCCAGAAAGTATCAATGTGTCAACATTGTAAAAATCCGAAAGCGCCATGTTGTCGGCCACGAAGGCGTCCAAAGAGGCATGCAGCGCCGCGCGTGTCGCGAGCAGCTGGTCGTGCGTCGCGTACACAGGCGGTAGCACCAGCGCCGCTTGCAGTCTACGCCCGGATGCGAGCGTCTCGTCAGCAGAGTGCTGTACCTAAAAATGTCGTTGCGGCTCTGCTTGTACGCTGTCTCGGCCATCGCGCGTGCTGCAGCCACGTCGCCTGGAATGCAAACGGTTCAAACCAGCGCAACCCACCGCACGATGGCGTACCGAGGTCGGCGTAGTAGATGTAGAGGTTCCCGAGGCTCTGCAGCTGGCCAGGCTCGATTGCGAGCGCCCGATGAAAGTACGCTGCTGCCGCGTCTCCGTCGCCTCGGTACAGAAGCGCCACGCCGAGGTTATTCAGCACCCCGACGTGCGCTGGCGACTGCTCGAGTAAGCTCGCGTAGACGTGCATCGCGTCGTCGAGACGTCCGTGTTGCTACATGTAATCTTCCGATACACACGAAGAACGTAGGAGTAGTAAGTACATGCCGCGCAGTCGCCAAGCCCATGCGGCCCTCAAAGTGGGTCGGGTGGAGCTCCAGCGCGCGCTGGTAGTACGAGATCGCTTCGTGGAGCACCCCCAAAGTTTGATAGACTTGACCAAGCCCCACATAGCCCTAGTACGCAATATTGTCGCTCCATGTTGCAGGTCTTCTCGCTTGATTGGTACCTCCACAGCGAGTGGACCAGGCGCAGCAAGTAGGCGATGAAACGCGCTCGCGGCTTCGTCCAAGACCGCGAGGCTCAACCATGCGCGACCTACTCTGGTGGTAATCGCACCGTCGCGCGATGGGCATATTATCAGCGCACCGAGCAGATACCACGCCTCTACGTGCGTATCCCGGGCGGCGACGACGGCCTGCAGGTGCGGTATCGCAAGGCGCGGTTCACTGCGGTCCAAAAGCACCTTGGCGAGCACGACGCGACAAAACTCTGTCGGCGCGACGCCACTGCCCGTCCTTGCATGGTCCAAGGTCTCGGCGTCGTGTTTTTTTTGCAAGCGCCGGGTCTCTGCGAGGTTGCAGTGCAGCATCGCCGTCTTCTTTGGGTCTGTCTCGAGCGCCAGTGCGTGCGCAAAGTGGATCTCGCCCGAGGGCAAGTCGCCTTCTTGCACAGCTACGGCGCCAAGCAGCTGCCACGCATCGGCGGCCATCGGATTCTCGGCGACGACGCGGGCGTAGATGGCTTTGGCCTCATCCAAGGCGCCCACGTCCATGTGGAGCCGGACGCCTTCGAGGAGCAAGTCGCTGCTGCTGCTGCTGCTCTTGCATGTGGCGGCGGATGCGAGGAAGATGGCGAGGACGGTCGCCACACGGAGCAGGCGTTGCATGCGGCTACGAACGCGTTGGCGTATCCTTGCCACACGTGGATTGGCTCAAAAGCAAGCAATATGCGCCAATCGCAGCCACACGCTGTTGGGGGCGAAAAAAGTAATTCGGATTTCATACTGAAACGTAATGATATGGACCTCGTTGGTAATTGGCTTGTCGCAGGCGCCTTTTGACCAATCGCAGAGCTTGCCCGAGGTACGCTGGAGCAAGCAGTCATTTTGCGAAAGACTTGGCCGCATCGTCATGAGCAGCCAGCGCCCGAACTGGATCCACGAGCAAGCGGCCGAGTACGCGGACCTCGTGAACGACTCGAGCTTCGCCAGCGTCTCGGGCCCTGTGAGCGACGATCCGAACGAGTACCAGCTCATCTGGGAGGGCGGCGACCTTGGCGTCGCGCTCACGACCAACCCCAGCGGCAGTGGTGTCAGTGTGAGCCGCATCACGGGCAAGGGCTTTCCCCAAGGCATCAAGAGCGTCGTGCCCGGCGATGTGCTCTTGGGCGTGAACGAGCTCGATACGCTCTACTTGACGCTGGAGGATGTCGTGAAATTCCTGCAAGAGTGCGACCTGCCAGCCACCCTTCGCCTCACGCGCGTCGAGAACGTGGCCACACACATGGCCGCCAACCCGCGCCCATCGAGCGGTCGTTCGAGCGTCAAGTCGCGCCCATCGTACCAGCGTCAGACCTACACACCGCCGACCAAGGTCCAAGCGCCTGCCAGCGACGTTGTGACGAGCCCGACCAACGCCGGCCGGCCGCTGTCGTCCAAGAAGAAGGGCATTGCGGGCGCGTATGGCCGCACGTCGTACCAGCAGCAGCAATCGGTCGCGGCGCCGTCGATGCCCAAGTCGGAGCCCGTCGTGAAGAAGCCGACGCCGGCCCCTGCGCCGGTCGTCTTTGAGGACGAAAGCGATGACGACGATGAACCGATTGTGATGCCCACGATTCCCGCGGCGCCGCAGACGACACTGAAGTCGCCGTACATGACCCCGCCGGCCGCGACGTCGGCCGAGAAGCCAGCGCCGACAAAGTCCATCTTGAAGCCGTCGCCGCACCCGAACGCGCCCATGAAGCCGCCGTCGCCGATTCACGTGGCGTCGACGCACGACAGTCTTGGCTTCTCGGACGACGGTCGGCCGTCGGCGCCCGTCGGCGACAGTCTCCGCGGCTCGGCGACGTCGAATGCATCGACAGCGATCGCGATGAGCGAGCACATGCAAAAGATGTCGTTTAGCATCGACGACGAGCTCCCGGCGCCCGAGCGGAAAAAGTCGGGGGCGATCGCGATGATGGACGAGACTCTGGACGAGCTCCCGATCCTCGACAACGACTCGATCCACGACTCGTTCATCAAGCTCGTCGACGAAGATGCGGCCGAGCGCGAAATGAAAGAGGAGCTCAACCAGGTCTTTGAGGACGACGAAGACTACGAGAACGAAATCGAGGGCTCGGACTCGGGCGAGGACGACCACCCTATCGAGCTGCCGCCGTCGACGCGCGCGCCCTACATGCCCGAGGTCCGCGACACGATGCGCGTGACGCAGCAGCC